TCGGCGTGACATCAGTTTTGACAGCTGAACGTTATGGTAATTTAATTAACCATTAAAATGAGATTATGGTGTAATTTATGCATGTGACAGGACAGTGACAGCGCTTTTAATGAGTCGCCCATAACTAATAAGTCAGTTGGGGGTTGAGAGCAATTAACTTTCCCATTTCCATTGCCAATCAGGGGGATATTCCCCCCTGACTTCTGGTGACACTTTTTGCCAAACCGAAGAATGCAATTTCCTGGCCCAAAGTCCGCTCGATGGACACTTGAAACTTTCAGCCCAGCCTGTATATATTGATGGATGCGGATGAACCCACCCACAGCCGGATGAGGCTACGGAAATGTGCCAGCCCGAAATCCGGACAGCCTTAGTCGGCTTAGGGGCCATCGCCATTCAGCATTCTCCATTCTCCGTCCGCCGGGGCTGTAATAGTAATAGGAATTGATTTACCATTTTGTGTGCACGAAAATGTGCAATTTATGTGCTCCAGCTACATCCCAACTGACTCAGCATAGATGATGGCCTGGGATTGGGGACACACATACTATATACTATGTATATAGGATGCTTTGCCATGCGGACACATAAATTCCTGATCCTGAACCCAGGCTAATGCATTTTTCAAGTAGAGTGCATAATTTAGGGGCCAAGTCAGTCAGTCAGTTGGTCATTTTACAGGCCTGCATTTAGCATATCAATGGATATTCTGATCTCTTGCGCTCTAATTGCCGCAAAATGCGGCGCTATATAGAGCCGAAAATATTTCGTATTCCCGATTCCCCGCGTTCATATTTTATTGATTGAATGGCAGAAAAAGAGGAGGGTGAGCCACCGCATCATTGGCAGTCATTTGACTGTCCGCTGAATAATTTACAACAATTTCGGCATGAGCAAAACGCCCCGTTTCAGCTGCAATTCGCAATTTCGGCCTCAAAATGGCAAATTTTCCGATTTAATGCGAATTTTTGCTCCTTTTTCGTTCGCGCTGATTGCTGAGTTGCCGCAATGAGTTATGTGCCAGGGGGATAGAAAATATATGGCCATCGATTGATTCGGCTGAAATTGGTTTGAATTAATGCATGAGTGGAGGTTAAATGGAGCTCAAAGGGATTTGAGTTTGGGTCTTAAGCCGGTTGTCATGTCAGTTGGAGATGATATCGATTTCGGGAACTTAAAAATTACATTTACATAATGCAACCCCGAAAAACGTTACTGAACCACTAAAATGTTTGTTATTCTCCCCTTGGCAAATAAAAAAGAAAAAACAATAAAGGCATTGCATGAAATTGCAGAGGCAGCGGCAAGAAGAAAACAAAAGAAGATGAAATAAGCCCGCAACGAAAACAAAGTCGTAAATTCAATTTAAAGCTTGACAGATTGCCACACTGCGGCGAAAAAGGGGGCGGGTGGTGGGGCCAAAGGGGCGTGGCAGCTGCTAGGAACAATGCAGCTGTTGGTGCAACAAAAATGGCGTCTGTAACAATGCCGCCTTTATCTTTTGCCCAGCAAACCACGGAAAATAATTCCCCCAGAAGCTAAAAAGGGAGCCGCAGAATTCTCACTTTACTCCTACAAAGTAGTTCTCCCGTTTCTCTGGGGACTTCCAAATTAGGGTCAAGTTTTTCTCCGAGGCGCCGCTGGAGCACCACCAATTAAATGGGCTTTAATAAGCTCAGCCACTTAAACAGCCAGAAATCTGGCAAAGAGGTTAAACGGCTGGCAAACTTTTGCCCCAACTTACGGGCCCCAGTGCTTTTGAGGGTGGTGCTATAGATGTGCCTGTGACTGTGGAAGTGGGTGCATTGTCCCGCCCACTGCTGTGTTGCATTATGTTTCACTTGCAGCTGCTGCTTTGACCCAGTTTAGTGGGGCATTTTTTAATGCCCTGCTGGTGGGTCATGACACCGTGTTGCCTTTTGCCCAGCTGTGCGCAAGTTTATCACGCCGTATGTCCCCGTAAAAAGCCACAATAAGGTCAATCGCATGGCCAACGATGGCAGCGGCGATAGGCAGCACCACCCTGTGTACCAGAGCCACCGGTTTTGAGCACCACCAACACCACCGCCAGCACCGCAGCAAACGCAGCGCAATTAAAGCCAACAAACGGAGCGCCACAGAAGCTGGCCGCACGGATTGCCGGCCAAGCCAATCAGCGAACCAGCCGCAGATCCACACACCCATGCACCGCAAAAAAATTTGATTTTTGATTTAAATGCAGTACAACGAAGGCCTCTCTTTTTAGATCGATCACATATTTCAAAGTAGGGGAGAGAGGGGGAATTTCGTCAGCATTTTTTCAAAGCTATTTTTTGTCCATCTTGAGACACGTTATCATATTTCTATTTTTATTGTTGAATGCGGTTAGCACCAAGCTTTAAAATGTGACATTCCCCTATTTTTTTAATTAGCTTGGTGATTTATAAAAAAATAAAATGTAAAACCAATATACTGGGGCAATCTCACCACACAGGGGGTAAAATCACCACACAACTGGGGAAATTTCGTCACCTGAAAAATGTAGGGAGTTTAACGCCTGAAAATATGCTACACTGATCAAGCGTACCATTTTTGTTGACGTCCTATATTTGTTGCTGCTGCTGGTAGTCTGTTCGTTAGCCAGCTCGTCAAATATTAAAATATGTATTTAAAATAGGTGCGAATTTACCCTTAGCGTAGGGTGGCGAAATTTCCCCAGACCGTACTTTTTTAGAAATAATTATTTTTCTTGCGAAATTAGGCGCGAAGTTAAAAATCACTGACGCAGAAATGCACATTATAGCACTGTGTATTATATAAAAAATCGTGTATCTTATTCCTTTTGAATTGTGGCATACAGAAAAAATTTCGTCGAGAACTAAATGTAGCTTTTGAACTGTTAAAACACATTTAATATTATAGCTTAATTATCTTGGCCTTCTGTGCAAAACAAATGCATTGGTTGTGTCTGGCCGTCTTGAAGGACTAAAACAAAAAAATTATATATTTTTACGACTTATGGATTCCGAGATATTGCAGGTGACGAAATTGCCCCTGTGACGAAATTCCCCCACTCTCCCCTAATAAATATATTTCAGCAGCATTAATATTATTGTTATTAACTCCCAAAACAACAAAGAAAACTTAACAATTAAAATCCTAAAAAGTTCCCCCAATTTAATTTAAATTTTAGCCGTTTTAAAAATTACCTATAGGTGAACTCTGCAAATTGTTTTATTTTCACAAACTTCCAACCCTTTAAAATTGATTTTTCTTACCCATTTATAGAATCTTATAAAAAGCATACTTTTTTCTAAAGAAAAATATATGATAATTATTATTAATTTTACTAAAGACTAAAAGAGAAAAAAACACTTAAGTACACAACTAATTAGGTTCCTACATAAATTAAGGTCAACATTTTGAAAGAAAGAAATTACTGTTCCAGTGGATATACAGTAATTTTTGTGGTTGTTTGATAAGTAATTTTTTTAATATTATTTTTATCCGAGGGGTGTAAATTTTATTTATTTTTTTATAGTGCAGCCACGCACTGCAATCGCAGGCGAGCGTATTAAAGCTGCAAGAGATCCCGGTGCGATGAAGAGTCTCAGCGGAATGTGCCAGGGGCGTGGGTAAAGTGGTAGGAAAGGCATCGAAAAGCAGGGTTCCGAACAGGGGGGAAAATGGGTGATGAGGATGAGGGTGGAAGGCTGAAAACCGGGGGCAGGAACGTTGCGGCCGCGGCCAGGAAACGCGCACAAATTGCGTTTTAACGCATGCAAATTGCCTGCGTCCACGTCCTGGACGAGTTTATTGCATTACAGGGAAAGGACGAAGGGCGTGGATGGTGGGTGTTCAGTGGGCGGTAGGTGGACTTGGGTGTTGCCAGTGGATATGTGTGTCCCGCAATTGCCACTTCGCACTTGAGCGATTTCGCGCTCGAAACTGGGATTTTGTGTGTGTGTGTTTGTTGGCAGAATGCATTTGCAACCAGCCAGGCTCGCAGCTTTCAGCTGTGTTCAGTTTGTGTCCTGCAGCTCCTGTCGCTTTCATTAAGCCAACTGACAGCGCGGGCGATTGCAGTATCAGCTGCCCAAACTCCAAATACAAAACTGTCAAGTCAACGTGAGCTCCGCGTTCGGTTATGTATTTTTGCCATTTTTCACAGCTTATTTTTCCCCATTTAACCAACAGCAGCAGCAGTCGCTGTTTTTGTTGCCGCAGATGCTGTTAGTGCATCATAAATTTTATAGACAAGTTAAATATTATGCATACGCACCATTGCACTTAATAACATTTCGGTTCGCCTCACAATGCCCAGCGGTGCGGGAATGAGAATGTGAGGCTGGAATGATGGGTGGTTTCGCAGGGAGAGCTTAAGCTGCGTGCCGAATTGAATTAAATTAAAATAAATCTGCTCGACAAGGAGCAGAAAGTGTCGCATAACTTAGCAAGGCAAGAATATGCCATATTTTTAGTATGCAATCGGATTTGCATATGTTCACTTGGACATGAATTTTTCCAGGCAGGCGAAGGCCTTTTCGGATTATACAAAGCAATTTATGTATTTCTTGCAAAAAAAGAAGTGATGTGTTTTTTCAAGCTTTAATCTGTGAATCCGAACGTTAGTCTGCTCCATTTGTTGCCATAACAGATGAACTATTGATCATCATTAGAAAGGCATACACATTCCCCCATCACATACCGGTTTTTTTGTTCTCCCCTGACTCGATACTGTTTGCTTTTTAACTTTTCGCCCCCTTCCTGTAGTGCAAATATGCCATAGTGTCCTGAAAGTCCATGTGAGCTGCCATTACGCATACGCCCTGTGTGTTTGCTAAATGTTTGCCTCAGTGAATCCGAATGGGTTCCGCTTGTGCATGTGTGCATTTTGACAGACGTCAGTTCAGTTTGGCTCTCGGTTCGGTTTGTGTGCGCTTTGCATTTTTTATGCATTTAAATAACAAAATTAAACTGGCAAATGTTTCACATGCAATTTATTGTTCTTTCACTTCCAGATAAACAAAAACACGCAGAACAACAAGAATCTCGGGGAGCACAAGCGCTGGATACACGATCCCTCGAGTGAGTAGAAAGCCGAAGCTGGGGGAAATTAAGTTTTCACCGGAAAATATTTATGCACAATATGTTATCGCCACTAATAAATTAAATTCCCACTCCCGCAGGTGACCTTTGCCGACCGCTGAACTGCAAGAAGCGTGAAATTTGCCTGCTGGAGGACGAGTTCAGTGCCGTTTGCGTGTCGAAGAAGGAGCTCCACAAGAATCGGTAAGTGTGACGAAAGGGGGGCAGTTTGGCATTTTGGCATTTTCATCCAGATGAGCCAATTAAATTGGCCCGTCCGAGCCGCAGGCCTTCTAAACTTAAACCCATGCCAACCCACAACATTTCAGTGATGAGATAATCACCAAGGCCAAGTACTTGGAGGAGGAGGCCAAGCGGCGTGTCAACCAGCAGGACAACCAGGACAGCCAGGATGCGGAGGACATCAACAACGATGACGAGGACAACAGCAGCGACGGGGGCACCAGCAATGCCAGCCCCACTGGCCCCAACAACAATGCCCAGGCCAATGTCCAGGGAAACGAGGAGACCGACGACGAAGATAAGAGCCTCAGCCTGGGCGACGACGACGAGTCCAAGGAGGATGATGTCTTCTACGAGAACAGCATCGCCGGCGGCGATAAGCAACAGCAACAACAGCAGCAGCAGCAATCCCAGCCCCCAGCAGCTCCCTCCGCTATTCAGCAGGACGACGACGAGGAGTTGGAGTGAGTACATAACGGAAAATAATTTATAAAAATTAGTAGAGTTTTATAAAATTTTAAGATAAATTTTATGTTACGTTACCCTTTTTTTACATTTTTATTTGAACCCATAACATTTTGTTAAAAATTCATTTTAATTAATTAAAATTCTTTATATATCACTTAAAAATTATTAACAATTTAATAATTTGAAAGGTAGTGCCAAAGTTCTGGAACAATCGTATTTAATAACCGTTCTGACTCTGATTCCATTATAATTTTAACCGCACTTTAAATTAACATGCGGAGGATAAAGCGGGCGTACTTAAACTCAAATTAAAAATTGACTTCTAATGAACAATTGTTTAGCGCTACTATTAAATTATATCTGTCCCTTGGAATGCTACATTTTTTGTTGCTGTGTAGCATTCGAGTGTTTAACTTTCGGGCCGATCTTTTTGCGTTTGCCTTTGTGTGGGATTTTACATTTCATTAAGCAAATTCGCGTTCACAAAAAGGGTTGACGACGGGGGGTGGGAGTCGGGGTCACCTTTGACATCCGACCCCACCCACACTCCGAACTCCCCGAATTTCCCCCTGATTTCCACGGTCGCCATGCTAATAACAAATTGTTTTATCGTGTATAAAAATTCCGCAATAAATTTACAGTGGTACAATTTTTAGCACGCAGCCTTTTGGGCGGAGGTCCCTGGCCTGTTTTTGTTATCGTTGTTGGCTTTTTGGATATGTTGGCTGTTTGCTGGTGGTGGCACACTTCTGCCTTAATGGTTCAATGGGCCGCAACGACAGCTTTACGGCCTTTACCCTTTGACGCGTGCCGTCGTCGGATCCCTTGACTTGTTCCGTGTTATCGCTTTGACCCTAACCCAAATTGAGGACTGGCACGCGAGCAGTGCCTCCAAGAAGAGGCCCGAAAAGGGCAGTGGCTTGGCCGATGGAGTAGGAACGGCGGAAGGAACAGAAGGAGGAGCAGGTGTGCCAGCGGCAGAGCCCGGAAAATGAAGTCAAAGTCGAGTCGGTGTCAAGGCCTGATTGGCTTGGGTTTCCACAGGAAAAGGGAAGACATTTCAACCAGCAGCGATAGGAAGTCGTTGACAACAAACAATCGATTTCCTTTCTGAAAATATTTGTTCAATTATTTTTTTTTTTCATAAAGAAAAAGGCTTTCATAAAAAAACAGAATTATTAACACGCTTTTAAAAATGTTAAGAGAAAGTATGAAAGCAATTACAAACTATTTTTTTAAACTTCTGTAATAATGAGAATATTTACTGAAAATCGCCAAAAAGACTTGTTTGCATATTTTGTAATTATAAAGTTATGTTGATATACTAAAATTTATAAATAATATTAAATTTTCCCAGCCTGGTTTCCGCCTTTAAGCTCCTCCAATTTTGTTTACCCAAAAGTCCAACCAATAGCCAACTTCTTGGACTCACTTCACAATCCTTTGATATTCAGCCCCCACCCGAGTGTTATAAAAATGTTTTCGCTTCTTGTTTATGTTCGTCTTGTTTATCAGTTGTGTTTTTGTTTGAACAAAGTTTAATTTCAGGCTCCCGGCTTGACAAAGTTTCCGTTCTGATCCTTCGGCGTACACACATATATTTTGAAATGAAAAATTAATTATCCGCAAAGACTGGCGTAAATAAATTGTGAACCAAAAAAATGTGCCAGTAAGGCGGTGCTTCCGAGCGTTTTTCCTGTTGTTTTTCCATGTGCGACCTCAGGCGCCTGTAATTGAATTAAAATCCACTTGCCAAACAACACAGCACGGGGGTGTTTGAGTGTAAAAATCAATCTATAGGCAAATCACGCGCCCCGATCACATTCCCCATTTTCAGCATTTTCAGCTCCCAGCGATGACATTAACAATGGCTTTTGACATATTTTCCCTCTTCTCTTATGTTTACGAATTTTCCTTTTCAATTTTGCTTTCACCAAAAGTCCCCGCTTTGCATATGTGTATCTATGTCAATGGCATGAAATATGAATGTGTCACGCCGTGGGCAAAATCAATAGTTTGAGCCACAGCATTTGCCACTCATCATGGCAGCAGGAGCTGCTCCAGTTCTCGTCTTTCCATTCAGGCGCAAGTCAAACAAAAGACCTGCCTCCTAGTGAAGAGGTCGTCGGTGGGGGGCACTTCTAATGGACCAAAATGCATGGGTACCTCCACAATACCATAACATAAACCCACATATATCCGAGCCAGCTGGAGAGCTAGATCGGGCCATAACTCATGTGTGAGACGGGCATTGTTTGTTGTAACAATATGCCATCGCACAGTGGCTATCATTCGAAAAAGTATATTAAATCAAGTTATTTGTAAAAAAGTTTGACAAATTTTAGGCTTTCTTTATAAGTAAATATTGTTCAAAATTCTTAAAACTTAATTTTTATCTCATCGTTTTATGGCAGCAGCATTTTTTAGAATATTCAGTACTTGCAATAGTTTTAGAAGTACTAATACAATATAACATCGCTTATAGGGAAAAGTATGTGACTGCAGGATAATTATTATTATTTTAATTATTTTAAATATCTTTTTATATAGTAAATATTTTAGTTAATAGGATATATTTACATAAGTTCCTTAGCTTCTAGTTTGTAAGCCTTTCTTTTAAAAACTGACCAGATTACATAGCTAAAGAGGGATTTTGAGATGCCGAGGAGATTAGGGATAGGGCTCACACCATAGTTTAGATCTCACCTCAAGCTGGCACATCTCATCTGTGTGTGTTGGTCTATGTCCCTGGCAGTTATTCGAAACCACTGAGCTGTTTTGTGGTCTATGCACATGAAGCTGTCGGCTCCAGCAATTTTGGGGTATAGAGAGGCGGTACAGTAAGTATATGTACCTCAAAGGGAAACCCCGAAGCCCCGAAAACTCGGTTCTCGCTTCTCACTTCTCCTTGCTCGTTTTTCGGTCGGGTGGGGTTGCAAAATTGAAAGCAAATATTTGAGTAAAAATTTACACATTTTTCACTGGGAGACACGGAGCCGGCATTTGATGGGCAATTTGCTCAAAGCAACCGCAGATGCTGGGCAGGCCATTCGAGATGCCGATGCCATGGGCTGGGCATCAACATTGTCATTGACCAGGGATCGCATTATCAAAATTTATTCGTCTCACTATTTACTTGGCCCTAAGAATTTCATTAAATTTGTATCAACAATCCGGCGGAGCAGGGCAAACAAAGTGAACCGGAAGCGTGCAAAAGAACATGCGAGGGAATTTTTAATTAAAAGCAGTCGGCACACATACACAGCGGGAAGTGAATATGTTTACATTGGCTGTGCAACGAAATTGGCCAGCTTAAGAGACACATCTGTGCATGTGGCATAACCAAAAGTCCTTTGACACATCTAGCTATTCTTTATTTTATTTTATTTTATTCAATTTCCGAATATTTTCTTCGGAACTAAACAATTGTTTACCCAAGGCCTGATCCTTGTTTAAAGTTTATTTGTCCAATGCAAACAAGTGACAGGCACAAATGGAATGTGGCAAAGCCAAGCTTGACCCGAATAACTGGGCAATTTTCAATTAATATTTCTCAAAATTAAAAAACAAAAGCCTGTTGAAATCCTCTAATTATGACTCCCAAATTGGGGCAATTAGGCAAATTGCTTTTCATTTCCAGTCGGCGTTTGTACAGCCCAAATAAATGTGCAAATTTTATTTGAAACCAGACGAAAAAATTTCCAACAGTACACTCAGGGAAAAAATTGTTCTGATTGTGTCTGAAAACGTGTCTGTTTGAGTCTCAAAAATAGCTTTATACCGTTTGGTATCATTATAAGAATTAATGGTATTATTTTAAGAACGGATTTTTAAGACCGCTGTTCTTACTTTAAGAACGAAACGTACTTAAATTTATATTTATTTTTAGTAAAAAAATAATTTTGTTTGAATGCTCCTGTAAGCATTCTGCCATGGAAGGAAATAGTAAGGCCATGGCCCAGGGGCCAAGGTGCTGGATTCTGGTATTATTTTGTGTTTGGGGGTACGAGGTTCAATTCCCGCTCACAACACAACTTATTTTTTTTTTTGTAATTAGTAAATTAACAACTTAACTTTTTTAATACATTTTTGTTCTTAAAGTTATAAAGGAAATGTTAATTGAAATACATTTGAAAACTTTTTACTTACTTTGACTTTTTTGGGTTTTGAACCGGGGTCCTCTCGCATCAGAGTCAGACGCCTTACCAACTGGGCCATCGCACCGTGTTACGCGCGCGTGCATAAGTTCAACTTAAATCTAAATTTACTGGTCTTAAATCAATACCCTTTGGTATTAATATAAGAATGTGGTCTTAAAAAAATAAAAGAACAACACGGTAGTAATGTAAGAAATTCGGTCTTAGATTTTTTCGGTCTTTTTTTTCTGGGTGTAGCGACCGAAAACAACGGCGAATGTATATATAGTATCTCTCTGAATAAAATTATGAAATAGGGCTCGTGGCAATTGGTAGCGAATTCGTGGCAGGCCAATTAAAGCGACATCGAAACGGATAAAAACGGTGGGAGCACCGAAGCCTTTTTTATAGGGTGGCTGAACGGGCAACTACAGGGGCAGCCATTAATTGGAATAATCGTTTTGTTGGTTTTATTTATTGAAAAGGAAAAAAAGAACTGGGGTGTGATTTTCCTTTGAGTTTTAAAGATGATTGATTGACAGACAGGAGATTAAGGACTAAGGCAATTAAAAGCGGATAACTGGTTACTTAACGAATGAAAAGGATAATGGTCACGTACACCTCTTTTGTTGGAATGGAGTCGTATATAAAAGCTAAATTATGAGTACGGCCCAAGTGCTTCTCGTTTGACGCTGGCAGTTTAAATATTTGTTCAAATTATTAAATAAAGTTTCGACATGCCCTCCATCCACATCCCCAATCCCAGTCCCCTGGCCAATCTCATGGCTCGACTGTTTGCCTGGGCGTGCGTGCAGCGCATATTAAATAAATATTTAAATAAATGTATATGCAAGACCCTCCCTTCTCCTTTCTCCCTACCTGTTCAGCAAATTGTCCACCGGAGGTGGGGACATGTGGACAAAGAATAACATATATATGGAGGAGGGGGAAAGGACGCAGACTTCATTTGCATAAAAATTAATTTTGCATGTCATCTATTTGTTGCCGTTGCGCCCTCTTGAGTTTTACTTTTCTGATTTCAGCAGGCATTCTAACTCCGCTATTCCTTGTATTTTTTTATTCATCCCTCTCCTTTTTTCTTTATTTTGTAGCAACTGCAAGCCCTGTCCTGTGGCCAAGCCGACGTTCCTGTGCGGTGCCGACAACAAGACCTACTCATCACTATGCAGATTGGATTATCACAATTGCATACATTCGACGTCCATACGGATCGCCTGCAAAGGATTCTGTCCCTGCAAGGGTGAGTGTCTATATGTGTATCTTTCATTCCCTGATTTCTATACACAAAAATAAAAACTACGTAAAATCAACGATGGTTAAAACTGCATCAACCTATAAATAATAGGTAATAGCCAGGAAAATATTTTGTATTTTCCAAAAAAAGTTTGTCCTTCAACCATTTAATTTTAAAATCAATTTTTTTATATTTTTGATATAATTTGATTTCCTGGCTCCGGCAAGTTACATAGTTTTTTTTCTGTGTGTAGCCATAACAAATGGACTTGTAGTGCGGGGAACGGCCCAAAGCAGAATCAAATGCTCCGCATAATGAGCTCCTCCAGCCTGGCAGTCGGCCAGTTGTCGAAGGACTGCGAAGAAGGACCTCCGTAGACTACAAAATAAATTGCATGCATATTTTGTGACAGGCTCAGTCGTCGCCAGTTGCTTTTGCCCATGAAAGTATGCTGCAAATACTGAGCTGGCGGCTAAACGCGATTTGTTAGAGGGGCGAAGTTCTCTCCTCTCCGCTGGCAATTAAAAATTCCAATTACCAAACAATGGCTTTGGCTTTAAATATTTTTGCCCCGGCACATCACTTGTTAAATATTTAATAGGCCGGCGAACAAGTAGCCGACGTGGCCATTGTTATGGCTCCCATCGCCATCGCCATCGCCACCGCCCGAAAAACCACTCAGCCAGTCGGGCACGTTAATTTTCAATTTTGCACAGCTGAGAGCGCAGTGTGGGCCGGAAAATAAAGCACAAGTACACGGGGGGCGATGGCTCACTGGGCCCGGATGCAAAAAGTTGGCCTGTTCCAGCGGTTTTCTGACCATTTTCCCCACTTGTCCCCCTATTTTTTGCAGAGAGCGTCGATGGCAAGCGGCTGCAGCGTATCGGCGGTTACAACAAGTACAACAAGAAGATCAACCTGGACCTCCAGCAGCAGCAACAACAGCAGCAGGCCTACAAGGACAGTAGCAACAACAACATCATGATGAACAGCGGCAACATTATGGGCGGCAACAACAATGACTTCAACACGATCATGAATGTAAGCTAACTACATATATTTTATCGACATTTTGGTAAAGTTTAATTTTGGTTTGACCGCAGGACAAGGAGGACAATAACCGGCACAACAACCACATCAATGCCCAGTACACATTCACGCCCGAGGAGATCAAATATGACAACAAGCACTACAAGTACCTCAAGTACACGGCCTACAAGAAGGTGAGTTGCCTAAAGAAGCCCAATAGGAGTATCCTTCATCCCCCAAATATTTGGCAATTGGCAGGACTCCAAGTATCAGGAGGACAAACGCAAGATGCGCAACTACAACGAGGTGGTGGAGAAGCAGCAGCAGAAGTTCAATAAGAATAACAACTTGAATGGTGAGATATTACTAGTAAATTATTCAAAAAAAAATAAATTAGGCAAAATTAAATATTTATATCACTTTTTTTATGAAAAGTTGTAATTAAAAAGGGAATAATTTGTTTGGTTTTTAGAACCATTTTGTTGTTAGTTAAATTCATTATTTAAAGACCTAAACAATACAATTCATAGAAATTTCTATAACTTCATCAAGTGTTTTGATCATGACTTCTAGTTTATTTTGTTACCAGTCAAAGGGCAAACCATAAAAACGGTAGACTTAATTATAATATAAAAAAGATTGCACTTGTTTCGCAAAGTAAATTGGAAAAACGACAAATGAAATATTTTTCTCCACTATTTTAGTCTACTTTTTCAAGATCCGTTTTATAATCTCTTGAAAAGTAGATCCTACAAAATCTGAAAAAGAAAAACAACCCTTATTCTAATAATTTTTTACTCGTATATTACCAGCTTATCCCTCGAAGTCGGCGGAGTGCAAGCCGCAGCAGCTGACGGCGATTGGCAACCGTCTGCTCGACTGGTTCTCGGTGATCATGGCCGACAGCAAGAAGCGGCGCCAGCACAGCCAGAAGTCGAAGGCCCACTTCCCGCCCGCCTGCAAGACGGAGGCCAAGTGGATGTTCGGCCATTTGGATCTGAACAACGACGGCCAGTTGTCCCTGCAGGAGATGTACGATCTGGAGCACGACCAGAACGAGCGGTGCATCAAGCCGTTCATCGACACCTGCGACCTGGACACCGACAGCTCCATCAACACCAGGGAGTGGTGCCGCTGCTTCGAGAAGACGGACCGTCCGTGCGCCGCCGTTCGCCGGAGAATCGCCGGCGACTTTGCAGGTGAGATAGGTACAGGTGGACATTTCTCTGGCTACATAACACTAATACTTCTATGTTCTCTCTATATTCGTATGAGTTGTGCGGGGTCCTGGGCCTTATTTATGTACAATCCCTACCCCCCAAAAAGAAAAACATAAACAACCAGAATACAACCAAACCAAAAGACCGAAAAGAAACCAAAAAAATAATATGTATAATCCTACAAACGCGCAAAGAGTAATTTGGTTTTAGTTGGTTTTCGTTACTTTCACTACCGCCTCTAACGCCATCTCTTTCGCCGCCTCTGTTTCCGTCTCTTTCTATCGCGCTATCTGCCATCTCTTTCGGACGGCGCTTTGTTGCCCGCTTAGTTTTTGTTTGTCTGACACTCTTTGCTCCTACTTTACACGCGTTGGAACCTTTTTCAAACTATAATTAAGCGCCTGACAGCTAAATAGAAACCCTGACACACTTACACTTGTACACAAACACACTCTCACTCACACACACACACACCAACACACAAAGCAGTTAACAAAAGTAACCTTTTTTCGCGCCGCTTTCGTTGTTAACTTTCGTTTTGTGCTCGCTGCCCCGTTTTTTTCTCTATATATCTCCAACTTTTAAGCCAGCAAATTAAACACTTTTAACAACAACACAGAACTTTTAACCCCTCAACCCCCCGCTGTAGAAACCGCCACTGTCCGATGCTTTTTGTGTTTGCCTTTTCAAAGCCCCTCCAAAAATATATATATATGTACATGAAACACCCAACTATACTCGTATATAATTTCATCCTTTGTTCGCCCGCCAAAACACGACCCTTAAACCCAAGAAACCGAATACAAAATAGATCCAGCAACAACTTGCTTGTGCCGCTTCTCACCGATTACAAAACTAACCCACATACCGCTGCCCCACCAAGTTGCCCCACTAAAACGTTGCACTTTGTTCTCTCTCCCCCCGGTGGCGATGCTAACTAATTAGGCGCCTACGCACCGGACTGCGACATCCAGGGATTCTACAAGCCCACCCAGTGCCACAATTCGGTGGGAGTCTGCTGGTGCGTGGACAAGCACGGAGTCGAGTTCGCCAACACACGCACACGCGGCAAACCCAACTGCGGTGAGTAGTTGGGAAAGGGAAAATGGAAAAGCCGAGGGATGAGGGTGCAGGATACAAACACTTAACCCAAACATTTGGCGGGGGGCCCGAAACAAAGGAGCCCACAAAGTTACAAAAGGCCATAATCACCGGGAGAAAGTGGCAGTGGAAATGGGTTAAGCTGGTCAGTTGCCGTGCTTAAACCTCTGCACCCTCACAATTGACGTTTCCATAGCAAACCAAAAAGTGGCCAAATAACATAGGTAGTATAAAAACGCGGGTTTCCGGCAAGCTGAAAATCTCACTGCAAAAGTTAAACCATTAAAAAAAATATAACCTTTTTTGAAAACACCCGAAATCTACAAAAAATAAATATTAAAAATAGCTTTCCCCCATTTTTTTTCTGCCAAAATCAATAGACCCTAATTCAACCACCGATTATGCGAAATAAATGAACATGTGCAGAAGTAATCCTCAGTGGTCTCCATTTACTGCAGTTACTAGTCACTGCCAATTAATGTGGAATCCCAATGGATGAAATATGGCTGAAATACTCCTGTTTCTTTAACGATTTTCGTGGCTATCGAACTGTGTCAGTCCAGGCCTCCCACGGCTCGCCACCTGAGCCCTGGATTGAAATTCCAGCCTTTAAGCCAGCTTTTATGACCCAATGCTGAGTTATGCGATGCCGCAGTGCCAGCCGCCTGTCTCGGTATCGAAAACACCTCGCACTCCGTTGCGTATACGTAATCTGCTTATCTCAACCGCCCCGCGCCATCCTCCGTCCCGATTACTTGGCCTATCCTTGTGTTCTGGATTGCCGAACCGAGCTGATTTAACTCAGCACTTAAGGTTGTTAAAGTTGTCAGGGGCAGAAGCAGGAGCAGGAGGCAGCAGAAGAAGGACAAGCCGGTCAGTCCGGGGGATCGGTAATTGAGTTTTCCTATTAATATCGCACATACGCCATGCATAACACATGAGCTGCCTGCGAACGGGTTTCATTTCGCTTCCTTTCGTCCGCTTTCAAAAATAACGAGCCAGGATGCTCTGCGGTTGACCGCCATTAGACATTCATAGGGAGGAGCTGGGAACGGGGGGATTTGGGAATCTCCATAAATTCAAGCACACATCCTAATTTCTAATTTCATGTCCAATCCAAACAGAGTCCGTGGTTAATAACGCCGCTTCGCTCACATCCGACGACGAGGACGAGGGCGAGGGCGCCGATGACGAGGACAGCGCGGAGGGGAGTGCCGATCAGATGCTGGTTTTCTAAGCGTCCCCGAGACCCCATGACCCTGAGCTCCTTCAGCTGGGGCAACCCGTAGCCCTGGGCCCTGGCGCATCATCCAATCAGCGAGCTAGCGTTATAACAGAAAATTAATATTATTATTATTATTATGATTGCAAACAGAGCGAGGAAGTAAAGTAAAGGCAAACGCAGCAGCGAAAACCCGAAACCAAATCGAAAAAACAGAAAACAGAAAACCAGAAACATAAATGTGCAGTAGCCAAGTAAGCGTTTTTGAATAGAACTACGAATAGCAAACAGCAGAAGCAGCAAAACACACACACACTCACACACCATCTAACACTCCATGCCATCGAGGATAACTAAAAGGAGCCACAGGACGAAGAGGAGGGCGAAAGCCAAAGAGAAACTGTAGCATAGTTGAAGGCGCATCGCACGCAAATTGGCAAATCGCTGATGTAGGAACCAAAAAAAAAGAAAAACACCCTAAACCACCCATCCAAGGCTCAAGCTATTCCTTTTTTTTCAGTCAATAAACACAGCCCAGTCAGCCACGATTTCTCCTTTGTTATCACCGTTGTTTGCACGGATGGGTGACCATCGTCTCACTAATCCGTCTATTTTGGCCTTTTGCAGCAGCATTAGATCCCCCCATTTATGCATATATACCACTCCTCTGCTTTCGCGCAAGCAAAACACGACACACGCTAAGAATTCCGCCCAACAAAAAATATATAAAAATTTATGTGATAAGTTTTTGAAATGAATGAGAATACGAACGAATACGAGAAAGGCAACAAACCATCGGCAGAGACTAGCGACTCCAGGGCCCTCAGGATCAAAAGGATCATAAGATCACCATACCGTTGGATCGTAGGATCGTTATGGAGACACAGGAACGTGTGGCCAAAATGAGAGTAGTTTGAGTGGGGAAAGGTTTTCGGAGGAGGCGAACTCATAGTTGCATATGTACGAAACATAATCGCGTTCATTTAGTGTTACTTACCAGATATATAGTGAGAGATCCGGCGCTTGCAAGGCTTTGTTAGGAGGCTAACGTCGTTTGTATCAGCACCTGCCAGGGCAAAACTCAGCACCTGCTTTTAAGTAAACCGATTGTCGGTAATTGTCAGTAAAACACCCACTCTCCAAACACATACACACAGCACTCCAGTATCCAAAATCCAGAATCCGGGGAAATTTCCACACACTCGTAGGACATACGACATTATAACTTAAGGAAAGGACTCGGCAAGAGATTCGATAAATGGCAATTCGCTTATACATGCATATATAAATAAAATATATAATATGTTTAACGTGTAAGTATATAAGAGGCATAATTAAGTGGCAGCAAATAGCAGATCGTCGTACCGCAGCTCATCTTCAATTTTTTTCAACTCCGCCCTCTGATATTTTCCAGACGAGAATAGCGAATAAAATTGGAATTTTAACACATTTACGAGCGAAAGGGATAAAAACATTAAATGCTTGCAAAAAGACGAAATTATATAGCCAATTGTAGTAAACAAAACCAATGCATATAAATAAACCTTTTAATTATAGCAAAAATTTATAACCAACAAAGAACATTAATAACAATCATTTGCGAGATCAAGCGAAGAGTGGAGAATAATATCTGTTTTCGGCTGCATTTAAAGCAAAGAGCAAGAATAAAAGAATATAACTGACTATGTACTACGATTACGATTGTATTTATGTATGTATTTACGAACCTGTGTATTATTATGCGAACTGCATTAATTCTAGGGAGCCAAAGGGGCAGCCACCACAGAAATAGAAGACCCATTTAGAGATCAGCAGACCCTTGGCACTATTATTTTCCTGTATTTCGACTTGGTTTTTATCACTCATAAAATACGCAATTTCCCATAGAATCGACTACATTATACGTACTTAATGCATTTGGAAAACATTTTAAAGATAACATTTACTTGACTCGATAGCACAGGTTTTCGTTTCTACTAACTACGATTCGTTTATATATGAAAATGATGAAATCAATAAATATTATTTAATGCAATTCAAGTGTGGACTCTTTTCTTGATAAATCACCCAACAGGTAAGGGATCCATTTCTATGGCCAAAACTTTGGGGCGCGTGTTTTGGCCGGACATTAAACAAATTGTGGAAACTTGTGACATTTAAGCGGGCTCCATAACAACACAAAAGCGGCAAGAATGCGAATGACTAACAATAAATTTACGAAGCTAATTTTATGCGCACACAAGCAGCAAAAAGCCAAACAACGAAAATGAAAACGAAAACCAGAAGAACTCAGCGAGGGCGACGCGCAACAGGCGCCCAAAACAATTATGGCACAGATTTAAATAAATTTTAGTTTGCTGGGGATGGCTCTTTGGCGAGAAGTGTGGGTGGGGGGTCTATATGGAGCACACATCAAGTCAACGAGTTCACACGCTAGTTGGTTAGGTCGGCGGGGAACGGTCCCCATATCGCCATAGCCATATAGCCAGCCATTTAGTTATATAGCGGTGTCAAGGGTGCCGAGACCGGCGGCAACTTTGCCATGCCGTACAAAACGGAAGTTCTCGGCGACAATTAAGCAACACACACTGTATATAGTATAAAAGGGGTAAAGTTGCACTAACATTCTTAGCCAAGTCTGTTAGTCAGTCAGTCACCCAAAGTTCACTGCTGCACGGAGACATGAAATTGGTAGGGAACAATTCGATGAAATTTTTTTAAAGTTAAACAAATATTGTATATTAATGCTTGCTTTTTTATGGCCATACATTCTTATACATTTCTTATACATTTTTTATGAATCCATCAGAAAGTGGTATTTTTTTCATTTATTTAAAAATATGTCATTTAAAAAATGTTATTATTTTTGTAATATTTTTTGATTTTAATAGGGCATTTTTAATATTTCTTCGGTATTTTTTCAGTTTACTGCGAAACATTTCCTTGTATAATTAAAGTACCTATGTAGCTTAAAGTTTTGTTATTATTTTTCTCCGTGTAATTAGTATTCTTGTGCCTAGATTTTTGACTAACTGGCTTTGGCTAAATATTTGGCCAACATAAACAATCCCGGCTGAGTCTGTGTCGGCTCATTTGCATAATTCTGTGAAGCAGACAATGCGACAAGTTGCACATGCAACGCCTGGCTGCTCGAGCAGATTCAAGCCCCTTTGCCAGCTCGCTATACGGGATGGGAATGGGAATGGCAATGTTCTGAGCCGGGCCAAAATGCTTTTATGTCAGCCAGACGGTTTTGTTGGCGGTTATGGGTGCTTCACATTGTTACGGCCTTTCCCCACCCGGAATACCCATGACTTTTTGGCATTTTTAATTAGTGTTTTGATATGTGTGTGCTACAGCAACATTTTGTTGCATGCACTGGGCAACTTTTATTTTTATGCGTCATTCAGGCGTCACTGGGCCCTTGTTGTTGACACCACGCACACACTCACTCAGTGCTTTATAGTTCAAGGTGAGTACGTAAAAGTTTTGTGGTACTGGGACTGGAAATAAACTCAGAGCAGAGCCTTTTGTGCTCGGCCATAGCGTTAAAAATTAAAGCCTGCCCCATTCGTCCTGCGATGTTGCTGCAACATTCTGGCTCCGTGTCACGCCACTGAATGTTTCGCATTATTTAACCCCTTTCTATTTTTTTTCGGGTGGCCAGCAGTCCAGGGGCGGCGCATGGGGGCAATGCTGCAGGGGCGTGGCCTGCAGCTGCTTGCAACGGGCAATTATTGCGCAGTTATTGCATGTCGTGTGCAATGCCTATGAATTATTACGTATACGCAGAGTGTCCACAGCGAAAACGAAAGTCGGGAGGCGGGGAGGGACGGATTTCATGCTGCAGTTGTTAATAAATTCAACGAAATTGCTACAGTTTTTATGTGTAATGTTTGGCATGGTAAGTAAATATATTGCATTCTTCTTATTGATTAAAAATGATGTTTTCGTGAAATTCCTGCAGTTTACAATTGTTTTAATTTGATTTTTTTGCTTTTAATTAATTTTTCGTCCATAATTAAGTTACAGTTTTGCTAAAAAAATAATTTAAAGAAATAAAAACTATTCATATATGGTTTTGTAGCAAGGACAGCTTATCGCATTGCCAACTATTCAACATTCTGTATGGCGAAACCGCACGCTCTCCAAAAACCTCCTCAAGTCAGATGGCGTTCATTAAATTAGGTAATCGCATGTGCCCTAATGTCAGCCATATCGCCGCTCAACCAAGACATTTCGGTCGCTGTGGCAATAGAGATAGAGCGCCACCGACCTTGGCCAACTTGCCGAATGGGTTCCAAGTGGCAACCGCAAAGGTCACGCACAGCTCGCCACTGCGACTTGCACACACTACCAATTGATACCAGGGGGCCCTTTGATGACACTCTAATTAAAGGCTACCTGCCACTAATTAGCGATAAACAATTGGCTCTTGCCACAGGTAAGGGACTTCGATGGCCCAAGAAAAGGAGGCCAACCCGGGCTGGCCATTTGTCATTCGGAAGCAGCAGCTACAAAGGGGAAACAAACGTTGTCAACGCCGAAACCACTGAACTGTTAAAAGTGCCATTGAATCCAACAACAAGCGATGCTGGGCGCAACTGTGCAAACAAACAAACTGTCGGAAAGACAGGGGCATGCATGGCTAGATGCGGTGTCTGTTCGATGGATGTGTATGTGGATATGGATCCCGAGCTGAGCTGAACCCACCTGAATTGAACCGAACTGAACCGTGCCCCCAGATGAGACCTCGCCCACTCCAAAAACCCTTTGCAAGCGTTAAATAGTTTTGTTTATTGCACATTGAAATCGAGCCAGCGAGCAATTCGGTGGCTGCTCCGCGCGCGACACACTCCAGCGATCTAATCAGCAATCTCGACGACATGAAATTTCTCATACGCTCGGTTAGCCGCGACGTCGACGCTCGATCGAATATTTTCTATAATATACAGAGCAATTAAATAAATAATAACCGAAAGCTGTTGAACAAAATTAAAGAAAAGATATAACAAATATTTTATAAATCACCTGAAAACGAAAATCAAATCTGATTGAAGTTGTTCAACTAAAGTGTGGCATATTTAATTCAATAAATTTATTTATCATTTAAGAACAGAAAAATTGCATGAAAGCATCTCACCATTTCGAGAAAATCGAAAAAGAATCAAGGCAGATTTTAAATAATAATCAAAAAAATATATTGTTTCAAACACTAAAAAAATGTATTATTTATTTACATCACTTTTTGTACTTTTTCTTTTACTTTTTTGGTTTACATCTTTCTTTTATCATCCAAAATTATATATTTTTGTTTATCAGATTTCAAAGACTTTTGATTTACTTTGGTAGTTTTTATTTTGTAATATTTTATTTTATTACCTCATAGTTTCAGAGATAATATAAAGTATTTTCCCCGGTGCTCTGCTGCTGCTGCGTCAGAAGCATTCATATCATTTACATACGCGGCGTTTCGGAGTGAGTCGACGAGTACCTGGCGCTCTGAAGCCTCTGGGTCTGGGGGATGGATCTCGATCTCTCGGCTGGGGGCCCAGATCAGAGTCGGCTATTTGCAAGTCGAGAGCCGGGCGAGTCGGACGTACGATCGCCCCAGCGAATTGAAAAGAAATAAACGTAACAGATAAAACAAAGTGCATTCGGCTAATGGAAGTGGTGGCAAAAGTCAAAGCCACATGATATTTTCCGGAAAAAAAAAACAAACAAATTATGCATAAGCGTGTTTGGAGTAATTAGCACAACGATGCTGCTGGCGTCTGACCCCAAAATCGGCCTAATTTATATTTAATGGCGAGTGGACAGGATTCAGAACTGAACTGAAGTGCTCCCGACCCGGATCCTGACCCATTTGCATATGCAAATAGTTCAAACTGCAGGCGATTGAGTGGCAAACAATCCGTACGTGCACGTGTCGAAAGTGTTAAACTGTGCCAAACATAACCAGCAAACAAGGGGCAAAAAGCCAGTGAATAAATAGCCCGGTTCGTGTAATGCGTCTACGAGGCTGACCCGTGTTCTAGCCGAAAATCAATTACAATTTATTGCCCGAGTATGCCAAACGATTCGCTGCTGCAACCACAAAAACGCATCTGAAAAACAATGCACCTCCAATCAACGCTGACCGCCCCCTGGCTATGCAAATTAGCGATTTCAGCGATTTTGCTAATTCTCCAGCAGAGTGCAAGCGGTGAGTTCTGCTCTCCACTGACCTTCCCAACTCGCTAAAATCCCCTGCAAAACGTCATCGAGCGCTCCATTCAGTATTTTTAGCCGCTTACCTGACGATGGAAAATCAGAGAGGGTTTTCCAAGAGCGGCGAAGATGCACTCGCCATTTGCATTCAATAGCAAAAATGTGGAAAAACAGAAAACCAAAGCTGCACAGATCAATTTACAAGTCGCTGAGAGGGTTGCTTTTGCTGGCTGTGCATGTCAGCTGTGATTATAGATTTATTTGCAAACGCCCTGAGAACGAGTTTTTATTGTTATTGAATGGGAGAATGACCTACACAGGGAAATGCATTGCATACTAAACAACGAAATTGGGGGAAAACACAAGTTAGATAAGGATTTACTAGGTTTTCCTCATTGTAAAAATAGATAATCAAATTTAGGGGCAGGAAAAATATTCTTGTTAATTAAACACAGTTTTTTTCGACTCAAAACTGATTCCAAAAAAAATCCTACAACATCTTAAAGTTTAGTGTTGTTTTAAAGTTAATTTATGCAGAAAGAAAACCCTATTTATAAAGTTCCTTAGAACACAGAGAAAATTATACAACGTTTTAGATGCCGTTTTCATATAGAAACGTTTTAAAAATAAAAATAGAAACATTAAAAAATGCAAAGTAAAATAAAATTTGTATGAAGCGTTTTACTTTTTAAAATGTTTCACCCCTGGTTTTGCACCTAAAACTTTTGATAATTTTCTCTGTGTATAGTATACCTATTAATATGAATTAAAAAATCTTTAAGCTCAGTCATTTCGAAATCCCCTATTTAAATATTTAGCTAGCTGATGCCTGATTGATTTTCTCATTGCTTACTTATGCATAAAAATATCATATTAATTGATGCCCAGTCACAATGGTGCACAAGCTTAGCTACCAGACATTCCCCTCTCGAATTGAAGTGGATACCCGATCCCTATGATCACTGCTCGGCAATTTGAAAAATGTTTTGGCCTGCAGTCATGCGCATCCCATAGATTAAAACCCACATTCATGGCATTCCAATTGCATTCCGCCCCCCAGTTGCCCTGCTGCTCAAGTGTCCGCTGCACCAGTTGCAGCTGCAGAAGATCGTCGGATTCCGTCCGCCACTGGAGTACCTGAATGAGGGCAACCTGATCTACGGCCCGGAAATGCTGGGCACGGGCACCTTTGGGGACCAGGAGCTTCCGGCTAGCCAGGTGTGCTGGCGGATCTGCAACGAGGATCCCGACTGCATCGCCTATGTGCATCTTCTGGACACGGACGAGTGTCATGGCTACTCGTACTTCGAGCGCACCTCACGGTATCTGGCCATTTCGGGGGAACTGCCTTTGGTGGCCGATGGCGAGGCCGTGTTCTACGAAAAGACCTGCCTCCGAGGTGAGTAGAGTTTATAATCACAATCACAGCCGGATGGGGGCTCAACCGACCTTGATCCATTCCGACCTTCCCTTGCAGTTCCCGATGCGTGCCGAGGGCGTCTCTGGGCACTGACCAAAATACCCGGAAGTACGTTGGTCTTCCAGAGCAAGAAGACCATTTCGACGCTGGTCACGCGGCGTGAGTGCGCCGAGCGCTGCTTCTTCGAAAGCCAATTCAAATGCCTCTCCGCCTCCTTTGCGCCCTCGTATCGGAACAATCGTGAGCGGTAATTGACTGTTTGGTGGTTGGTTGTTGTTTGTTGTTTATTGCCGTTGCTTGTTGCCGGACAAATTAATTGCTTTTGTTGTGCATTTTTAATGCATGGCCGAGGCTTTTCGCCGGATTATGACATCACTCGCAGGCGGTGATGGGATAGATTAGGTTTTTTTTAAATTTTTTCTGTAAAAATTTGTGAGTAACATTTTTCTTATTAGCATTTTAGTACAATACTAGTAAGAATGTGATTCTTAAAAGCCAGCCAGATCTTACGTTTTAACAAGAGAGAACGCTATAGTCGGGAGCTCCGACTTGTTACTCAGCTGAAGGAATTGCGAGGGAGATGGAGATACGCATTTTGCAATAAAACCTGTACATTTTACAATAAAAATTGTAAATTTTACAAGAAAAACTTTAAATTTCACACTAAAAATAGTACATTTTACAATAAAAATTACAAATTTTAAAATAAAAACTTTAATTTTTACAATAAAAATTGTAGTAGTGTAGTGATCTCTTCTGTTCATTTAGAATTTTTAACAAATTTAGTAAATGAGTAACAAAACCGTATGGGTTCAAAATTATTTTTGATTTTTTCAATCTTTAATTTTTGGAATTTTATTACGAAATTTTTGGACAATTTGTTGCTTTGTCTTGAATTAATCTTGATACTCCAAATTAGTTATATTATAGAAATTGGTAAGAATTAAATTTTTTAAGAAACATAATGTTATTATTATTATGGTTAAGAGAACTAGAGCTCAGTTATGGATATGCGTAATTAAAATTTAAGGGCGTTTTAGAGAGCAGCTTCGTAAATTACCCAGAGTGAAACATAGAGTCTAAAATCGTTTCGCCTTCCTTTGCAGGTTCCGTGGCGAAGCGAGTCCTGGCCAGAGTCCCTCGCCCCGCCTGGGAAGGTGCATGCTGAGCGACAGGGACAAGACCATTCAGCCGGACGCCTTCCGGGCTGCTCCCTACGACGAGGAGTACATGGAGAACCAGTGCCACGAGCGGCCCGTCGAAAGTGACAACTGTTCGTATGAGCTATATGCCAACAGCAGCTTCAGCTACGCGGAGGCCAGGTATTTGGGCCTCTCCCAGAAAGAGGTGTGTTCACCGTGCTTCGCTTGTCGCGCTTTATGATTGGAATCGAAATCGATGGGATTGGGTTGAGTGATTGATGAACCTTTCCTCCGTTTTGCAGTGCCAGGCGCTGTGCTCGCACGAGACCAAGTTCTACTGCCAGGGCGTCTCCTTCCACTACGTGAACCAGGTCTCCCCATCCGAGTGCCTCCTCCACTCCGAGGACATCGTGTCCCTGGGACCTCGGAGCCTGAAGCTCCGCGAAAACTCCGTCTACATGCGAAGGGTCAAGTGCCTGGATGGTGAGAGATCCTGGGTATGTGGTGTATCAAATCTTAATCTCAATTTCCATACTCCTCAGTCAGGGTTTTCTGCACCCGCGATGAGATGTCCATCAAGTACAACCCCAAGGACTGGTTTGCGGGCAAGATCTATGCCAGCATGCACTCTAAGGAATGCCTGGCCAGGGGATCCGGCAACGGAAGTGTCCTGCTGACTCTGCAGATCGGCACCGAGCTTAAGGAGAGCCGCTGTGGCATCCTGCGAGCTTATGAAATGACCCAGGCATACCAAAGGTGAGAGAAAACTTCGGCCAACCGAAGCCTACATACCCTTGCAGATCATTCCTATGAATTTACAAATCGCAAAAATGTTAAATTTCGTCTTATTATGACATTATTTTTTTAACCTTCCTATAACAGCTATATAATACAGTAGTCCGATTTTTGTTAAATTTAATTCGGATTTCGGAATTATTAAAAAACAGTCATATCCCAGAGTTGAAGAGAATACAATAAAAACCAAAGAAGCTATAATTTATTTCCCATTAATATTCCGATAGTTCCTATAGCAGCAATATGATATAGTCGTCCGATTTTTTAAAAATTTATTACGAATATATATATAAAAAATAATATTTCTAATAGAAGAAGGTAAAATGTTAAAAAACACCGAAGCAAGGATTTTTTTTTGATTATTTTTCCGATTATTCCTATGGGAACTATAAGATATAGTTGGCAGATCCGGCTGGTTCCGACTTATATACTACCTGCAATGGAAAGAAGACTTTTGGGAATGTTTCAAACCGATAGCTTTAAAACTAAGAGAAACGGACAGGCAGACGGACGGACGGACATGGCTACATCGACTCGTCTAGTGATGCTGATCAAGAAAATACAAACTTCTGACTGAAATCATAATACCCTCTGCAATGGTATAAAAAGATCTTTATACATATAGAAAGGGTGTACCTATTATATTCCTTCTTTCCTTTGTACAGAACCTTCATCTCCGCCCTGGTGGTCATCCAGAACAACCCGAATGTGCAGACGCAGGGCGACCGGCTGATCAAGGTGGGATGCATACAGAGCAATGCGACGGCTTCGCTGGGCGTTACAGTGCGGGACAGCAGCGCTGAAGCCTCCGAGCTTGTGCCCAGCGCCATTGCCCTGGAGTCCTCGCTGGAGTACGCGGAGCAGTAAGTTACTTTTGGGATTCTAACTACTTTAATCTAGCTTCCCATCTCACTGATTCCCTACAGCATGTTCCCCCACGAGGGCGTGGTGCACTACAACAGCAGTACTGGCCCCCATCCGCATCCCAGCATCTCGCTGCAGATTGTGGATCTGTCGCACCAGCACGAGACGAACGACGTGCAGATTGGCCAGGACCTGGAGCTTCAGATCGTAGCGGAGTACAGTCCGCAGCAGCTGGTGGAGTTGCAGTTGGCCCCACTTCCCGACTTTCGGGCCACCTCGCTGGTGGCCAAGACGGCGGACAACGAGAACTACGTGCTGCTGATCGACGAGAGAGGATGTCCCACGGATGCCAGTGTGTTCCCCGCCTTGGAAAGGGTGCACTCCGCTAATAGAAGCATGCTGCGCGCCCGCTTTCATGCCTTCAAGTTCTCGGGCACCGCCAACGTGAGCTTCGATGTGAAGATCCGCTTCTGCGTGGAGCGTTGCTCGCCCAGCAACTGTGTCAGTGCCTCCTGGCAGCGGAGAAGGCGGCACGCGGATCAACCAGAGCGAAGACCGGAAGATCTGCGCGTGCAGAACCCAGTGTACATCTCCACCGTGGTGGATGTGGCCCCCGAACAGGGCAGGCTGAACTATTCCAGGGCGCCAGTGGAGGAACTGCCCCTGAACTACAATATACGGGTGCATGGCCCCGATCAGAGCAACGCGAATAGCTTCATGTACGGCCAGCGGGGAGTCCTCTTGATTGCCGGGGTCGACGACCAACTGCATCTGGACAACGTGTGCATCAACCAAAGCCTGCTCATCGCACTCTTCATCTTCTGGCTGATCTGCCAGGTGGCCCTGCTCTTTGGCTGCGGCATGGTTCTCCAACGCTACCGCCGACTGGCCAAGCTGGAGGACGAGCGCCGGCGGCTGCACGAGGAGTACCTGGAGGCGAGACGAGTCCACTGGGCGGACCAGGGCGGATACACACTCTAATTTACGGCTGGGACGCAATGCGTACAAAATGCATCTTAATTTAATAAACATAAACCTATGCGGATCTTACAAACGAGAGATGGAGATTTCAGGAGTTCTTCTTGGGCTGGTAGTGCTCCCACTTGCGGTGATTCAGCGAGTTGAAGTCCGGGCAGTTGTGGGCGATCTTGCGCAAGTAGTCGGACAGCTTGAGCAGCTCCGTGTCCGTTCCCCGGTTGAGATGAGCCTGACGGAAGGGACGGATCTTTAAGCCGGATTTGGGGTTCATCAGGAAGTTGCGGCGGATGTCATCGAACATGATGGTGTTGCTGGAGCTGTACTGCTTGTACAGGGCCCAAATCACCCCCAGCGGCTTCACGTCCACCACTCCGCGTTCCGGCACATGGACAGAGATCATGGCCGTGGAGTCGAGGTAGAACATCACCTTGTAGTTCTCGTTGCTGGCCACGCCCAGCAGGCGCATCTTCTCCTCGATCCAGCGCATGCTGGTGGCGGACCAGATGACAATGTCGTAGTCCTCGTAGGCGGAGGCCAGGAACTCGTGCAGATACGGACGCATTAGCTCGGTGCCCGTTTCAGCAGGCGAGCGGTGATCAAAGAGGGTGTAATCGATGTCCAGGACGAGCAGCTTCTTGCCCTCCCGTGGCGGCGACAGCTCCTTGATCTTGTAGTCGCGCACACGGCGCTGCACCTTGGCCAAATAGACGGCCGAGTGCTCCACGGACTCCTCGCGCTCCTCGGCGTCGTCGAAGTCGTCGACCACCTCGCCAATGTCCTCCGGCAGGCTGCAGGCATCCTCGATGTCCGCCTCCGTGGAGCCCACCATCATCAGCTTGAAATTGGGCTTCAGCTCCAGGGCGCTGATCTTCACATTGTCGGCGGCTGTCTTTCCTGCAAGTCATGGTGGGATCAGTAGAAGTCCTTTAAACTATCTTTTATTGCGAATTCACCTTTGTACTTTAGGTTGAGCAGCTTCTGGCGCTCGGGGCGCACCTGTGTCTTGCGGAAGATCTCGTGGCGCAGCACCTCCACGGTGTCCTGGTCGGTGAGGTCCACAGGGTACTCCCTGCCGGACCACTTGACAATCACGACCACTTCCTTGACCTCCATCTTTGTGTGCTTTTGTTCCGACTGAGCTATCAAACCATCAAAGGCTTTTTGAGCTAATTAGTTAACTTGCAGTAGGTGGATTACAGTAATTTTTGCTTAAATTCTATAAACTTATTTTTTGGCGAAATAAACAGCGTCGAGCTGTGGAACATCGATTGCGCTATCGATAGTAGACCGGCATTATCGATTTCTTTGAAACATAAATGATGGTATCAAAAGCTATAATTTTTTAATTAAAAAAGTTTATTTAATTAGTAATATATTTACCAAAATTTAACCGTTGGCAATTAATAATATCTATTAGAATAAACTAAACTGTTAAATTGCTGAATTGTTGAAAATTCAACAAAAAATTTCAGCAATTAAGGGAACTATTCAAAATGGTTCCTGTTGAATTTTTAAACAGCTGTTTTTTGGTGAAAACTTTTCACGGAACTTAAAACATGTGAAATTTGATTTATTATTGCTAGTTACTGCAGGTTGCCAAGGTAAAAATAACCACAAATATGCTTTCTAAGTATATTTTGAAATAAATAATGCGTACTGTTTATAACTTTTGATAAAAAAAGGTGACAACTCTGGTTTTAAAAGAATCAACAAAATTTTCAATAGCCCCAAAGCTGTTGAATTGCTGAAATTTCTGAAATTTGACTTTTCAACAATTCAACAGTTTAGGGAATCCCCTTATTAATTATTAATTGCAGGAATACCCCCCATATAAGAATACCCCCAATGTGTGAGCAAGCGATAGTATCGATAACTTTGGGCTGACTCTACCAGCTGAATAACAAAAAAAAATAGCAATTGGCAAATAGGCATAAAATTGGTTCGGCAATGGACTAAACAAAGAAAACCTGGTTATCCCACCGACCGAGAGTTTTCCTTACGCCCACCGCCAGCTCAGCCAGAAAGGAGCTCTGCATGAACTACCTAACGATTCTGCTGTGCAACCGAAAACCGACGATGCTCTCGCGCCGGAGCAAGGAGAAGTCCCAGTCGCACAAGGAGGGCGTGGTGGGGAAGTACATGAAGAAGGACACGCCGCCGGAGATCCCGGTGATCAATGTGTGGACGAGCGACCAGCGGGCCAAGAAGAAGTCGCTGCAGCGCTGTGCGAGCACCTCGCCCAGCTGCGAGTTCCATCCGCGGAGTTCGAGCACCAGCCGGAATACCTACTCCTGCACGGACTCCCAGCCGGACTACTATCATGCGCGGCGGGCGCAGAGCCAGCTGCCCCTGCAGCCGCACACCCCGCATCCCCACTCGCTGCCCCATCCGGCGGCCCATCCCCATGTGCTCACCCACCCACCGCTGCCGCCACACCAATTTCGGGCCAGCAGCAACCAGCTGAGCAGCCCCAGCAGCAGCAACTACGTGAACATCGAGCAGATCGAGCGGATGCGCCGCCAGCAGTCGTCGCCTCTGCTGCAGACCACATCTTCGCCTGCTCCGGGAGCCGGGGGCTTCCAGCGCAGCTACTCCACCACCCAGCGGCAGCATCATCCCCACATGGCGGGCGCGAGCTACGACGGGGATCAGGGCCTGCTCAGCGCCTCCTATGCGAATATGCTGCAGCTACCCCAGAGGGCACCCTCGCCCGCCCACTACGCCGTCCCGCCGCCGCCCCAGCAGCAGCATCCCCAGAATCTTCCCCAGCTCCACCAGCAGCACGCCTCCACGCCCTTCGGCTCCACGCTGCGCTTCGATCCGGCTGCCATGTCCATCAGGGAGCGACAGCCGAGGTACCAGCCCACTAGGTAAGGGACTACTACTGCCTAAGGGTTTAATTCTCTTTAGTTGGTTATTGGTTAAGACAATTTTATAATAATGAGGGTAATTTATACTCGAATACGTGGTGATTTTTCTGTCCATTTTAATCATTTTTTTTCCTTTATCTAAGGTCCGTTTTCTCGTCCGCCTGTTAAATTTAAAGTATGGTTACAAGTCGGATTTCCCATACGATTTCAGGGTTTTAACTTTAAATTTAACAAACAGACAAGAAATCGGTTCTAAATGTAGAGAAGTCGAAGTTCAAGTAGTAAAAATTAAATAAAAATCTAAAATTAAACAGTTCCTATTATCACCAAACGCAATGACAATGTAAATTTAATTTTTCTTTAGTACCATTTAATAATCTACGAAAAAAAACGATCTAATCTATGCGAAAGAACTGACTTCTTTTTAATTTCATAATTAAAATTGAATCAAAGATTTTTTGTTTAATATCACATGAAACAGTAATCAATATTTTTTAAAATTTATTTAAATTCTCTAAGGTCTGTAAGAGAAATTTGAGCGAGATAGAATTTGAGCAAAGGTTTTATTCTTTTAGTTGGTTATTTTAATGGTTATTGTTTAAGACAATTTTATAATAATGAGGATAATTAACAATAAAAGTAGAGAAGCCTAAGTTCAACTACTTTATGAGGTCATAAATAGTCAAATTAAATAAAAATATAAAATCAAACAGTTCCTATTATCTCCGTAAACAATGACAATGTACATTTAATTTGACTTAAGTAGCATTTCATTGTTTATGTCTAGCGAAAAGACTGATTTCCTTTTAATTTCATAATTAAGAATGATGTTTTATATTTCGAATCAAAAAGTTTTTGTTAAATATCATACAAAACAGTAATCAAAATGTTTTAAAATGTATTTAAATTCTCTAAGGTCTGTAAGAGGAATTTGAGCAGGTAGTGTCTAGCATTATAAACTGTTCTACCAACTGTTTTTATAAAAATCCACCTCTCCTGCTCCCACAGGTCTCCGATGCAGCAACAGCAGCAGCTGCAGCACCAGCAACTGGCGGCTCACCTGGGCGGCAGCTACTCCAGCGACTCGTATCCGATTTACGAGAACCCCTATCGCGTCTCCTCGATGCGCGCCACTCAGTCGCAGCGATCGGAGTCGCCGATCTACAGCAACACTACGGCCTCGTCGGCCACGCTGGCCGTGGTCCCGCAGCATCACCAGGGTCACCAGGCGCACCACCAGGGTCACCAATTGGCGGTGCCATCTGGCAGCGGTGGAGGATCTCTGAGCGGCAGTGGACGTGGCGGCAGCTCCGGCAGCGTTCGCGGTGCCTCTGCCTCGGTGCAATCTCTGTATGCACCTCCGAGAACCCCACCCACTGCGGTTGGCGGGACGGGGGGCAGTGCCAATGGATCGCTGCAGAAGGTACCATCGCAGCAGTCGCTCACGGAGCCCGAGGAGCTGCCTCTGCCCCCCGGCTGGGCCACCCAGTACACGCTGCACGGCCGAAAGTACTACATCGATCACAATGCTCACACCACGCACTGGAATCATCCGCTGGAGCGCGAGGGTTTGCCGGTGGGCTGGAGGCGTGTGGTGTCCAAGATGCATGGAACCTACTACGAGAATCAGTACACCGGGCAGTGCCAGCGTCAGCATCCCTGCCTGACTTCCTACTACGTGTACACCACTTCGGCGGAGCCGCCAAAGGCCATCCGGCCGGAGGCATCGCTCTACGCTCCGCCCACGCACACTCACAACGCTCTGGTGCCGGCGAATCCCTATCTGCTCGAGGAGATACCCAAGTGGCTGGCCGTCTACTCGGAGGCGGACTCCTCCAAGGACCACCTGCTGCAGTTCAACATGTTCAGCCTGCCGGAGCTGGAGGGTTTCGACAGCATGCTGGTGCGGCTCTTCAAGCAGGAACTGGGCACCATTGTGGGCTTCTACGAGCGCTACCGGTGAGTGAGCGATGAGTTGGCTGTATTCTCTATAAACTACCTCGCTCTTATTACACATTTCAGTCGCGCTTTGATACTCGAGAAGAATCGACGCGCCGGCCAGAGCCAGAACCAAAACCAGTGACCAGGTGACGACTGATTCAGACCACAAAACTCGCCAGCAGCTACATAGTTTATACGTAGTGTCCTGCAATCGACCTTTAACTTATTTAACCATCGACTCATCGCGAAATCAGTGCCTTAGAGGGAGAGCCAATCCATGACAGTTCGAGTGCCTTGATTTAACGTAGAAATGTGCTACGTTCGAAATACCCTTTAATGTGATTTGTAAAATGTGCAAATTAAACTGGTTTACTGATCATCATACTGGCCCAGTGCAATTGTAATCGACGTGCAACGTGAACCCCCGCAGGTTGTTTTCAAGCGGCGTCGAATTCTTCCCCGGATGTTTTGGAAATTCAGCCACCGCTGTTGGTGGCCAAGTTTTGCTTTAGCTTGGCACATATTTCCGAATTCCATGCCAACTTTTCGATTCGCTTGCAAAATTATGCATTGGGCACAAGTGGATCGTGGTTGATTCTGCATCAGCAAAAAACAAGCGCCAATAGAAAGTGAATCTTGTGTTTGTTTCTGTTTGCGTATGCTTATTTTTAGTCGTATGCTTATTTAGTCGAACTTGATAATTCAGAGTCTCGGACGCCCTTATCGAATGGCAGTAAAACTTTACTGTTGCTCTTTCTGCAGGTCCCTCAAACTGTTTCTGCTGCTGATAAGAAGTTTCAAAGTCTTGTTTGAAATACGCTATAAAGTTGGGACTCGAGAATTGTTGAATGGTATGAGCTAATATTAGCTATCTTCAGCTAATTGGAAAACTATTAAAATCAAGTGGCTGGGAATTTTTCATATAAATTTTAAGAGTTCTCATTAATTATAACTTTTAATTTTTATTTGTCATTATAATGTACATACATAAACTTAATGAGTGATTCAACATTAATTAATAGTCTCTTAGTAACCAGGAAATACTTTCTTTGACTAATATATTTTTTTTTCTTAAAAAATAATTATATATAGTGAAGATTGACTGTCAGAACATACTTTTTTGTAAACACCATTGTTATCTCCCCCACAAATGCCGGCTTTAAAGTCTCTTTTCAAATTGTAGTTCAAAACAAATTCGCTTATTTTGGAAACCCGAAATGAGCTGTCAAGATATTTGGTATGATCCCGAGTAAAGTACCCACCTTTTCGGCTGCCTGATGGGTTCTCAAGTGCAAAAATAAAATATAATAAAACATCAAGACGGCGGGGCGATCCGCTCTCGCTCCATTTGTTGTTGCTTTTGCTGGGGCTACCGCTCCTCTGCCGACGTCGACGCCGACTGCACCGCTCCAATATTTAAACGGCTCCATTGAATCGCGCACTCAGTTGCTGGAGAGTCGCCATCGGTTCCAAGCTCATTTCATTCCATTTGTCGCCATTACCCGTTTAATCGTCGGTTAGGCACATTGTTTAACTTTTAATTTAACGTGAGTGCTGTGGTGTGATGTATATCACTGGGCAAACAGTCTGTTCTAACCACATTATCTTTATTTCGACCAAATCGGGCGGAGAATACATATGTTTTTCGTTAGCCGCTCAAATCTCCGCTTTGCTTTCCCAGACGCCAGTGAAAGTTCTAATCCGGCTGAAACAGACGCAAAATAGTTGTATCTCGTGCGTGGAATTATGAATGAACGGCTTGTATTTGAACAACTGTCTTTTCCAGAAGTTCTTAAACCGAGAGTGTTGATGAAAACAAATACACGTTCAAGATAAATCATAAAAATTTTACCTTTTTTTGTGAAACTTTATATTGAACACGTTTTAGTTAGAAACATTATAGTTTCCAGTAATCTAATAAAATGCATAAAACATTAGGAAGTTACTAGTTAATTGTTTTCTAAGAAAAATTAATATTTCCATAGAAGATATTTTCAAATCTAATATAAGAAACTTGTCTAGGAAAAATGGAGAATATCATACCGAAAAGGCAGAAGATATTTTGAAATATAATAAATATTTTGTATAATATCTTCTACTTATAATCCACATAAAAATATATTTAATAGATCTATAAACATTTCAAAAATGTTCTGTGCAATGAATGATTTACAGTGAACCAAGTCCACCGGCAGATCGTGACTTGCTCTTACAATATTCCCAGCTTATCTGGCGATCGTAGTGCATTGCCCAATCTATTGACTATCTTTAACCTGCGACATACTGCCACAATAATTCGAATAAAACCGATTGACACTATCAGCTCCATTGATTGAGATAAGCCCGTTCTCACGCGGTATTTACACTTCTTCACAATCGCCTTGTCACGGCCCTCCCTACTATAAACCCCCTCGCAATATAAATAGTCTGGAATCTTTCGTTTTTTATGGGCGGCCGACAAAGCCGTGTATTTCCTGCTACGGCCCATAGCATATAGTGAGTTCTCGATCGTGTGCCGTGCAAAAGTTTGCTCTAATTGCAAAGTTGTAACATTGAGCGACATTCGTTGAAGGTTGCCGACTCACGCAGCAATTTTATCTCAACACGAAAATTCTATAGATAGCTAAGTGCTACAGGCTTGTTGGAAATAATAATAGAGGATTTTTAGGAACATTTTAATATTTTTAAATTAAATGGCGATACCATAAATGGGTCACTAAACTGAAATTCGCCATCAAGTGGAAGGAGTTGCATTCCAGACTCCTTAAAAATTCATTCCCCTGATTGTCGTCAATTGGTCAATTGAAGTAATTCACGTTAAAATCAATACCATATAGGGTTTCATTGAAGAAGATGCCAGCAGGTCTGGAGACGGAGACTCACGCATGAATAAGCAGACAAGCGAAACCAGAATGGATCGACATTTAAGCACATTCTACCTGGCATTGCTGCTCCTAGCCACAGGTGAGTTTCCAATTCAGATCCAGAAAAGGTATTTAATAATGAGGGAGTTTCTCCTGCTACCCACAGTTGCCCTGGGAAATGCCCAAACCAGTCTAACCGTCGATTCCCATGACATCACCGTTCTCCTGAACACAAACGAGACATTTGTGGTGTTCGCCAAGTGAGTTGCAATTGCCAGGAAAGCCAAGTGATTGCTAATCATGAGACATGTGTATATATTACAGCGAATTATTACCCAACGATGTGCAAGTGACGCTGGGAACGGATTCCGAGGATCACTTGAGTCTGGATCCTTCCTCTTTTACTTATCCCGCTGGCAGTACTCAGAATCAGTCGGTGGTGATAACAGGCCGGAGTGCGGGTTATGTCAAAGTAATTGCCGATAGCGATGCTGCAAACAAAGAGATGTGAGTAATTTTCTGGGAATTTTTATTAGATAAAGAATTTCCCTATAAGTACACAATGTTATAAGGAAGGAATTAACCTAGTAACTCCCTTTTTTCAGCGTTAAAGACGTCTTTGTCCGCGTGACGGTGGCCAAATCGAGGGCCTTGATCTACACATCGATCGTTTTTGGATGGGTGTACTTTGTGGCCTGGTCGGTGTCCTTCTATCCCCAGATCTGGATCAACTATCGACGGAAGTCCGTGGAGGGCCTGAACTTTGACTTCCTGGCCCTGAACATCGTGGGTTTCACCCTCTACAGCATGTTTAACTGTGGTTTGTACTTCATCGAGGATCTGCAGGCGGAGTATGAGGTGCGGCATCCTTTGGGCGTAAATCCTGTGATGCTCAACGATGTGGTGTTCTCCTTGCACGCCATGTTTGCCACCTGCATAACGATTCTGCAGTGCTTTTTCTATCAGGTAATAATAAGTGGATATTATAGTAAACTGGGTTTTTCTTACCTTTCAATAACCTTATCGCCAAAGTGACAACAATTGTCGTATTGAACTGCCATCAAGTACTAAAACACTAATTGGGTTTAATCAAAAATAGCAATCAAAATGAATCACACAGGATATATTTGATAAGAAGTTAGATAAGACTTATGATATCATATATATTTTATGCAGAGAGCCCAGCAAAGAGTGTCGTTTATTGCCTATGGAATCCTGGCCATCTTCGCCGTGGTTGTGATTGTGTCCGCCGGTTTGGCTGGAGGATCCGTCATCCACTGGCTGGACTTTTTGTATTACGCCAGCTACGTGAAGCTGACCATCACCATTATAAAGTATGTGCCGCAGGCTCTGATGAATTACCGCAGGAAGAGCACTTCCGGTTGGAGTATCGGCAATATCCTGCTGGACTTCACAGGTGGCACTTTGAGTATGCTGCAGATGATCCTGAATGCCCATAATTACGGTATGTTATAGTCCATCATCGTAGTGCTAGAACTGAACTGGAGTTTGACTTTCAGATGACTGGGTGTCCATATTCGGAGATCCCACCAAATTCGGACTGGGTCTCTTCTCGGTGCTCTTTGATATATTCTTCATGCTGCAACACTATGTGTTTTACAGGTAATTGAATAGGGATAAAAACCTTAAGAAGTTATTAGAATAATTACTTTTAAGATCAGATTGAAAGTCCCATCTCCACTGTACACTTATCATTACTGTGCTGTCTTACATTTCTTTCCACAGGCATTCCAGAGAATCCTCCAGTTCGGATCTTACAACCGTGACAGAGGCCCCAAATCGATCAAATGAGTCGCAGAGCGATGTGACGACTGAGAAATATTAGAGCTGTAAAATGTGTGCAGTAAAAGACTATTTTGTACATTCTAGACTTGTAAATATATTTGTATATTTAATATAATTTGTGTCTTTTCATATAAATGGTTTGGGTAACAGATGTTTTATATTTTAGAAACCGACACTCTTACGGAACATTGAATATTCATTCAATAGGATGTTTAAAGAAAGCTATCGCCTATATGTGTCATGCAATAAATGGATTGCAATGTTAATAAAATAATTAAAGTTTAATTCAAAGTTGGCGCCTAATGGACAGCACTGTTTCAATTGGCAGGCAATCAATTTATATAAATTTAATAAAAAAGGTGACAACTCTGGTTTTAAAAGATTCAACGAAGTTTTCGACAACCTCAAGGCTGTTGAATTGCTGAAATTTCTGAAAGTTGACTTTTTATGGGACAGCTGATTAACAGCAGACCAAAATTCAACAATTCAGCAATTCAACAGCTTAGGGAATACCCTGACTAAAAAAAACTTCAAAACAGGAGTTCAAAGTTGGCGCCACTGTTCCTTTGGGCTGCAATCAATTTTATCGATGTATTATCGATTGGGAATTTTCAGGTTTTATAGCCCTGGTCCGCACAACGATGTCCAATTTCGGGATAGGTGTCAACTCTACGCTTGCACGCGAAGTTTTTATTAAGTTTTTATGTAAATTAAGGTTTACCGCCGCAGCCATGGCGCTCCAGAGATCCTCGTCGCTCAGCATGACTTTTAACCAGTAAGCAGCGTTGTAATACTATTTATTTAATCTCAAGAGGTACCATTTTCTTGCAGAAACACTTCGTTTGTTTCGCGTTCTAATAGTCAGACTTTCCTGGCATCTTTCGAGGAGTGCCTGGACCTTCTGGATTTGAGCAACGAGCTGTTTGCCTTTCCAACAGTGAGCAGCGGCGGTTCCAGTTTGCTGCAGAGTTTCGTGGCCAGCGGATGTCCCCACCTGATGACGCAGGTGGTTCAAACACCCGTGGAGTCCTACGCAAACAACACTCATAACAATTCTGCAAACTTGGCCAACAATTCCAATGGCCAAAACAACATAAACAAAGTCATCCAAAAGGGGTGAGCAATTTCAAAACAAGGCGCCCGGTGCCGATAGATATCGGCTGGCTCGAATGTCGGCGCTTCGTGGCGAATGGCAAGATCCGCGGAATCAGTGGCCATACGATTTTGATAGTTTTTTTGTAATCTATAATATTTACCCCCTATATTCTCCCCGATCCGTTGATCGGTGCATAGCTGCCAGTGATGTATATATCACAGCCCATGTCGTGGCATAAAATCAGGTACACTCAGTCGGTATTACCGAGGGAAACGGCAGACCATGCATGTAGCAACACGCTTGTACTTGCACCATTCACGCGGCCACTTGTCTGATTTTGTTCACTTTGCACTAACTTTGTTCATTTTCGATTTCGCAGCACGGATTCCGAGGACGATGTCCATGTGGCCAACGAAGCCTCCTTGGGATCGGCCGATTCCACTGTGGAAGATGGTCCTGCGGATATTGAACAGGCGGTGGCCGTATCGGGATCGGAATTGTGGGTACCAGGTCCTACAATTACTCACTTTTACTATTTATATTTTTTATTTTTCCAGGACCACTGAACCCATGGCCTTCCTGCAGGGATTAAACGTGAGTGACTATACAAACCCTAATAAAACAGTAGATAACTTTTAAATTTATTCCCACACAGTCCGAAAATCTGATGCAGTTCAGCCAGGTGGGTAACATCCTTTATTTAGAGCATCTTAAATCTCTGCGACAGATCGGCCTGCACCAGGATGAGCAGGAACATGGCCACCGCCGAGAAGACATTGCTGATCAGCCGCATGTCCAGTTCGTATAAACCCATCGGTTTGATCTGGAACTTGGTAACCGTCACGAGCAAAGTAAAGCCATGGACTGCCTGGCGGTAGCGAGTGTCCGCATGCCGGAGATTCATCTCCTGCAGGATGACCGCCGATTTTCTGGTGGCGACCAACAGGTGGTTGCATAGATGAGTCAACAAAGTTACCTCCGCCAGCGAGATGAGCAGGAAGACCAGGTTTATAAGAGAACCCAGGCCATCGTACGGCTTGCCCATGATAAACGTGTCCGCGATGGCATAGTACAGACTGTAGAAGCCCACTGTGATGCCGAGCAGGTGGCAGATGAGCGACAGGATCATGGACAAGGCCATGGGAGTGAGATACTTGCCGGCATGCACGTAGATCAGCCTGTAGCGATACGCCAGCTGGTCCAGTTCATCCGCCAGGCAGCAAAATCGCTGCATTCGATAGTACCTGGTGTACAGCTTCAGTTGATCCTTGCGCTGCAGCAGATTCACCTCCTGCAGTTGCAATTCCAGGCGGATATTCAAGGCATTGAGCATCTCCTTCACCACCACCATGGCTCCAAAGTAGCAGTTGTTCAGCAAGTTGGAGATCACCAAGGGAAACAGTTTGTAAACCGTCCAGATCAAACTCATTTCCGGATGCTGTCGCCTTTGCTGCAGCACGAAGGCCACCTCGAGGGTTAGAGGAAACACTATCGTCTTCACCAGCGCCAAGGATATGGATTTGTACAGCGACCTGCTGTCGAGACGAAGTGTTTTCAGGGTGTCAAAGAAGGGCACTCGACTCATCATCTTGGCCACATGGTCACTGATCAGCATCTGGGTCACAAAATTAATAACAGCCACCGAGATGTTCATGTAGCTGTACAGCGTGATGGCGTCCTTCAGGTTGATCTGACCCTGGAGGTACTCCTTGTAGATCTGCCTCCCATACACAAAGCTAAAGGCAATGGTCCATAGCAGAGCGTAAGCTAGATATGCCTTTGAGAAGCGGAACCTTTCATGTCTTCCCGAGCGATACCGATTGGCCAGGAGTCCAAAGGCGGTCATGAAGATTATCAGCGTGATCGTCAGCAATTTCACCATACGCCGATGAGCGTAGTCGCTGGTCAAGTCCATATTTCCCGAACAATTAATTCAGACTAAGGCTATATCCCTTAATAATTGCCTAATTGTTTTCCCATCACTGAATTGATGCCATCTAAAGGACCTGTCACTTTGAAAGACACTATCTAAACACATCGCGAAACGCCTGTAATTCCCTGGCCGCCTAAAATCCAACTGAGCATGCGTTGCGTTGAGCTGAGCGACATTCCCCGTATGACTCAGCAACCTGCCTGCAATTTCATAAGAGCAACATGACGTCACAGCCGCTCGGGGGTTCATTTTCAGTAAGAGAACAGAACAGAACACTCTTATCTAGTTGATTAGCAAGGAACACACTCCTACTGGTCGTCATTTGCAACCACTTGTGAAAGTCCAGAACAAAAACAATCGCCAGTCCATTTGTTATTCGAACAGGCAACGACATGAAGCTCTATCAGCTCTACGAGCGCAAAGTGTGAACTCTTGAAAGGTTCCGGTTTGGTTTACCAGTAAAATAATGCCTTCTTCTTATGCCTTTCAGCAATCCGTGCTGCGCGAGATGATGCTGCAGGACATCCAGAGCCAGGTGAACACGCTGCCCAAGCTGGAGAACCACAACATCGGCGGCTACAACTTCAGCATGGTTCTGGATGAGCCGCCCAAGTCGCACTGGATGTTCTCGGTGCCGCTGAACAAGCTCTACATCCGGATGAACAAGACCTTCAACGTGGACGTTCAGTTCAAGGCGAAGATGCCCATCCAGCCGCTCAATCTGCGTGTCTTTCTCTGTTTTACTAAAGATGTCAGTGGTCCGGTGCTGCGCTGCCAGAATCACCTGAGCGTAGAGCCATGTAAGTGGAGGAATATCTGGAAAATCTATTAGCAATCTCTAAGTTTTATTAATATAAACACCCCCAGTGATCGGCCAAAACATGAAGATGCGTGAAAGCTTGCTGCGCAGCGAGAATCCCAACAGTGTGTACTGTGGAACAGCCCAGGGAAAAGGGATTTCGGAACGTTATTCCATAGTGGTTCCTCTGAACATGTGTCGATCGGGCAACCGGAGCGGTGGCCATGTGCGCCAGACCCTGGCCTTCAAGTTCGTGTGCCAAAACTCGTGTATTGGCCGCAAGGAAACCTGCCTGGTCTTTTGTCTGGAGAACGCAAGGTGACATTGTAGCAGGAAATCCGTAAATTACAATTTTCTAATCTTGTTCTACCCTTCGTAGTGGCGACATCGTGGGTCAGCAGGTTATGGAGGTCAAAATCTGTACGTGCCCAAAACGTGATCGCAACCAAGACGAACGCTCAATGAATGGCAAGAAGCGCAAGTCCCAAGTGGAGGCCACCGACGACGAGGAGCCGGATGTGAAGCCATCAAAGATGCGTCGGCGCACGACGTCGTACAAAAATGATATCAAGAAGGAGGATACGGAGAGCAACGACAGCCACGACAGGAAGAGGGACGAGCAGCCCATCACAGATTGGAACGTGTCGCGGACGCAGGATGGCGAGTACCGTTTGGCCATTACCTGCCCCAAAAAGGAGTGGCTGCTGCAGGGCATCGAGGGTATGATCAAGGAGGCGGCGGCGGGAGTGCTGCGAAATCCAAACCAGGAGAACATTCTGCGCCATGCCAACAAACTGCTGACCCTGAAGAGTAAGTGAAAACGAATATAGTACTTTATAAAATTGTACTTACCTGACTTTTCCCACAGAATGTGCCCAAGAGCTGCCATGACTTTGGAGCTGGCCCACGTTCTTACTACTCTACTCTATGAACAGCCTTTGAAATGTGCTTCAGCTGTGAGGTATAGGTGTAAATCTCTTAAGTTTGTATTAATCTTTGTTAGGTGTTTAACAGTGATATTCCTATACGGTTTTGGCATGAACAAGACCCGAAAAGAAAACATTTATATATTTTTGATAATAATATTGCACTGCTGTTAATTTCAGTTATATGAAACTAAGTAACCTATGTGTAACTCAAGGAATGAGTCGTCCATACTCTGTACAGATAAGCCAATAGTGAATTAAAGAGTTGTCATGTTTTGCAAGCAGATCCGCCAATGTCCAGATCCTACTGTACTCCTACTTCGGAGCGCATGCTATGCGACATGTGGCTTGTGTGCGGTCATTGCTCCTGGGGATCCGTCTCAGCTAGCCTGCTAATATGTCAAATTCGCTGGGCTGCATTTACATATTTTATTTATACCCGTATCTGCGCGCCTTTGGTTTTAGTTCTATGCTTAAACAAAAAACAACCTCAAGCAGGGCGCATGCGTTCGCCAACGCTGCACATGTGCGAGGATGCGAAAAAAAGAGAGGCAGAGCCAGCAAAAGATGCAAAAAAACACCAGATGTTGACACTGTGCCGCAGCTGCAGGCGACTTTAGCTTTTGCCACATGCGGCAGCTGAATGTTTACGCTAGCACATCGATCGCTGTTCATTGACCTAGGGCAGGGCATTAAGTATGCTTTAATTGTAACGGAATGGGAGCCACCGTGGCCATAATGCAGCCAAGGCGGATGTACCACCGGCCTCCATTTGGGGCCTTTCCTTTTTCGCCTAGCTGCCACTTCCACTTCGGCTGGCCTACCAGTTTGGCACCTCGAAAATGGGTCGACGAAAGCGCTCAACAACTCACTCAATTCTCGTTCGGCGAGTGCCAAGAGAAGCAGTTTTGGCTTCGACTTGAGTTCAATTGAGGCGAGAGTCTATATTGCACAGGGAACAAATGTGAGCTTAAGACGTCGTGGTTTCAATAAATGTACATATAGAATTAGGTAAATCTTTAAAACTAAATATTGTTAATTTTTTAAGTAAGTCCAAACTGTTTTCTTAAAACTAAAAACATATAAAAACTATTTTGAAAATATCCATAGTTTATTTTTGTATATTACTGACAATTGTTAATATTGTATGCATATAAGCATAACACAATAAAGAAAATTAAATTAATTTGAAAACAAAGTTCCTCTTAAATTCTTTAATGGTGATACATTTTGTTACATCATTGTTACTAGTCATTTATAACTTAGAGCAAGATAAAAAAAACCCACAATTATTCATAACTTTTCTCTAGGCTTAAAATTACAGGCATCTTTTATTTAGTTGGGTGAGAAAAATATTTCTCTAGTTTGTAAGACTAGGTTTGCATCTAAAGTTTAAAATATACAATTTTTCTCGGTGTTCTTTCACCCACAGATGCACTTACCTTAGAAGCCCAATTAAATATTTGAGTATTTCCTTGATTGGCTAGTGTTAAAAGGTTGACAATTCGAAAGTGCCGCTCAGTGATTCATAATTATTATAATTATTATTTAGGGGAGACTTTAAGACTCATAGAGGGAGCTGCACAGTAAGCAGTTGTTTATCATTTTAACCAGCCCCAGATATCCCATCTTTACGGGCCAGATAAAGGGAAAGCAAACACAAACATGGGACCCTCTCTTATCGGCGCTCATCTCCATCCGCAATTCCCACTGTGCGCGTGGGGAAAACAATATGGCCAGGGCCTATTAAAAAACAGAAAGCCGGGCCCAGACGTCAGGTGAAACGCAGCGACTCCACTCGCGGCACTTCCACTCAAAGGTGCTAGGCGCTGCTGCCCACTCGAATCTGCAGTCGTAGATACGAAAACCAGATAACGCCGAGCGATCTTCACTCAATGGGGGAATACCGCTCTGTAGAGTCAAAAGCTTGTACACGTAGTTTGGCGCTTGGCATTCGCATTCGACTGTTGGCGTTTTTAGTCTGCTGCCTGATCTTCGACGCGTTGCAGCTGTTTTGGAGTCGCCGCGAGTGCCATATAGATATTTGCTTTGACCGCGAAAATTTCTGGGCCAAAAGAAAAATATTTCCCAGTCATTTGTGAGTGCAACAAACTGTGAGTGATGGTGGAGACGGCGACGACAACTACTATAACCCGAACCACGACTGCCGTTCCGGCTGGTTCAGTAACGGTAACTGGACCCACAGCCGCCTCGACCACGCCCACCGCCACCCAGGCGGCCGCGCAGGCGCATCGCAATGACGAGACCACCCGGGCCATCTTCAATCTGAAAGTCATCGTCTTCCTGCTCCTGCTGCCACTGGTCTTGCTGGCCGTCTTCCTGAAGCACCTGTTGGATTACCTATTCTCTCTGGGCCTCAAGGAGAAGGATGTCAGCGGCAAGGTGGCGCTGGTAAGATCATCTATGGGGGATAACTAATGGTTGCGATCAGCGTCTGGCAAATGAGCCATTAATAAGGCTAGTGAGATACACATCTGACAAGGGGAATGTAGTTGGAAAATGCAGTTGAGATTAATATTTTTAGTCCCTTGTGCAAATTCCACTGGTTCTATAATAACTTTGGTATTTTTAATTGAGGAATGACATATGTGAAACCATCATACCATATCGTATTAGTTAGATCTTATATCTGGGGGCCATGCAGCCAGCCAGAAACGTCATGCACTTTCCTTTTCCAGTGGCTGCCTCCGGTTTCCACGCCCACCTTTCGGCTCACCCACCTTTTCCCCTTTCCCGCTTTTCTTTTTCTTCTCTGCTTTTTGATGTCACTGCCATTGGGTGCGGTCGATCGCTTAGGATTGTGTTATTAAAGTAAATATTTATGCATTTGGTACCAGCTCGGCTAGTTGGCCAATTGTTTAGTTGTGTCCACAGCGACGGGTCTTTGGTGCCACGGTCAGCTAATGTGACATAATTTTCCTGTAAAAGCTGCAATCAAGGCAAATCTCCAGCTGAAATTCGTGCTTGTGGCAACCATATCGCGGTTCATTAATCACATGTGCATCTCGGGGCGTCGAATTATGGAAAAGTCAATTGACATCGCCACTGGACAAGGTCAAGTGTGTAGGTTTCGCTGGGTAGATGATTCGATGCTCCATATCGTAAAGAACCTGATCGAATTCGGAGCCCATTAGCATGCTTTTCAGGCCTTAAACGTGGGCGTGTGCCGGCCATAAGCGACTCGCGTAGCGCATTAATGATTCATGGTGGCTCGATTTTTGTTTTAGTCTCAGCTTTTTCGATCGTTCCCTCAGATATCGTTTTCTCAGATACAGATACATTTTTGCGGTTGCACAGGGGAGTGCTGCAGTGCTGGGGAAGGGGGTCAGAAGTTCTCAGCCCATCTGTGAGAAGCAACTTAATTAGAAGATTGACTTTTTTGATAAATTTTATTGACATCATTGTTGGGGAATTCGAGGTATTTCAACCCCCTTTTCGACGCCCCTGTTGAAGCTCCAAACTGGTTTTCTCGCTATATATTTATGCCAAGATGAAAGAGAGCAAAAATGCAAACCTCAGGAACTTCACTTTTGTTTTCGATCGCTGACGTTTGTAAACAACAGCGTGGAGCAGAAAGAACTTTCGGAGGGCGAGATAAAAGTAGGTATCTGGGAAGCATGCCGGGTATCTCGGCGATGCGTAGATAAAACTCAACTGGTGTTGCCGCTGTTAATTTGCATATGATATTGAAATTCTTCAGCGGTGCTATAATCACAACAACTGCGCATTTGTTATTGTTTTTCCGTTGCTATTCACTAACGTGCCAAATTTGAATTGAACTCATTCCGGGTTACATTTCGTCTGATTCCCCACGGCATCTGAGGTCACCCAGTGCGCTTTAATTACGGTCAAAAGTCACTCAATTGTGCCCCAGAGGGTCGGCCCACCGAGCGTATGAGTAATGCCATTCATAAGTCGCCGCTGCCACTGCCGCTCACATAATTGTCCGTAAATGAGGTTTTTGTTCAATGCAAAGTCACATTAGCCCGAGTTGATTGTTTGCAAATTAAGCTAATTAATTTGGCTGAGTATAAGTATAATGTATAATGTGAGTAACCTGTGATTTAAACGCAGGTCACCGGAGGAGGCAGCGGCCTGGGTCGCGAAATCTGTCTGGAACTGGCCCGTCGTGGCTGCAAGTTGGCCGTCGTGGACGTCAACTCCAAAGGATGCTACGAAACGGTGGAGCTGCTGTCAAAGATCCCACGTTGTGTGGCCAAGGCCTATAAGGTATGATATTACTTCGATCTTAATGGTACTTTATTAAAATTAATTATTATTAAAATTAATATTTTTTCCAGAACGACGTATCCTCGCCTCGCGAACTGCAGCTAATGGCCGCCAAGGTGGAAAAGGAGCTGGGCCCCGTGGATATTCTGGTCAACAACGCCTCCCTCATGCCCATGACCTCTACACCCACCTTGAAAAGCGATGAGATCGACACCATCCTGCAGCTCAATCTGGGTTCTTATATAATGGTGAGACTACACTGCTTTAAGTTAATTAAAATAAATATTTAATAGAATAGTTTAAATTGTAAATGATTAAATCTGGTGAGTTTTGAACCCTAAGTTTAAGATCTAAGGTGTTGAAATTTATTTTACATTTTAACAGATTTTAAAGTCAATAAAAAAAATTGCATAGAAACCATTTCAGGACTTTAAATATTTAGTTAAATATTATATGATGGTATGTTGTTAAAACTTTTAATAATACAAAAAGCTTATACACCATTTTAAAAATTTCTTAAATATAAACTAATGAATGTGTTTTCTTTGCAGACCACGAAGGAGTTCCTGCCGAAGATGATAACCCGCAAATCCGGTCACCTGGTAGCTGTGAATGCCTTGGCGGGTTAGTGTACCTTATTAACACTAAAGCTCCCAACTAAAGCTAATCCTTGCATTATTTATATAGGACTGGTACCACTGCCAGGAGCGGGAATCTACACGGCCACCAAATATGGAATCATGGGCTTCATGGAGTCACTGCGCGCTGAACTGCGATTGTCCGATTGCGACTATGTTCGCACCACGGTGGCCAATGCCTACCTGATGCGAACCAGCGGGGATCTGCCGCTGCTCAGCGATGCGGGGTGAGTTAGGATCAGTTAACTATCATCCCGATAACATCTCGATCTAATATGACATATTCCCTTTAGCATAGCGAAAAGCTATCCCGGACTGCCTACGCCATATGTGGCTGAGAAGATTGTCAAGGGCATGCTTCTCAACGAGCGCATGGTGTACGTGCCAAAAATATTCGCACTCAGTGTATGGCTGCTCAGGTGAGAATTGAATTAGCCCAGGTATCCAGCGATTATTCCTAACGATTATTGCCCGCTTCTGTTTAGACTGCTGCCCACCAAGTGGCAGGATTACATGCTGCTCCGCTTCTACCACTTCGATGTGCGCAGCTCCCACCTGTTTTACTGGAAATAGAAAAAAATTATCGGCATTTGAAGGAGGAGAGGAGGATTAGGAGTTTTCCCACCCAGCAGCATTTACGCGGAGAGCTCTTGTTTGTTTCCCATTCTGCAGTTCTTAATTCAACTGTTGCTTACGCTAGGTGTACATGTTTAGCTATTTATACGAAACTTTAACTTAAATTAAATCTATATCCTAACATTAGAAATATTGATTCCCTAGTTAATTAGGCGAAACCTCTCCGCATAGCACTTCTTCTCGGACTTCTGGACACAGGATCTCCGTTCGTAATGCCAAGTGTAGTTCGTCGGACATCGATGGATCAGCTTGGAGCCATTGGAGCAGTAGTAGAAGTAGCTGCAATTTCTTGGATGTGCCATGAATCCATAAACTCCGGCCTGGCAGTTGGTGATGTTCTCTGGCGATGGCATCCTGTTGCAGGACACCAGATGAGCGGGAGTACAGGCTTTGGCCAGGCCCGCTCCCTCGTAGCACACCATATAGGGATAGCAGGGTCCGGCGTTTGGCAAGAGTCGCAGGGTGATGGTCAGTGGATCTGCTTTTTGCGCCGCTATGGGTGGTTTTTTGACCACCAAAGGAGGCTTAAAGGTGGTGCTTAACACCGGATCCTGACGACACCTCTTCACCAGTTCCCTATCCACACAGCGCTCCGACTTCTCATCGTAGTAATGACCTTCCAAACACTCGGCCTCAAAAGATCCTGGACCGGCACAATAAATGTATTTGGAGCAATTACTCCAGCTGGCCACGTAGATTCCCATTTGTGGGGCACTGGCACACTCGTCGAATTCCAGGGCAGCGGTTCGGTGACCCAGCAAGGTCACCATAATAATTCCCAACCAGCTTACAGCTCTCATTTCGTATTCAACCGAAATGCCGGGATGACTTCCAAAGACTGACTTCATCGTTCATCACCGAATATTTTTGCATGTGCGCCACCTGATAAAGAAGACAAGTTGGTAGCATCGATTATTGCGCGGTTATCGTGTACTAGATACCGCTAATGAGTGCGGGGGAGTCACTGCCACGCCCACTACCCCATTTCGTAGCATACTTCCCAGTGGCAAATGGCAACGAGCCTGGTGAAGCCACCGATTTAATGAGTGGGCCCATAACCGCAGCACAATGCTCTCAACTGGGCGCAGTTCAATAAAAATTGAAAATGCACTCAATACGCAATTAAGTGTCGCCACTTCCGGCGGGACAAACGGACGGCCAACGATACCAGACCATTCAGCCCATATCCATTCATCGTCATCCTCATTATTATTTCCATCGTCATCGCCATTGCTTTCGCCATCATCATCATGGTCGTGGCTTGTCGGAGTTAAACGCCCGCCATCGATTTAATATCCGATGAGATATTCATAACTTGCAATTAGGTTTCGTGGCTCTGGCTCTGCGCTTTCCACGCGCTTTCGTTTTACGTAAATGATTGCGCTGCTGATTAATGAAGAATTACCAGGGCAAATGGCTGGGATCTGTGGGCATTATGCAATTCCCCATATACCATCTGCCAATCTGCCATCTACCATCGACCCCACTTGCCATTAACATAATATTCAGCGCTGTCATCGGCGGAGTTCAATGTGCAGTGCCAATTGCACGCAAATTAAAAGTTTTATTAATTGTTAATTAAACGCAGTCGAGTGGCACAACCCAGCAGCTTTGTGGCATAATTTTCGGCTCAATCCCCATATCTGGCTAACAGGTTATACCGCTCGGTCCATATTCCATGCACCAGATGCCGCTTTGGAATAAACACACACAAAAAAGAAAAGGACCCCATATGGTGCCGACGGCTCAAGTGATTAAGTGCACGACGAGTTCTTCAAATGCATCGCAACATGTGCACAAATAACAAAACACACACACATTTGAGTATGGAAATTCTAATTAAGATTGTGGAAGAAGACCCCCAGCACCTGATTCTCCTACTCCCGCGGCACTCAGTACTCAGTACTCGATTCTCGATTCTCAATGCGCATGCGCAGCCCCCGTTCGCCGATCCATAAAAATAGCTCACTAATTATTTGTGTGCTAGGGTTACAGTTCTCATAAAAAACAAACAAACTGTCGGGCGTCTTATGGATCTTCTGCCGGCTTAATGCCCCCGCGAAGTTTTTCAATCCCAATTTGATTCGAAACAGAAGAAGTGATGGCTTTTCCATTTATTATAAACCCTTTTAAATCAGTAGTTGTTATAAAAATATTATTATATTTTAAACATTTTTTTAATTTACTAATAAATTAAAAACACATTATAAAATATTTTTCTATGCTTTTATTCCACAACATGTAAATTTTGGTTGGGTTTTCCGCCTATGCCCTGGCATCTGGATCTCCGCAGCCATCGTGAGGATTCGGCGTCTGCATTTCCGAGCTGATCAGCCGTCGAATCTCCACGAGAACGTTCTCCGTTCGCTCTTCCAGGTGATCTAGGGCGGAGTTGAGGGCGTCCAGGCTTGAGTTGACACTCGCAATGAGACGCTCCGAGTTATTGGTCATTTCCATGAGGTCATCGAAGGTGCTGACCCGGCGACTCGCCTCCGAAATCCTGTCCAGCTCCAGCTGCACCTGCTCCTCGCCGCTTTCCATCGGGGCTTTGAAGGCTGGAAAACAACTTTTCAAATTGACTTCAAAATTTTTTCTCACCGTTGGGTGACCCTAAATCATGACAAACATTTCATGGGCTCCTATTTTCTGTTGACCCGGATGCAAAGTGTAAAGCAAATTTGCCTACGGTTTGTTTTGCCATCAAACATAATTAAAGTTGCTTAGCAAAAACCGATTTAATTTAATTGAAATTGCAGCTAACTGACTTTGGGCACTTTTGCTTTTAATAAACGGAAAATGTGCAATATTAAGTATATTTTATTTCACTGATTGCACCTGTAATTTTGGGTGAGCGGGGTATATTGTAATGATGATTCAGTTGCAGGGTTTTTATTTTAATTATCTTAATCTTTTAATATTTTAGAAATTTTTGTACTCAGAAATTTGGGTTTTATTTTTTTTATTTTAGAAAATAAATAATTTTAGCCGAGGGCATCCAAATATCTACTCCCCTACTTGTTCGAATGTTTGCTTTGCCTTGTTTGTAATTGGCGACCCATTACAAAAGCTACACTCGTTCATTTCATTAAACCCATTTACAAAATGGCTTTGTCCATTATTTATACATATCAATTATAAATTGTGCGCGGCGCCTGCAATATTCATATTCACTTGTCAAAATGTCAACTCAAAATAGAATATTTATGCATTTTTATGTGTGCGTATCGGTCCGTGATTTGTTTGTTTTATGCTCTCTGTTTCGAGAACTCTTTGTTGGGACTGAGTTTGGGATGGGGATAAAGTAAAAAACCGAGAAAACCGAAGAGGAAAATGACAATTCAGCCTATAAATACGCGGCAGCAACCGAAGTTAAAATCAATTTTTTTGGCCCCATACTGCGGTGGTCGCGTTCCCGATTCCCCGACTCTTAAAAAGGGGGGAGCACCGTCGAATGGTGTGACTGACTGACTATTTAGTTAGCCGCAGAACAAGGTGCCTCAATTTATTTTTAATTGAAGGCAAATTGAGCCAATCGCCGCCTGGCGGATGGAAGTGCAAATGGAAAATGGAAAACAAAATGGCCTGCTGCGGTTGTCCAACGATGTGGTCTCTTTCGGCTATTAAGAGGATTCATACACCCACCCATCCCATATCAGCCTTTTTCTTTTGCCGGCTTACGCATTTTCACTTAATGAATTTTCATTCAAAGTGACTGCAAAGTGCAACAAGGATGTGTCGTCACTCGATGGCCAAAACTCTGCATCTGAAGTGGACTTCCTGCCACACTCAGTTGGCCATTAACCGAGCTGCTGCTGCTGGCCAAAAAGGATGCCTCTGCTGACGTTTTCTTTGTGGTTGGCTAAAATCTGTCATTATTGCCATTAAGCAGGCTTTTGTTGTCACCACCGCCCGGCCTACATATGTATGCATAAGTTTTCCTTGCTGTATCCAGATATCCTTCACTTCGAGTGGTTTTCTATACATCTCAAGGTTGTGCTATTGGTTGGCCATTGAATTTTCCTCACAGTTTACAAGCCTGGATTTACAGGCCCCAACTTGTTGCCGCCCATTTTCAATGAATTTTGGTTTCTGGTCGTCGTCATTAGTTGAAAGCGCTTAGTTTGCCTCGTTTGTTGGCCGAAAGTTGTGTGTTTCATTGTTGCTGCTCTGTTTCTGTTGCAGCATTACGCAGCCTGTTGTTGTCATCAAGTTGCATTTGGTTTTTACATTGTTTCGCCTAAATAAAGGCACATAATTTATGTGTGTGGCCTGTTTACAAGGGCAGTACTGCTCGTAGACGTACGTTGTGCATACGCCCTGTTGGCCAGCACATCCGAGGAGAATACTGAGTGAGCCGCTCCATTGTGGTTCATAAACTTTGTCACGGTGCGGAGAGACCGTTTCCCTGGTTTTTCCCTTGTTTTTCCCCTGGTTGGGGCCATCCCGCCTGAAGGAGACGGCTTTGGAGGCGATTGCTCAGGCAGGACATGTGTGCCCCGCATCGTTGCCCGTTATTGTTTTCCAACTTTTCACTTTGGTTATGAGATGTCCGAGCGCCGCAGTCAGTTGCACGCTCGCCTCCATCAGCGTCGTCTCCATTCCGCTGACCCCAGTGGACAACGTGGACTTTTTGGCCGAGCTGTTGGTGCTGGTGTCCCTGAGTGGGGGACACACTGGGAGAGAATTTTTAAATTATAAAAAAATAGTCTAGAATAAACATAAATTACATTTTAAAAGCTATGCAAATATAGTGGAGACCGAAATCTAATACCTTTATCACTAAAATTATTTAATTATTTACTCAAATATTTTTAAAGTACATAAAAAAGTTACCAACCTTTTTTAATAAATTAAAAAAAAAAAGTGTTCAAGCTCTAAAGCATACTATGGTTTTTTTGGCATTACTTCTATATATTAATAACTTTAAGTTAAAGCTTAAGATTGATTAATTGTAATGAATGGCTTTATTAAATAAAGGTAAATTCAAACTTAAGAACCTAAAGGCTTTAAATCTTTAATATCCCATTTTTTGCAATCAACTTAGTTAAGATGTGTACATTTTAAGAAGAAAACTTTATTTATGCTACCAAATCCCTGCTTTTCCGCAGTGGAAGGACGTGCACTCAAAATAAATTTAACCCTAAATTTTAGAAAATCGCCATTAAAATTTCTTTTTTCTAAATACAAGAAAGTTATTTCTAAATCTAAGGAAATTTTTCTTAAGTCAAGAAAGTTTTCCTTAAATCCAGGAAGTTTTTCTAAAATGTAGAAAATGGTTACCATGAACTAAGATCACCCTAAAATCTAGGAAAAATACCCTTAAAATTAGAAATTATTTTCTGAAAAATAGAAAGGCAAACAAAAGAATGAAATATTTTGGCAACGCCTTTTCTAAAAATGAGTGCCCTAACCCTAAAATTAAGCTAACCCTAAATAATAGAAACATTTCCTAAAAAGTAGAAAGTTTTTCTAAAAAATAGAAATAGTTGTTTTCACATGCTCTGGCATACCAAAATGTTCAATGCCAGAACTTGTCAGCTGTCGGGCGGTTGTACTCGTAGCGCAGACGGTTAAAGCACTTGGTTAACAATCGAATCGACCCTGGTTCGAGTCCCAGAGCAAACTATTTTTACCTTTTTTTTAAAGTTTTTTTTTTAGTTTTTTTAATTTATTTTATTGTTTTTTTTAATTGGTTTTTTTTAATCTTTTTTATTATTCCTTTTTTTTTATTGATGGAAAGCGGTAAACCGAAAATAATTTGGTTTATATTTAGCTATTTACTATATACTACACATAATATAAATTGCGATAGCATAAATATATGCATATGTATATACGTATGTAAATAAGTAAAACGCAAATGGTCAAAATTATGCAATTAGTATTCAAATGTGTTGTCCCCTTCACCCTTTACATACAATGCTCGGTTTGCCACAGCAAGTTTAAGTGCTACAATGGCCCAGTATGTAGGCCATTTGCTTCTCGCGCGGGAGACCCGGGTTCGATTCTCACGACGGACAAGTAAAAATGTAAGTTTTTTTCATCAAGATAAAATATTAACTAATCATAATTTCTACATTCCCAATCTTCCGCAGTCCCGTAGTCCACACTTACACAACCACATTTGGCTTTGGTTAGATAAGAAATCCAAGCACAAATACATAATAATAAATACATAACCTTTAACATTCACAATATACAAGACAGACAACGCCTGCATATGTATATAGGAAGGAGTACATAATATATACGTATATACAAAAAAAATCATGATTAAACATGTTTTTTTGTTTTGTTTTTCATTTCTATTTTTTAGGAAAATTTCCTACTTTTTAGAAATTTTTGCCCTTAAATTTAGTAAAACTACCCTAAAATTTAGAAATATGACGTCAAAAAAAATCAAAAATATAGAAAATTGTGACCCTAAAATTTAGGGCGAGCTTGTCTTGAAGACAAAAGTAGGGCGATTTCCTTGACTTTAGGGTTAATTTTATTTTGAGTGTGTGTGCTTGTGAGTGCTGTTATGCTTATATCCTGCGGCTTAAGCATTTGTTGTTTTACAACGTTTCAGTCTGTTTGCCAAGTAAATAAAAGCTGTTAACTAGTTTTCACACACCGAGCCGAAAAGGTGGAGGGGGTTCGTTTGGTTCGTTTTGCTTTAGTTTGGCTGGATTTTCCGAGGCGAGCTGCAACACGTGCTGGACAATTTTTTGCTCGGCTTGTCCTGTTTCTGCTTCTGCCCCCTGTTCTTTTCTATTCCATACTATTCTAACTGCTTTTGTGCGTAGCACTCGTGTATGAGCAATTATTTAATGCCCTCCGCTTGTCATTGTTGTCTTTGGGCCCAGAGTGTTGCCTTTGTCTTGGCCCCAGTCAGCCAAGTTGGCCAAGTCAGCTGCAGCGTTCTTGTCTTGTGTTGTCTGCCCCTTTTGTGTCGCTCATTTATTTGTGTTTATCCTTTCGCTTTTAATTGCGGCTCCGTCCTGTTCTCTCTGCTGCTCCTGCATCCACCTGCCACCCACTTGCCGCCCTCTTTGTGTAATTACAAGTGTTTGTTGTGTAAATAATAGCGTTAGCTGCCTGGGCCGAGGACCATCGTTGACGCATCGTTTGCATGCTCAGTTAATGCCGTGCATCAGGACCATCCTCCATTGTCCTTTCTGTTCCACTCTGTCTGTCTGTCTGTCAGTCTGTTTGTCTGTGTGCTTATCTGTGTGTGCGAAGGCGAGTGCGTCTGTCTGTGGCACGGAAAATTAATTACAAGAATTAAGCAGCGCAACGCCCGATCTGCCGCATTGACACAGGTGTTGGCCGCCCGCCGTAACGTATTTTCCTTAGATAATTCCCACACAACTCGACAGCCATGTGCTGCACCTTGAACTCGAAACTCCAAACAAAAATGCTGCTGCACTGAACGGAATTTAATTTTACACTTATCCCAAATGAGGATATTAAAATTTAAGAACAATTGAGAACCCTAAAAGGAAAAAATAATAAATAAATCCTTGAAAAGGGAAAATGTATCATAAATTTAAAATTAAATTAAAATAATATATTTATTTGTAAATTCTTGAAATCTTTAAAATAATAATTTTCTGCTAAAAATAATATTTTTTCTTTGTAATTAAAAGAAAAAGAAAGTGTTAAAGAAATGTATAAAAATCCCAAGTTCTTGTCTATTTCTTTGTGTGTGAACCTCTCGAGAGTTCTGGGAGGCGGGACATTAATTCATTCACCTAGAGACACTTACATGTGGTGCCCATTAGCCCAGTGCCACGCCCCCGTGAAAGGCAAATGCCAGCGAGCCATGCGACGCCAAAAATTTCCATTTCGTTGCTTGAACCGTGCATAAATATGTCAATAGGGATTATCCCAGCCCGCATGGCAATAAAAAAAATCTTCGGGAGCTATAAAAAATCCTAAAATTTTGAAAATAGAAAATAGAAAATGGTGAGCGGTAGAGGAAAACCTCAGCTAAACAAACAGGGAGCTGCAACTTGATTATCCTGGCAACCTGCCGCGCATTTTCCGACTGTTGAATTATGACATTCGACTGTCAGTGCGGGTTCAAGTGGATTTGGGTTGGGTTTGACTATGCTACATCGGATGCTCCTGCTCCTGGCAGGCGTGAGAATCCGTTATCCTTGCACCTAAACAAACACATTCGAGGAGGCCTTGTCGATGCAGTAGCATTTGAGTCCTGGGTGTCGGGTGTCGTGTTGCAGAATGTTTTTGGATACCGATCCTCCGGATCCTTACGCATTACACGACCAGCTAATTTATTTACTTTGCTGCCAGCGTATAGTTATAGTACTTGTTGCATTTGCCCTAAACTGAAACACATGTTCAAGGATCATAATCGAAATGGCCTGTTATCCGTGGCTGTCTCATTATGTCCTGCCTCGGCTGCCGTTTCTGCTGTCGCAGTAGCACTTCAGATTGGTGTTGACAGTCGCGCTGAGAAATTGCCTCGCCTTCTCCCCCTTTCTCGTGTTTTTTTTTTGTTGATTTTTGGCTCTTCACTTGTACAAAATTCCTAAGCTCTGAGTGCCCGACATGCTAATGTGAAATATTACAAAACTAATGGAAAAAACGGAGAGCCATGCCATCGAGATTAACGCGTTTGAGCACTCAAACTCTCCACACTTTTCCCTTTCGTCCGCCAGCTGCGGCCGTCGGTTCATCCTTTGCCGTGGGAAACTTCGGTGCACAGGTTTAACCACCACTAATCCTTTACCTTGAGCACTACACTACATTTTTCTGGCGCTGCCAGTCATCTGGGGTTTTTTCCTTTATAATTTAGCTATTTTTCAGGGAGCAAAAGGAATTTATTTTGAAACTGGTAGCTATAAGACAGAGTTTTTCATTAAAAGTTAAAATATTTTATATTCTAAGCTAATTAAATCCTAAAATGTACTAAAAAATATTTATTACAGAAAAAATGTATAATTATTACAAATAATAAAATCCTTATTTTCAAAATAAATATATTAATTTTTATTGATTGAAATAATATATACAAATTCTATTGCAGAGTTTTCCATTTAAAGCTGCTACACTATAGTATTTTAATTAAAGAGGTATACAAATTTTTGTATAATTATGAACTTGGCTAGTTTTTTTGTGTTTCAGAGTTTGACAGCACCGCTCGGCTCTCTTCACTTTACCGTCAGTGTTCTTTGAGTACCCTTTGAGCTGAAGCTGAAGTGTTGTTGTCGGGACAGCGCTGAGTGGCACGGAGTTTTGACAATTAAGGGGGTCACAGCGGGATGTTCAAGTAGTATCTCTATCTTTATAGCTTGCCACCGCAGATAAGGTTGGCAAATGGAAAAGAAGGCAGCCGGTGCCATGTGCTTCCTGCTCCTGCTCCTCGGAATACGCAGACGCCCTGCCCATAAATCATCGCAAACCCAATAGCCGCAAAAAAGTCGCATGCAAAGCGCGGCGGCGGCACCACGTGCACAAAGTGTGACCCGATTTTGGCAACATCCAAAAGCGAGCGTTCGCTTAAATAAATACAAAATTGCATCACGTGCAGCGGAGTAATGCAAAATACAAAATAAAAACTCGAATCCCCATTCTCAACCAAGAAGTAGGATTCGTAATTGCGCCAAAATGCATGGAAATGAAGCCAAAGAAGAATTCCAGGCCGCATATGTGTGGCTAAGAGGATGGGGTGGCGGTTTTGGGGTCGTTTTCATTTTCAGTGAACCAAAGCTATTCCGCCAGCGATCGACACATGCCCTCGAGTGCGCCAAGTGCAATAAATTGATACAAAAACAAAAGTGTCGCAAGTGGGGGTTGTCAGGGGAGGAGTAGAAGGGGTGAAGGGGAATGGGGGTTGCGGAAAGAGTGGGGAGGGTGTTTAACCTGCTCCCATTGCTGCAGCACCTTGGCCCGGCTAAAACTCTATTAAAATGCCATTGGCAGAGCGAGAGAAAAAAGAGATGTGATGGGTAATATTTTCTTATTTTTTAGAAAAGTAACCCTTAAATACCCTTTAAAATATTTTTAAAATGATTTATTTTCCATTAATTAAAATAATTATTATACTAGCTATTTTACCATTAAAAATTATAATCTAAAAAATACATCAAAAAAATTTAAAAATATTTACACAAGAGATACAATTAATTTGGTTGGTAATTCTTATACAGGCCTTAATATTTTGTAATATTTTGATACTGTGATAAATCATTTTAGTTGGTAAAAAGTAAAATTTATTCATCTTGCTAGCAAATACAATAAACACTTTTTCCACATTACTCAATCGATAATATTTTCATTAGTCCGTAAATTAATGGCAAGCTTTATCGAGCAGCTTAAGCACCCGACAAAAAACTGAATATGAAATATACATATTTCACGAATCTCGTTTTTGTCGCTCGCTCTTTGTTATTTTTAACTAAAACCACAGCCGGCAATCGCCCTGTCCCGCTCTATTCTCCACATTGCCCTCTTTTACCCCCCTCCCCCAATATAAAATTATCCTTTGGCTGTCTCTATTTGATTTTTTTTCCAATTCTATATGGTGCTCCGATTTTTTGCCTCTACTCGTTTTCGTTTATGGGTATCCACTTTATTGTCAGAAAATCATTTTTTCGTTGGCATCTCTTGATGTCTTTTTGTTTCTTCTTCTCTGTTTCTGTTTTTTTTATTGAGCTGGAGCACCGAGAATGTTTGTGTATGTTAGTATGTTTGGATGTTTGAATGTTTCGATGCTCATATGCATATGTAGCCGCTGTACATTTGTAGTTTACAAAAAATTGCTTTTATTTATTACTAATGGGCCGCTGGTTTGGGCTGTGCGCCCATATTGAGCATTACTTACCGCGGCCTCAACCGACTCATCTGCGCAGGAGGTGACTTTTCTATTTATTTGCTGACAATGCCGGCTCCCCTAAATTTTTCCGAGGAGTTGGGGATGCTTTTTGTGTGTTTGGAGACTTGGTAAATGGGTTGTCATTTCGCCGCTTGATACACGTTCGTTTTTAATAAATGCGCTCGAAGTCGCGGCTAATTGTGGGTCATTGTGGAATCACTCCAATGCAATCTCGACCAAAAGCCAGTTTTGCGAATCGATCCGCGTTTGGCGGCTTGCGATTCGCGACTTGCGATTCAAAGCGTTTTCGCCATTCTCTCAGCTCGGTCGTTACTCAAAACTTAGCGGAAAAATGTCGGAAGCACTGCGAAACGCTCTGATAAAACTGCAGGCCTTCATTGGACTGATCGGCCTCGCGGCCCTAACTCCACTGCTCATTTTGGCCGCTACTCTCAGCCGGCTGATCGCCACAGTCTGCCGTTGTCCAAAGCCGAAGAGCATCGAGGGAGAAGTGGCTGTGGTGAGTTTTAACCAACAAAATATTAACAAAACTTACCATCGATTTTAAGAGTGTGTTGCTTTCAAGTTGCAAAGTCGGTGAATCGTAAAAATTAAAGAAATATAGTCTTTTAGTATTTCATCACTTTAATAATATTTGTAAGTAATCAACTTATGGGAATTTTAAGAAAGCGAGTTTAAAGCTTCGAGATTTTTTGTCAAAAACTTTGTACTTCCAAAAAAAGAAATATTTGAAACTGGAATAACCGGCACATTGAATATAAAAAAAAAACAATAAGAATAATATCTTTATTTACAAGTATAACGGTTATTGTAGAGTAAAGATCACTGTTACCTTAAATCACATGTTTAAGCTTTTCACTTACTTTAAATACATTTTTAAGTGAAACCAAAATTATGTTTACAGCTTTTTTATTACTTAATTACTAAGATTCAAATATGGTAGGTACACAGTGTGTACTACACACATAAGATACGTATAATTACAGTCGATTTGCATATATATACAAAGTACCCATAATAAATACATTTTTTTGGACTTAGGTCACTGGAGCTGGTCATGGCCTTGGTCGAGCCATCTCTCTGGAATTGGCCAAGAAGGGTTGTCACATTGCCGCCGTAGACATAAATCTCTCTGGCGCCGAAAGCACCTGTAAAAAAATCCAGGAAATCTATAACGTTCGGGCTAGGGCCTACAAGGTAATTCTTTTGATCAAGGCGGACTGGTTTTAAAGTGGCCCAACAATTACTGAATAATTATAAGTTTAAATTGGAATTCTAATTCCCAGGCCAATGTAACTAATCACGGGGAACTGGTTGAGCTAAATACCAAAGTGGTTGGTGATCTGGGACCGGTAACGGTCCTAGTCAACAATGCGGGCGTCATGTTGCACCGTAACTTGTTGAACCCGGAACCTTCCGATGTGCAGCTCATGATCGATGTCAACCTAACGTCGCACTTTTGGGTGAGTTGTCCTTAAGATTTATATAAAATATATATCTGGTACATTTTTGGTGATTAATTCGTATTGAAAATGATATAATTTTCCTTACAGACAAAATTGGTTTTCCTTCCGCCCATGAAGGCTTTGCGCAGAGGTTTCATAGTCACCATCAGTTCGCTGGCAGGTGAGAAAGCGGCCTTGAAAAACTCGAATTTTTTAACAACTTATGATACCTTTTCAGGTGTCTTCCCGTTACCCTATGGTTCGGCTTACACGGCCACTAAAGCGGGAACCCTGGCCCATATGAGGGCCCTGCGAGTGGAGTTGGCCATGGAGAAGCAGAAGGACATCCATGTGACCACCGTAATGCCCGCCTTTCTGCGCACCAACGATGAGGTGACCCACCTGTCGAATACTGTCGGAATAACGGACCTCTATCCTCTGTTGAGTGGAGAGGAGGTGGCTCGCCGGGTCGTGGCCGGAATGTTGCGGGGTGAGCACGAGATCACCTTGCCCGGATTGGCATCCGTTCTCTACCGACTGGTGCATCTTTTGCCCGTCGAGTGGCAGGTTAAAATGATGCTGCTAACTGGCAGCAGTCAGTTCAGTAAGTTTTTGGATTGGAAGAAATAAATAAATATTCGGGGAGGAAAAGGAAAACCCCGTTTATGTTGTGCCCCTCGGGACTCACAGGTGGTGACGCTGCTTAAAAGCGTTTCATTAAAATCCGATTAAAGATACTTTTTGCGGCCGCCTGGTCACGGACAACTGGCCACAGGCCACGGGCTCCAGTCATGTGTTTTTCATTTAATTTCGCCAGCCAGCGTTGCTTTAATTTCTCAACTCCGTCTGGATCCTGCGACTGCGATTGTCAGTTGGAAAACGGAAAAGGGGAATGCAATCAGCTTTTCAGCGGACACAGCTCCTTCCTTGAGCTGAATCTCATTATGCAACTTTTATGGGGTCATTGAGGCATTTGCAAAATTTTAAAAAGAAACTGCTCGACAAAGTTTATGAAGAAAAAACCAAGTTTACTCACAGGCGCAATAGAAAACTGAAAGGCTTAAGGCTGTTTTTCCCCTGTTAAATTCAGGTGAGAGAGAGCAATTCGGTGAAAGTGCATATATGCATACGTTTCTTGCCACTTCAAACAAAATTGTTGTCTAATAGGGTCGAGTGAGAACCATTAAAAGAGAGTGGCTTGACAGAAAGTATTTTGGTTAAAGTGATTCCTTACAGAAAAACTGTAGGAGGAAAAACTCGTTTTTTGTTCTTTTGTTCGCCTGACAGTTTGCTTTGTTCCTTTATCTTTATGCTGGCGAAATTAATGCAACACATTAAGAGAAATATTGCAGCAGCGGCGGCAGCAGACGAGGACTTTTCCATTTTTCTTATTTTTGCACAGCGCGAGCTTTTCACAGACATTCCATTTTCTATATGTGCGTGTATATACCATGATTTTCTTGCATATTTCCACGTTTTGCTCTGCACGCGCTTTTCCCCTCGTCTCCTGGTGCTTTTATTTTATTTATGCTATCACTGCAACCTGAAATGCTTTAGCCACACACACACATATACACATCCTTATACTCATAAAGCTGGGCTACAGGATACTGCATTTATGTGGAATTTCTTTCCTGCTGCATCTGCCTTTTCTTTCAGAGGCCAGGACATATGCATGGAAACTTTAGTTAAATTAAGAAAAATATAAAAAGACATTCCAGCGACGGCAGCAGGAGTAGCAAAAGAAGAATGAAAGAAACGCTTTAGGAAAATGAAAAAATAATGCTGCCAAATGCAAAAATAACATCAGGAAATGAGTCAAAGTCCTGTTCCTGCGCCACTTGGCTTTTTTCGAAAGCGAGGGACATGAAAATCACAAGAGAAAATATTATGTCAGCAAATCAAATTGATTGTGTGGGAAAGCATTAGCAGGGAAGCCTAGTAGGGGCTGCCCAAGTCACCCTCTCTCGTTCCTCCCGTAATTCCCAATTAAAAAGCCGTTAATGATGCGTGGCCCAAAGCAAGACCATCGCAACCCCAAAGGCCCAGAGTAACAGACGTGTCGCAAGTAACGCCTCAATGGCAGCCTGATTGAAAACTCAGATGTGCCACTCCGATCCCATTCGATCCGCCCCCGATGTTCGGGTTTATTGTTTGTCTTCGCCACTGACGAGCACTTTTTAATTTCGATGGGTTGTCTGCGGACAAACGAGACATTTCCGCGTGTGATTATCGGGATCCATGGGGATCTACATATATGTATATGGGAACTCTGCTGCCTCGACTTGGGCTTAATTATGAGCTGCGAGTGAAGTGCGTGGGAAATCGAATAGAATCCCGGAGGAACAGTGGTTGCCGGGGCACCTGTGCCCGCTCCTTCCCATTTACATTCCCAGTCACATTCCCATTCATCCGTAATCCGTAATCCAACGTACACATTCGACTTGGGTAATCGAGCAGTCATGTTTGGGGGCACATTTCCATCAGCTGCAAATCCGCGAAATGAATTTAATGAAGAGTTGTATCCCCGTGTCATGTTGATCACAAAATTTCATTTGCTGTTTCATGTGCATTTGCATTTCCATTTGCCGCTCTCCATTTTCCATTTTCAGTAACCTTGGTCCGCAAAATGACGACTTTTGACTGTCAGGCGGCGTCCAAAACTAATTAAAAAGCTGGCCGGGACACGTTCCACGTCCATTGCCATGGCTAATGTGAGCCTAACTAATTTTCATGGCCCATTGATTTTGGGCACACTGAGGGAAAAATTAAATCATTACGTAATTTGGAATTTTTTAAAAATATTTATACTTTCCATTTATTGTTCAAATTTGCAAATTCTTTTTTAAAATTTAAAATATAAAAATATTGACTAATTATAATATTTTAAGTAATATAAAATACAATTGTATGCATTTTTCATGTAATCTAATCAGAAAACAAAAATAATCCTTTTTCTGCATTTTTCTCAGTGCATTCACAGGACAAAATAGCAATCAGTTTACTGGAATTTCACAGTCCTGCTCCTGCCGGCAAATGCAATGCGATACGATACGGTCCGGGTGCATAAATCACATGTTTAACTAATTAAACGAAACAGTAAATAACGATCTATGGCCGGTCAGCGTTTTAATGAGTAGACAAAATGCCACCGTAAATGCGGACTTGCAACGCCCACGAGAGCACCGATCATAAAAACGCCCCAATCCTGCCGAAGCCCAGATGCAGATGCCGTCCCCCCGGCGCAATAATCATAAAAATTGCATATTAAAATTCATTCGGGGGGCGTGAACTGCTTCAGTTTTCCCTTTTCCTTTTCTTATTTTCTTCTTTTTTTATTGTGCGACGCCTTTAAAATGTTTATAAATACAGTCAATTTGCTGTCAACTTTTGAACTTGCCACATGTGTTCGGCTTCGGCTTTCGAGCTGTAAAATGTCATGGGGTCAACGGCAACGGCTCATTATAATGCAACCGACTAGGCCGAATAGAGTGAGTGACACTCTTTCCAGTTCCACCGAGAGAGCCCGGCAATCGGTTTCGAATCGAATTATGCTAAAACATATTTCGCTGCGATAGCGACTATGCTCCGACATGCATGTCAACGCAATCATTTGACATTTTGACAGGACATCGAGGGGAATGAGTGGGGGATTTTGGGATCAGGGCTGGGGGTTTTTCGGTTCAGGGAGTGTGAGTGCGGCAGGATAGTTCAAGTTGAATGTCGCGCCTGCGCGGCTCAAGTTACAAATTAAACAGCGACGATGTCGGAGTTTTCCATTTCTCTTGGCTAAACAAAATCAAATTACTGCCTGACAAATGTACTTGTTGAATGCGATGAATGCGAGCGGTAATGATGTGGTGTTAGGAACACCTTAACATAAGAAACTGGCCCGTTTTCCCGCCCTTTTTTCTGGTGAGTGCAAAGATCTTTTGACTTTTTGCCAAGTAAAAATCACAATTGTTTTGCCTTTCTTAGGGAGAAAATAAGATAGAAAATTTATTTATTTAAAATAAGTTTTAGTTCTAAATTTCCTAGAAAATATTGTAATCCTATTTTGATAGATATTCGCCGTCCAATGTCAACCCTTCCCAGCGCTGCTTTATTTATTTACTTTAAGACAGTCCCAAATCACATGGATGTCTGTGATTGGAAATAAACAAAAGCAATAACCATTTCGTAGTTTCCACAACAAGAATTACCCCAGATATGGCCCCAACCCATCGGCAGCTCACTTGATGGAGAATGTGGAGTAAATAAACGCGACCATTTGCAGCATTGTCAAGTGGAAAATCATTGACAAATTTATGAACCCACCCGACACACACTCAACAAGGCAAATACACGAGTGTATATGTTTACGTTCATATATATGTATATCCTCGAACCAGAGAGCGGAAAGCATAAAGTTAAAAATTTCATTAACAAATCGACACCGCACCGTCTCATTACTTGGCAACAAATAAATTTTATTAAGTACGCATTTTCTGTGCGCGCTTTACGCTCCACGATTTACGATTTTTCATTAAAGTCATTTGGCATGCCGCATAATTCCCACCCGCCGAAGTTGACCAAACACACATTCGGCTTTCGAGTATATCCATTAATGTTGTGGCTTATTTGTTGCAGTGTGCGCTAAAAAAATATGGCAATTTGATCGAAAAAATGTTTACACATGCTGCAAGGGCAAGGGCCATTCAGTGCTGCTGTTGCAAGCTTTAGCGGCTAATTAATTGCAACGTTTGCAAATAAACATGAACATTTTCCGCAAACTCACGCGTATTGCCTACGAAAGTGATTCACCCGGGATTTAATTGAAATCGAAACTTGCCCCAGACAAATCATAAATTGGGCGACAGCGGCGCTGCCCACGCAGCAAGAAAAATTACCTTAAATCTAGTGGGAAATTGATAATCACCAGCGGAAATGGTCGAGTGTTTTCCCAAGAAACGTCGCCGCGCGTCATCGCCACTCGTATAAACATCAACTCGCATTGGCATCAGGTCTATAGGTCTTGGCCAGACCAGCGGCTACGGTACACTTAAAAAAGTATTGGGAATTGGGAAAATTATATTAGTATTAAATTACCGATAAAATAATTTTACCAAGTGAATAAAATATATCTATAAGCGGGGAATTCATAATTGTCATTAGATAGTAAATATTAAAAAAAATTATATATAAAGAAAAAATAATGCAGATTAATACATTTTGTAAATTTATAATATAATACATATAATATTTCCTTAAAATAAAAAAAATTCACCATCTTCTGCAATAAATATACCTAAGGTACAGTTGACCCTTTATTCAAATTTTTACTCAGTAGCTCCTAAGTTCCTAATATTAGGACCCTTTTCCCCCAGTGCATCTGACGCCAAAAAGTATGGCCAAAATCGACTAATTTTAAGAATGATGTAAGTTGTCGCTATCGTGCGACAACAAAGGCGGTGTCCGCACAGTTTTGGCCGCGAGCCCAATCTTTTGGCTTTGGCCCTCCGACCGATTCGCAAATGACGGGCGAGCAAGTGGCAGGAATTGTGTGTTAAACGTTTCTGAATTGACTTGACGCGTTCGGCCCGAGAGCAGAACCCCCCAGTAGGGGCAGCCAGCAGCCAGCTGCCAACCTACAGGCCATCCCAACGAAAACCACCGAGGAAAAAAGAACACCAGCCCAATCCCATAACCATGGCCATCCGGGTGAACGTGCGCCAAAACATGACGCTTGCCAAAAATCATAAAAAATATATGGCGATTATAGGGGAAATGGCATCATTTAATGATGAAGTGCCGCGATGGGCTGCTGAAAAAGGGAAATGTAAGGGAAATGGAAATGGACGGGGATAAAAGGGAACTGACTCATGCTCCGGAAACGTCACTATCGCAATTGCAGCCACAATGGGCAATGCACTTGAGGACCTAGGACAATACGCCCATGAAGGGAGGAAGCAAAAACAAATGGTTCTGCGATTGCATTTTTGTGGCGTAAATTAAAAACATATTGTCAGGCATTAGCGGACGAGCTAAAAGTTCTAAAAATAGCGAAAAGAGAGCGAGAGATTTCGAGATGCATTTTTGCATTCTGCAAGATGCACTCGATGCACTGGAGTCCGGAGTGTGCGATGTATGTGCTATTTGTCGCACTGGCAAATGAGTTGCCTTAATAAATTTAGCCCATGTTCGGGAACATATAGTACAGTACTTACGCCCGCCTGGTGATTCCGATTCGTAAACCGATTCTTATTCTGTGCAGCAAAAACAAAAAGAAATACAAAAAAAAAGAAGGAAAATTATGTGGCAATAAAAAATAGTGCTAAAACATTCGACAGCCTAGCTGCAAGAACAACCACGGGGGCAGAGCATCGCACACTTGCACACCATGTGTGCAACAACAAGATCGCACTGTGCAGCACGCCTGGAAATGGAAAATGGGCGGGGAAATGGTCGGGGAAATGGGCTGAGGATCCAGCAGATCATATCGGAGCCCAGCGACACTGCCACGGTCAAGTGCACTGTGGAAAATGTGACGAGATCTGAGGAGGGAAGTCAGATTAACATATATGGTGAAATCTAATTAGAATTAAAGAATAAGAATGGATTGACCCATTTATATAAATAATATTAAACATTGAAAAAATAGCTATGAATGTACACTAAATAAATTATAATTATTCAACAAATATATCTTTCTAGATCTAGATCTTAAATAAATATTTATTGACTTATTTAATTTTATCAAACAATGCTTATAAAATGTAATATAATATCTTAAAAATTTATTTTAGATTCTTCATTATATTTAATATATATTATATTACATATTTCACTTTCATTTTACAATTTTATTTGCATTCTAAGCGTTCAATTAGTGACATCACTCTATTTGAATATTTTCTTGTAATGCTCATGGGGCTTCCCATTTTCCACCGGGCACTCGGTGTAGCTCACGCATAATTTCTATACACAAACATAAGCCTAAAATAACAGTATTAACAAGAACAACAACCACATCGGCAGCACTGCGACTAAAACAAGGGGACTACAACTACACCAAAGATCGGGAAAATCTAGGGGTTGGGGGAGGGAGGGTTTCAGGGCAGAGGGAAAGGTGGAGGGACGGCGACGTCAACTGAGGCAGCGGCAGCGGCGGTAGCACATGTGTGCGTGCCAAAGGCAGGAAAAGCGGGCAGCCAATGCGACATCGACGCCAACTGCGGCAGAGGCAGCGGCAGGATCCAATGCTCCACGATCTTATGCCCCTTACCATACCCATTCCCACTCCCTATACCGATCCCGTTGAACATCCCGTTCCGGGCATTTAAATATCGTGGCACAGCAGCTCTCCGGTTTATTGTCAGCCAGATCGCGGTGGCGTGAACATCGCAAGTGTCGAGCTAGAAAAGTGACTAGAAGACTCTCGGATTTACGTGTGTGTGTGCTCGGTTTCCCTGGGATTTCCCGCGTTCGGTGGCCAAAATACAAGAAACTAAAATTATTGGCAACCTTCCCAGACAACTGCCGGAAATGCGAAAGTGAAAGCGGCCGGCCAAGAAGAACGGACAGCAGCAAATCACCAGAGACCACCAAAAAAAATATACTATGTCATCCACAACGCTGAAGACGACCAGCCAAAGTGGCGGCATGTACGTCAAGACGGCGACTATGGAGATCTCGGGCAAGGAGGCGGTGGGCAGTTGCTACGGCGGCTTCATGTCGCCCCCGCTGAGCGCCAACATAGCGGCCAATAATATTTTCCGAGTGCCGGGAGCCAAGGTGGAGACCGGTGGCAGCTTCGCCTCCAGCGACCTCCAGTTTCCGGACTTTTCGCACCTTTGCTTTGCCGCCGAGACACCCAATTCGGTGTTTAGCGATTGCCACACTTATGCTGGCCAGGATCAGGCGGATCAGCAGGACTCCGATCAGGATGATATAGTTTGCGCAGCGGCGGGAAATACAGATATGCCATATCAACAGGGACAATACACTCAGCTGAACCGCGAGGATATCTTTCGCTTCGAACCGGAGGATATAGCGCGGCTAACGGGAGAATCAGAGCTGCCGAACCTTCAGTTGCAACCTCCTCAGACTCCTTATACGCCATACACCCCCTATACACCCTACACACCCTGCAGTGCCCAGAACAGCCAGTATAACAGCGTGCAGCCGGCGAATGACTCCATTAATCTGGATATCGATTACTTTAATTATGACGAGATTAATTGCCAATCGAAAAACCAATCACCATGCTCATCACCGCACCTCGATGCCTGGCTGAACTTCAATCTCGGCGAGATTGCCGCCGCCTCGTCGAGTGGCGCCTCGCCAAAGTTGTGCAATGTGTTCCAGGAGGAGGAGGGGGAGGGGGCGGAAAGGCAGGAGGAGCAGCAGCAGGTCAAAGAGCAGGCCTCGCCCACGCGACTGCCCTCGATGAACTCCACCTTCGGCACCCCCAAATGCATTCCCATGTGCGCAAGCAACTACGAGGACTACGCGAATCTCTATCAGGGATCTGGTTATGCCGCGGAGAATGCCTATCAGCATAACATGGCCCAGGCGGCCATTGAGAAGCCCAATCGAGAGCACAAGGCCATCTGGACCATTGATGAACTGGACGAACTCATGCTGGGCGAACAGCAGCAGTTCTATCAGCATCAATTGCAGCAGCATCAGGAAGTCCAGCAGCAGCAGGAACCAGAAACCCCATCGGATCTGGTCAGCTACTTGCCGGATGAGTTCATCAAGGCCGAGGAGTTCCAGAGCCTGGACAGCGAAGACGACGAGAACTACAACGAGGAGGAGGATGAGCTGGACAACGAGGTGTTTGCCCCGCCGCCGGCGGAAAGTGAGCCCAAGCAGCCGGATTCAACCTGCTGCGATCCGGAGGTGGAACCGGAGACGGAAGCCATCCCGCTCATCTGCCGCTGGACGGGATGCGATGAGGAGTTCCCCCACCAGCAGGCCTTCGTGGAGCACATCGAGAAGTGTCACGTGGACGTGCGGAAGGGAGAGGACTTCTCCTGCTTCTGGCTAGACTGTCCCAGGCGCTACAAGCCCTTCAATGCCCGCTACAAGCTGCTCATCCACATGCGAGTCCACAGCGGCGAGAAGCCCAACAAATGTCCGGTAAGAATATTGAATTGATTGATAAAGATAATGAACTGAGGATTTAGTGGGTAATATCAATTACAATAGTTGGTAGAGAAAATATCAAATTAGCTTGGAATTTTATTAGAAAAATTTTCTAAAACCTAATAAAATACATATTCTATTATAATATATTTTCATTTAGGAAACAACTAAGAAATTTAGTTAATTTGAAAAGTTTTTCATCTAGTTCTTCCATCTATTTTATATCGAAAGTTAATATTTCTGCTCAGCCATTCCTTAATTCAGATATATGTCCTCTCTGTTTACCAACCTTTCCAATCCCTCATAGAATATCATTTTTCAAAATCAAACAATAGCTTGGGACTTGTCCTTTTTCCTGGCCCAGCTGGCGCATTTGTTTATGCGTCCAAACAAGACTTTTCTATTTTTCTTTTCCCCATTTTCCATTTCCCTTTTTGTTTGTATCATGCACGTGTTGACATTTGATGCGCCATCGCTGGGATGATGAATTGTGCGGCGCAGGGCAATCACAGAAATTGACAGGCCGAGAGCTGCGAAGTCCACTTGAAATAGAAATAGAGTTGCTGGTATAATGTTATTAGGGCGAACACTCGCTACATCTTCTACCGACCATCCTCCCGTCCATGAAACGCCCTTTTGGCATGCTCTTTCATTTTGATTTTTGAGTAATTGATGGATTCTTGCCGGCTTTTTTTCGATCAAAAAGGCCCGGTCATCATCAACTTGGCCCACTGCTGCCTTTTGCCATTACACATGTTTCTGTTTCTGTTTCTGTTGCAAAAACGTAATTTGCCCTTTTTCAGGTGCCTCGAAATGGGAATGGAATGGGTTGCCTGCGACACCTGCGGGCAGCAGCAGCAACAGTCACAATTTTATGCGTCCTTCCAGCACTTCCTTTTCCTCCTTTACCCTTTTCGCCATTCCTTGCAGCCTTCTTCAGCCCCCTTAGCCCCCTTAACCCCCCTTAACTTTCCCATGGTAATTGCAATTTTCGATGACACCTTCTTCTTTTTTGTTTTCCCATTACAGTTTCCCGGCTGCAATAAAGCATTCTCGCGTTTGGAAAATTTGAAAATTCATCAACGCTCGCACACGGGCGAGCGGCCTTATGGCTGCCAGTATAAAGGTTGCCTCAAAGCGTTCAGCAATAGCTCGGATCGGGCGAAACATCAAAGGACCCACTACGATACGGTGAGTCTCCCTATATGGTGTATGCATATGAGTGTGTGGATGGTTGGATGGGTGGTGAGTGGATGATGTGGATGAGGTGCATGAGGGGTTCAGGATCAGGGGTCCCCGGCAATTTGCAGTGCGTGTCAAAAGGAAATTGAAGAGCTCGCTCGCTCGCGGCTGCTAAAGATGCAGATGCAGCTGGGGTTTTCCGGAGAGCGGCTTTAAGATTTAGTGGACGCCAAGGCGCTTAGCGGACCGCCTAGGAGTCACTCTGGCCCTGGAATATAAAATAGGAAAAGTAGAAGAGGAGCCACTGTTGCTGCTGCCAGCATGACATGTGCACATTTCGCATTTCGCTGCCTGAGTGATTTATAGTTTTGCGTGTGTGCTGCCTTCTATCTGGCCAGAAGTAACAGCAGCTGGAGTAGGAATCGCAGGATTCGCAATCCAGGGGATACTGCGGCGGGGGGCGGTGGGCAGAGGCAACAGCAGCCGCGTCAGCGCGTACGACAACCGGAAAAAAGGTCAAAACCAGCTGAAAAGGCCAGCGATTCAGCCAGCAGCAATGGCTGAAACAACAGCAACAGCAAAAGCAGCAGCAGCAACAACAGCGCCAGGCAAATCGAATAAACTAAACGAGTTACTTTCGCCGCCGAGCTGAAGGGGCAGGGCAGCCAATCAGGATCACAAAAGGATACAATGTGTGCTGGCTTGGCGCGGCTGCCAATGCCAGGGGCACACTCGAAGAAATAGGTGTCCCAAATGTAGAACTTGTCGGTTCGCCACTTGTCCAAAAACTAATTCCCAAGAGGCGTACCAGAAATGACATCACTGTTTAGTCATTGTTTGAAATGAGATTTTGATGAAATTTTATATTTTCTCTTTTACTTGGAAAAGATTTTATTTTTACTACCTGTCTTAATCATCACACGGTTTTATTTGGATTGTGAAGAAGTTTTTTATCTTGGAAATAACAGAAGTTATCAAAAGTTTAGAATTTTATCTTTTTTGCCTTTTATTTGCAATTACAAAAATTTGAAATTTGAAAAACGAAATAGAAACCCCTAAGTTAAAATAAGAATTTATTAAACTAAACATTTAAACATTTTTTAACTGAGGAAATTTCAAGTCATATTCCACAATTTATTATCTTCGATTCAGAAAAGCTTTTTCACGACGAACAATTCTAAGACTAATGAAAATGGCTAAGACCAAATAAAGAATTTATTGGGATTCTTCAATTTTAAACCCTTTTCAATAAATTTTTAGTCTTAGGTTAACTTTATTATGTTTAGTTCGGTTTCCAGGAAAATGCAAGCTAACCGAGGTAAAAAAAATATTTTTTTTCGAGTGCATCGCCATGGCTGTTGTCGCTTTCGGCCCGCGGCTTTTGCCTGGGCAGAATAAACAAAATGCAGCATGACATTTCAAAACGATTTGACTTGGCAAATACGCTGGCCCATCTGTTAGCGGGTATATGAGTGGGTGTGTTGTGTGGGGGTGTGTTGTGTGTCGATGTGTGTGTTGTGTGTGAGTGAGTTAGGAGGGCCTGCAGGGCGAATGGGAGAAATCAATTGCATAGTTTTAGGCAGCGGCACTGGGCTCCACGCTCCAAGCTGCCGCTGCGGTTTCGCATTCGCATTCGAATTCGAATCGGAGGCAAATACTCGCATCGTGTACTAACGCAACGCTCTACCAATTCTCGCTCTATTGGAACAGAAACCGTATGCCTGCCAGCTGCCGGGATGCACGAAGCGCTACACGGATCCCTCCAGCCTCCGCAAACATGTCAAGAACCACGCGCTGCGCAACGCCAACGGACAGCTGCGGCGCAAATCGGCCGGCGGCGCCTCCGTTCCCCTGGCCGCCGGGGCCAGGAAGGCGGCCAAAACCCGCCGTCACTCCGAGTCGGCCCTGGTGGTCGGTCAGGGGCAGGGGGGCGTGGCAGGTGCAGGTGCAAGTGCTTCGGGGGATCGGGATCAGCGACAACACCGCAGCAATAGCTGCAGCGAGGCGTTGCTGCTGCAGCAGCAGCCCCAAAATGACAGGAACCGCAGCGCCACCGGTGTTGCAGCTAATAACAATTCAATGAACTTTAATGAGTTGTCAAATTGCATTGTCATCATTGAGCACAATCAGAATGGTGGTAATCCGGCAGGAGCAGCAGTAGCAGCAGTGGCAGCGGCAACCGCAACATTTGGCGGCAATATGGCGCCCGCACCGGAAACGGATGTGCTCAGCGTTTGCAGCAGCAGCGGCAACGAGAACAACAACGGCAGCCATTACAATGGGAATATTAATCAATTAAGCGAACTTGAGCAATTGCTGACGACGGCAAAGCCCTCAGCCCCGTCATCTGGTAATGGAATTAGCCTGGCCAACAACAATAACGGCCATAACCAGGCCACCAATGGCGACAGCAAATGCCACTTCAGCGAGTTTGTGTCCTTTGAGTACGTGACAAAATATCTGGCGGATGTCTACGAGCCGACGCCTTCGAAAAGCCCCCAGCCAGCGGCCAATTTCCACTTGCAGCCCGAGTTCGACAATAACTTCGATATGCTGGACTTTCCCCAATTCATTTAAGCCTAAACTTTAGATAATTATTAAGAGCCCACCTGGAAAAGTCAGCAATTCAAAGTCCAAAGATCTCAGTGCCTGAGCCCTTATAAGAATGCCTACCATTAGTAAGACACCGCCAATCTGTACATAGTAATCATAAGTAGTAGACTAAGCCTAGAACTCGCCAAAAGAAACGTTCCTGAATTTCAATGTAATCCAGTGATTAGCCGCGTCTTCCCAGAACTCATCCCAATCGTAAATTAATCTAGAATACTCTCGGTTAAGCACTAGTTGTAATTGCTTTGTTAAAGTTTGTCAACAAATGCATTGACCATAATAAATAATTTAATTTGCATAATTTTTTCCTTACCAAATGCATTTGAATATTTAATTTCATTTGAATATTCGTTCGGGTAAAGCAAGTAAATATATTAAAGGCCTGCAAAAAGGCAATGAAAAGATTGTGTCCAGAGTTAATGAAGTGGATTATGAAAAGATTTAATGGTACTTCAAAAAAGAGTAAGTTTCACAAGTGTTTTTTTTTACATTATGTAAAATGCCTTTTTTAAAATGTAAGCATTATGATTAAAATATGATTGGTCGATTGTCATTCAGATCTTGAAATGATAAAATATTATGCAGGTCCTTTTCTAGTTCTCTACAAAAATATGCAATAATTTAAAATATTATTAGGATGATCGATTTCTCTCTTGCCAACAATATAAAGCAGCTATAAATCCCCCTCTGAATACATAATTCCTGTTAACGCGCCGTGATTACGCCTATCCATTCCATTCCGATTGTAATCGATTAAATACATATCTCCCACCTGGATGCTTTTTCTGCGGAATATCGAACGGTGGGACATGGACAACATGTTGGGATTTCCGTTTCATGTTTGGCCGTCTGACTTTACTTAATTGCTGTGCATTCAAAAAATAATTTACAACGCCAGCGAGCCGCGTTTATATTTATATAGTTAATTTATTATTCGCTTTTAACACATTCTCGGTTTTTCATTTATTTGTTTTACATATATCGAATTAATTTGCATTGCATATAAAATTCATAAAAATCGGCTTAAGTCTTAAATTAATTTGGGTTCAGGTCGCGCACTGATTGCAGTTCGCATTGGGGTCGCTGAATCGTTAAGTTAAGCGAATCGCAGGGAAAAGGGGTTAAATCAACGCGACATTCGCCTAATTTGATTTACCATAACGCCGCACAGGGTCCCTTTAATGGAAAACGGAAAAATCGGATATTAACGCTGGGGGATCCCTCTGCATCTCATTAAAAATTATCAAATTAAGCCTTAAACCTTGACGTACATACCTTACTGCTGCAGCCACACAATGTTGCAATGTGGCCGATGCAATTTTAGTGACTTAATAAGGCTCGAATGGCCTCTTTCGTTAACTGGTTGTGGGGCACAGCGGGCTGTTAATGTGTAAACAACTGCCAACATATCAGAGAGCTGGGGGGCGGTGTAAAAAGGGGGCGTGGCCCGGCGGGCAGTCAGCCAGTCAGGCAAAAATAAAGTGGCCAGAAGCATGGCCCCGTTAAATGAGCAGTTAACATTGCCCGTTATGAACTTTAATATTAATAACCATTTATGCTTATGACAGACAATGAAAGCCGTGCGCAAATTTACTTGCCGCAGCCGCAAAAACCCCCTTTCCCCCCGGAAAACCACCACATTTTCCCATCCCCATGGCTCGTTTCTGTTTTCGCTGTTCAACTACGGCCCTAAAATGCTTAGGGCTGGTGTTCGGTGGTTCAGTGGGCGGTTGGGCGGTTGGGCGGTTGGTCGCTGCACTATGCATTTAAAAATGCTGCAAGTGTGCCAGTTAATATGCAGACCGACACGGGTCTTCATTACAGCCCGCAAACACAGACAGGGACAAACACATTCACACACACACACGGAATTGCAGGGACAGCGTCAACAAAATAAACAAAAATGTAAAGCAATTAAAAGCAGCCCAGCAGAATACAACGGAATATCCCACATAAAACATGAGCAAAAGCATGATTTTGACTTTTTTGCTTGCTTACTTTCTATTACTCCGTCCCTGACTCTCGCAATTTTGGTAACTCTAGTCTCCAGAAGAAGATATACCCATTCTTTGGGACTTCATTCTAAGGTATCACTAAGAATATGATAAAAAAGTGTATATTTGAAAGCCAGAAGTGACAAAAATTAGGATTAAACATTTTAAACATTTTTCAAAATTCCCAAAAATCTAATAAAACGAGAAATACTGAGTAATAGGTAAATTTCACTATTAACCAATTTATTATTAAAGTTAATTAATTTTTTAATTATTAAAGTTTTCAAATATGAACGATCATATTCTCTCGCTACTAATCTTAAGTACCAATACACCCCTTTTATAGACCGCCATTTTTGGTCATCGAAATGGCTGCTGGACTGCCTGCTGAGGGCTACAAGTGGTCATTGGCTGGCTCCTGGCGCTCTTTCGGACCGGATTTTAGTTGGATCCGAAATGAATTTTTTTGCTTTTGAGGTTAAAGGGCAGCAATTGTGCAGCTAGGCGTCGGCGAACACACATCGAGTGGCAGGGCAGCTAAATATTTACAAGCTCAACGAAAACATCCGCAAACAAAAAGCGCAGACACGCAGATGGAGAATGCGAAGTTTTATGAAAATGGCCATCGCACACATATACGAGTATGTACCCCACATGTGGTGGAGTAATTGTTATGCCAAAGTCCCGCTCACAATTTATTTTTGTTAATCAGCAAACGCCCACTTCAGCCGGCCACGCCCACCGCCCAGGCAACAGAGAACCACGCGTGGCAAGTGGCAACAATTCGACAATTATGTGGCATTTCCATTGCTGCCCCTTGCTGTTCGTTTTTATTTTAATTAAAAAGTCCCCTGCCAGGATGCAAAAAGCGAACAGGTTCGCGGATTCCCACACCTGCAGGCAAACGGAAGCCCCCTGTTCCCCTCTTCCTTCCACGGGTTAGAATTTTTGATATTTATGGGCAGTGGCCAGTGGTCGGTGCAAAGTTACACCCCGATAAGCATCTGCACCACCCAAAACCCACCAGTCCCCCAATCCACCGGCCATTGCAGCTGTTGTGGCTCAGATTTTCGGTGCGTTGCGACGGTTTGGTTCGCAATTATGCAAATCGAAAGATCGCCACACAGCGATATCCTAAAATTCCATGCATTTACAATTTTCTAATCAATGGAATTTTAATTTTAATTTCCAAGGCCCCGTCGTCCGTGGTTGCGATGTATCTTTCGGGTCTGGATATTATTTGCTACTAAAATGCTGTTTCAAGGGTAATCGCCGGACAGTCCAGTTGGGTTTTCGATTAAAACACCCGATGTTTCAATTAATTCAATCCCAGTGTGAAATGTGTCACTCACATGTCGCCCACCGAATCGCTTTGTTGCCTATTTACAGGCGCCGTGAATGCGAATGCAAATGTGAGTGTGACGGCGACTGTGAATGCAATTCATATTCATTTTAATTTAATCAGGCTCTTGCGACATCGCTCAACCGTAATTAAGTTTCTTTTGGCGGGGCCAGAAGCTCGGCGAGCGTGAGAGAATAAAAAAGCAAAAATACCCTGGTATAATGGGGGAGAAATTGAATAAATCAGATAGATATGTGTGCACCATATTTTACAGACACCGAACCCCGGAAGCCCCGAAACCCCAACGGGCCAGCTCATGGCGACTAATGCAATAAAAGATGGCCACAGCACGTTTTTTAATATTTAATTAAATAAATAATTTCCATTTGCCGTTTGCCCGTTGCCCGTTGCGTTCCAAATATTCGAACGCACGAATTTAAATATGGAAATACTTTGCACGCAGGCGGTTGCATTTCGCATTTTCGCATTTCCGCTGGGCGACTCGTCAAAGTTTCCACGCCGAGCTGCACACACACACATGAATCAGGGGGTTTTTGGCAAAAAGTTTTCCCTCGGAGTAATTAGAAGACTTAGTCCCCTGCCAGGCGGTCTTTGGCTGACTGCTTAAAATGCTCTTTTGGCGTTAAATTTATGACAACCGCACATGTTGTTTGCCAGCTAGAAACAATAACAATAACAGCCCGCCGGGCGACAGCCGAAGGCGTGCAGCAACAAAGGCCACCAAAAAGGGGTGGGCGGGGAGGGGACAGATCGCAGCGGGGGGGTGGCGCTGCAAAATGCTCGTTAGAAAGTTTCTAAGGTTGCGGCCGCACACGGAACAGCTGCGCCGCCAAAAGGGAAGGATTCTCCAAATTGTTGCACGCTTTCCTTCGCTTTGGGGCGGTCACATTGTTGCTAAGCTATACACACACTCTGTACAGAATGTTTCTCTTGCTGGCTGATAAGCTACACGGTAAGAAAAGAACGGCAGAATATATATTGAGAAAAAAATTGCTGGCACAAATACGAGTTTCTAATAGCCAAAGTAGTCGAAAATTTACAAAATTAATTATATTTTTTGAAATATATTTCGAAAAGAGATTCAAAGTAATTAAAATATTATAAAGCCGTTTTAAAATATTGGAATATAGAATTTAATATGTATGATTTTTAAGACGTTTGAGTTATAATGGCTTCTAAAAGTATGCAGCCCAGAAAGTAAAGAATATATTCGGATCTAAGATTTCGTCGCATACCTTACACCTCAATTTTAAAATGAACTTTTAGTACAAATTAAATACATACAAAAATAAAAATTTTTAGTCGTTTATTTATTTTTTTTGGCAAGTGCTCTTGGACTCGAACGCATACCCAAACTCATACGCCGTGTGGTGCACTGACGTGACCTCCACTTGGGCGGCAAGTGCTCGAGTGGGCGTGGCAGCGAAATTTTCGCTCCAAAGTGAATTTATTGTTTTGGCCATTACCACTTAGCCGGTCCCGAAACTTGGCCCAAAGAGTCGTTTATTCTGATGCAAGACGAGAACTTAAACAACCCGGCTGCCAAGGATGCAAATTGAAAGGCGATAGCTGAATGAAGCGAAGCTTTAAGGGCTGAAGCCCCGTGTTTACCCAAGGTAAATTGCACTCGATAATGAGTGCTTCACATTAATTAAATAACCAATAGATCGGTCTGGGCTTCCCATTGCAAATTATGCGGGCGCCAAGGGGAAAATCGAAGCAGAAGCAGAAGCACACTTGTCGCGGTTTTCGCAGCGATTTCTTTTGCCCGCGACAGCGAAATTAATTGCATTGCAGGCAGCGCTTCACGTGGAGGAGCACTTGTTACGGTTGCCATTAGCGGTGCCATCAGCGACCCTCGAAATCGCTGTAATTTCCAATAGATAATGAAATGCAATTAGAAAATGTGTGCTGGCTGAGCCGCTGTGCCACAAGATTCCGTGCAGAATGCAACAATAACAGCAATTTAAACACGCTTTCCCGAGCTACGAGCTGCCGAGCAGGCGGCTGCATAATGGCGCATAGAAGTTTGTAATTAAAGTTTGCCGACTCTGTCAGGTGACGACACCACGGGATATGGCCGTTTATTCCGACCATTCCGGGCTCACAATGCTGCACCAGGAGCAAAAGCAAAAGCAGCAGCGGCAGCGGCATCAAATCAATTTCCGCATCGCACTCGCAACCGGACCCGGATCCTCGGCACTCCGGCTCGGACTGGTTCTTCGGCCGGGCTTTTGTCCGGGCCATCAACAAAGCAGAAAATAAAATTCAATTAACGCGCTTAAATTAAACTGCCACTTCCTGTTTTGATGACATTTTCATAGCAGCCTCCGCGGGTGGCTATTCTGCTGCGATAAGAATGCGGTTGGTGCAACTGGAGCCCGGAAGCCCGGAAACCAGGGGCCCGAGTCCCGAAGCCAGGAGCCTGTTGCTGGCGTGGCTCTCGTCTCCTTTGGCTCCTCGCATCAATATTAAATGGTAAACGACCGGCATAATGGCTGTCCAACTGCGGCTGTCATTATGGTTCGGCCGGGACAGGTTCCGCGCCTGCTCCCGATGACAAATAAAGCTCATTACGCGCTTGTCCGGCATCCTTCACTTCGCTCCTGATTGACCTGCATCTGCGGGTGGCGTCACTGCAGCCAGTTCATAAATGGCCCTACACTGCGAAAAATGTTGGGGGCTTAAAGGGGAATAGGAAAATTTGATAATATTAAGATAAATATCAATTTACCACTTTGTTCTTTGAAATAATTTATAAAGGTGTCTAAAAGTAGGCAATGCAAAAATTTTTTGTATTCAATATATTTATTGTTGCATACTTTTAGACACCAGCATATTAATTTGATTTTGATCTTTAAGAATTAGTCGAATTAAGAGCGCCTTCTACTTATGGGATATTTTTCTATTGAGGCTACAGATTGGCTATTTATTTTCCGTGTGACTTCAAGACACGTATCTATCAGTGAAACCCCCCGATTCCCAGACTGCCCCCGGGGTTCATTATCGAGCAGCGCAACTCTGACGCCAAATGACACAAAGTCAGTGAAGCGTTCAGGAGTGATTAAATTAGAACTCAACTTGGCCAAGTTGAACTCCTCGCTGCAGTTCACCGAGGGCAGCAGCAGCAGCATCTCTGGACAAACTTCTTTGCATCTTCAACTCGGGCCTTTTGTGCCCGACCCGTCAGCCATTCAATTCCTTTGCCGGGTTCATTTCTTTGCGCGATAAGCAACTTTGGCCAAGCAAACTGGCGTTTAATTTAATTAGTAAGGAAAACAGGAGGCAGGGGCACAAGCGAGCCGGCTGATAAGAGGATGCTGTTGATTGGGAGACGCTGGAGCGGAGCTCAAAGCAAACGGAAAGCGGATTTGTAGCAGCAGTTCTGATGGAGGTCCTTTGCAGGATCCCGTGGATCCTGTAGCTCGCAGGGACAGCAGCGGTACATCAGCGAGGCCGGCTTAGTTTGGACAACCTGCTGGGGCAAATCTACGCTGGGAGTGACAGGAGGTATGCGAATGGGCTGCAGCCCGGAAGATTCATTGATGGAGGCTGTAGAAGGAGGATGCCAGGATGCGGCGGAGCTGTGGCTGCTGTCCGTTCTCGATTCCTCATCCTCATCCTTGTTCTCGTCACCGCCCCCGGCATTCGGCTTAACTCCTTCCTGCTGTAAATCATTCGTCGAGAGTGAAGGATGCTCCGCATTCGCGTCATGCATGGCATGCATTGTTGTCCTTTGAGGGGGCGTGGCAGCCTCTGTCACTGGCGATGTCCTCGCCGGGATTTCGCTGGAGTCATCCAGTGTGACACTGCTTCGCAGCAGGGTGGCGGCATTCGAGGGGGAGAGGTTGTCCGTAGAGTAGGCACAGCCCTCCAGCAACTTGGTTAGGAACTTGTTCGTCGGCAGCACAGGTCTGCGCTTTCGCCAGGTGGCCGCCTCCTGCCGATCCGTTATCCTGCTCTGCACCACCGGCCGTGTTATCCCGGCGAAGAGCTTCTGCCGCAGCTTATCCTCCGAGCGGCACATCTCGAAGGCGTTGGCGATGGTCAGGAAAATCTGCTCCGCCAACAGAGCCCGGCGGGGCGTGTAGAAGTCCCGGCAGACAGGACAACGCTCGGAGCGGATGCGACAGTCCACGCAGAGCAGGTGTCCATTTTGGCACTGCATCGCCGGCGGGGAGATGGTCACCCCGCAGACAGGACACTCGACGAGGCGCAGGATGCTCTCCAGGACGAGCGACAGGCGTCGCAGACTCGTGGGCATGGGGGCGCAGCAGATGCTCTGTGGATTTCCAGAAAAAATATGTTTATTTAATTTTAGAGAGATTTTTGCTTCAGAAATGAGATACTTTTGGTTTTAGTTAAATTTTAATAATGTTAATTTATAAATGTTTTTATCACTCACATTATTATCACAGTCCTTATCACACTCACTGTTCCAGCAGAGAATTGTGACGCAATCCTTTTGGCTTTTGACCATTTTGGCAATTTCAGCAACTCTAAGACCCAAAACATCGTGGCCATTAACCTGAAAATATATAGGCTTCACTGTTTTAAGGGGAATATCTGGTGATGGAGAACATAACTTAAATATAGAGTATTCTAAGAAATACCTGCAATACCCAAAGCATATCAGGTATCTAAATATTTAAACTCAGACAAGCTATAGAAAAAGCAAATAAATAAAGAAAAATATGGCCAACACATTTTCTAACAGTAGATGTTAACTCACTGTCAACCGGCACTGTTAACCCAATGAGCTGCTATCTGATAACTCGCTCGCCTTTGCTTGTTTTAAATATCTAAATATTTACTTTGCGCTAATTAATCTTTGTCAGTTAGTGCAGTCGTTAAACGTTCGAGTTGTGTCATTAGTTTTAGGCCCGTCTAGGGCGGGTTTTGCATTCGCCAGCTGTTTCAGGTGCCCAGTGCCTCCTCACCTCACCATTCCCCCCTCCGCCAGTAAAAGTGCTGAATAGAGCCGATGAGAAGCAATTAAATTTTACTGCATTGCTATTTTAAGCTAGCAATATCCACGAAGAACAACAAAAACAGCTACAATAGCGACTGCAAAGTCCAGGCCTTAGGAATACAGTCCAACTTCCATAGGTATAACTTCAGTTCCAGTCTGCTTTGGCTCAAACTTTGTAGAAATTAAATGACTATATCGCAATCTATTTAGTAGAAAAATTTTTCTAAAAAAATTCTAATGAAATTATTTAAAACAGAAATTGAAATCAATGGTAATTCAAATTTAAATGAAATTCTGATTAAAACTGATTAAACTAGTTTAACTAAATTACAAATTATTTATTAAATACTGAAAAAAGCAGTTATTTAAATGATTAAATTAGTGGAGAACCTAAGAAACGATCACTTAAAACAGTTTATTCAGGTAAAATCTTTTCAATATGTGGGATTGCTATAGTTCTAGAACTATAGTTCTTTATTAGCAAATGACCTATTTTATTCGTAGTCCCCATGCCAAGCCCATTTCTTTGCACTTGCCAGAATAGAAACAACGGCGGACAGTTTTCGGTGGCAACTACGTGTGGCACAGTACTCTTTACTCACCTCCAGAACACAATCGCCGGGTTTAAGGCCGCAGAGTGCGGCAGGTGTGCCGGCAGCCACTTCGCATACCTGTCAGTTTGGGGAATATGGCATTAAGAGGGGGCGGGATCTACGATGGCTGGCTGGATATTGTTACCCATGGATAGGGGTCCCACTTGCTGCGGGTCAGCTGGAAACCGTAATTCTCCATGGCAGGAGCAGCCCGCGGGATCCTCAGCAGGCGAACGGAGGAGCCCAAGTCGTTCTCCGCGCCATTTTCAGTGGGCGGGGCCTGAAATCCTCCCGACGATTTCCTCATCTCTGGCTGGAAAACTCACTCGCGCAGTTGGCCAAGACGATTCGAACCGAAATAAAACGCGACTGGCGAGCGACGTGTTCAACGTGCGCTCTCAGTTGGCAAACTGTTTTTCGTGTGTGTTTTTTTTCATTTTCGAGCCAGCTGGCTATATGTGGGCCGCCAGAAAAGTTGCCGAGCGGCGACGCAATCGGCTACGACAAACATTTTGGCCTCAGCTTTTGGCCAAGCTCTCAGCCAACATCTAACGGCTAACAGCTCCCAGCATCACCCATTTAACCCCTGCCCCTCGAACACTTTGTGTTGTAAGATCCGAAATCCGAGATCGGAGATCCGATGCTGACAGCCAGTTGAGATCATGGAAATTGGTCTTGTGAAGCTAAGTAAATATTTGAACTTTCGGCTGGCAGCGGCTGTTGGGTGCGCTACAAAGTGGCAGGTAAAAGCGATGTGACGCATTGATAAAACATGAATAAACAAATACATTTCTCGGCGATTAAGTCATAGCGAGACCTTTTTTAAGAGGTTTGTTTTGAAAGCGAGTCTGCTCGCCAGATTCTTTGAAAGTTTTATTGCAAGTTACGGTAATTCTTCGGAAGTGAAATCTAGAACATGGCAGAATTTCATTATTATGAAGGTTTTGCATTACAATATTTAACAAACATTTTATTATTTACAGCTGATTAAAAAAACAAGAGAGAACGCTATAGTCGGGTGCCCCGACTATCAAATACCCGTTACTCAGCTAAAGTGCGAAGGAGATAAAAACTTTGATCCGCCGTAACTTTTTAACGAATGGTCCGATTTAAAAAATTTCTTCTACATTTTTGATAAACACCATAAAACTGCATTTTTACTTTTCCGAAATATTGAAATTTTTAAAATTGTATATAAGCGATTGTGGGCGTTAGAGGGGGCGTGGCACCCTTTTGAAACTAACTTGCGTTGCGTAGGAACTCCTAGAATCTGCATGCAAAATGTCAATCTTCTAGCTGTTATAGTTTCCGAGATCTCAGCGTTCATACAGACAGACAGACGGACAGACGGACAGACAGACGGACAGACGGACATGGCTAGATCGACTCGGCTAGTGATTCTGATCAAGAATATATATAGTTTATAGGGTCGGAAACGCTTCCTTCTCCCTGTTACATACTTTTGCACGAATCTAGTATACCCTTTTACTCTACGGGTAACGGGTATAAATATTCTGTTTTATAATTTCTTTAGATTTATTAGCTGTATTTTCACTAAAAATAAACTTTACCAAATGCAAAAATGAAATACTAAATGTTTACACTACAAACTTGTAATCAGATAAAATAGCCATTAGCTGTAATGTACACGAAACTTAATAAGCTTAATTCCATTTTGTTGACTTTACAAGTTTCCCGACTTTGTAATTAAATTTGAAAATAAACAGCGCTATTTTTCAGCTTAATTGCAGTGCTAAATGGCAGTGCATTGTCAATTGGGTGGCGAGTGCCAAGTGGACCAAAATATTGTTATTTGAAATGCCGAAGAAATAAAAACAACAAACGTGGCGCTGCATGAAGGTGTCGGGTCGCGATAAACATAAACAATGGGGCCCTAAATAAATAATCGGGCCCAAAACCGACTCGTCCATTAACCCTAACAATGATAACCGATGGCAATTGGCAGCTGACAAATGGATTTGGCACGGCAGGGCCAGCAAACCATCGCAATCCAATTGACTTTCGCTTTTTTGCTGCCTATCGCCGGTTTAACTGCCATTGAGGCGGTAATTTCAGTTTGGCGCTCGGCCGAAAACATTGCCCAAATAGCATTGAAATTGGTAATTTCATTAAATTTTGCGCCCAGCAAAAGTGACCCTGGATGGCATTGTGGTGTGTGTGTGATTTCGTTTGGGCTTTTCAATTTGCCAGTTCAATTAGATTTTGCCGAATTTATGTGGCATCGAGTGGGCCACAGAAGCGTTCGGCAGCCAAAAGCCGTCAGCAGTGTCAAAATTACCAAGTACTTGGCCCGGCCAATAACATCAAAATTCATGTTTCCCAAAAGGTAATTGACTTTTATTAATCGGCCGGCAATTAGGCCGCCTGGCCCAAAGGCAAATGGCCAGATTCAAGTGCAAATCCGCCTCTCAAAATATTACTTATGGCCAATTGGGGTTTGAAAAACCGTTCAAAAGCTCGCAGCTGGTTCAAAGCTCTGCCAGAAGGGGGCGCCTCTGGTTTAAGCCATGTTTTATGAGGTCTGCTGGTCAGCTGTGAAGACAACGCGGCTCAGTTTCTTCGCAACTGGCAGTCGGTGAAGTGCGCAAGCGCCGCAAGTTCCGCAAGCAAACGCGAAGTGCGAAGCGCCGGCGCCAAATAAAGTGATTACGATACGATCGCCAACGCAGAGAGGAAAAAATCATCTAGCGTGGCCGAGAGTTGTGAAAATTGATTAACCAGCAAACATAAAAAACGGTGTGTAATTGTTAACAAAGCAGGCGATGGCTAATGGCCCAAATGACCTTATCCAACCGAAGCAAAGCAACTTCCAAGTTAAGTTAGCTTAGGTCAAGGTCCGGTTAAGACCGCTCATATCCAAAAAAAAGACCGAAAAACGCGGAAGTGTAACGCACAATTATAAACGCATTTGCTGGATACTCGCATAATTAAAGGCGGCAAACAAGTTTGCTTCTATTTCCTAGCTCCAAAGCAAACAAACGGGTCTAAATTGAATTAGAAACGCGCCAAGAGCAGCGCATAAATCATACGTATACGCAATGCTTGCGCAAATCTCACACTCACACACACTGTGCGAAAATGGAGGGGGAAAACAAAAAAGCAAATCACGTTCAATTCGGCAGTTTTACACGGCAATCCCAGAGTCTCAGCTCCCAGGCGGCTAATTGTAGAGCTGCAGCGTCAATGGCGCATGCGCAACTTTTTAGCCCGCTTTTGGGTTTCTGGGTCTCTGTCTCTGGCGCTTTTTTATTTGTTTATTTTTTCGGATTTCTTGATTTTTTCGCTTGCGGTTTCTTTCGTGTAATTGTGACGCAATTTTCGTGTGAGTTTGTTTTAGTCTCGGCTCGCCAGTTTTTTGCCAGTGACTCAATCTCGATACACTGAAAACGAAAACGAAAGCGGCGGTTGCAGTGTGCAAACTGCATTACCTTCGATCGTCAGTCAGTTGCAATTCACACGCGTGTAAGCTCAGTTCGCTTCCTCCAGAAGAGAGAAAAACCAACTAATAGCGTTAACTCTACGGTATAAACAATTAAATTTAGGCCCGAATTGGAGCGTTACCAGTGGCAGTCAGCCTGCATTTTGGGGTTTGCGTAATTGTTTGCCAAGTGTCGCGCTTCATTGAGTTGGGCCAACACATAAAAAAAGGAAACAATAGTCTGCTAAGGGTATTTACTGGGTGCAGCTTCAATACAGCTTGGGATAATAATTAAATCGAACCCTTAATTGCCCTTTCAAGGGATAATACATAATTTAATCGATGGCCAGCCAGCTTATTGTTTAATGATTTATTTACTTTTCGCCGTGCCCACTTCAATAAACCGACGTCATAGCGATTTCATGGCCAATGTCAGTAGAAGTGAAGTGAAGTGATTTGAACAAGTTTGCGGCACTCGAACTCGAACTCGTACTCGCAATCGTACTCACATCTGTATCCGCGTGCGTAGACAGCCGGAGAGGAAGCTATAAATTCTATACCATCTACTCCGCGAGTTTGGAGTGCCAGAAACATAATCAATTTCGCTGCGAGAATCTTCTTAGCTGACAGCCAAGCGAATCTGACGCAATTCATGGCTGCCACTTCGATTTCGAGTTGGCCAATGACAATGCCAGTGACTAAGCGTAAGAACAGCTGGGTTCTGGCCTCTACGGCTATTCCACATATATGTCTGTGAGTTCCGGGGCTTAATTGAGTTTCGCTAGTGCTTAAAACTTTTCAAGAAACCCTTTCCTTTTTATTCTTTATTTATTTCTGGCCCGGCCCCCGGAAAACTTTTGATTTATGTGAGCAAATTTTACGGCTGGCGGACGTGGCGTATGCGTAATTACGACCACTTGGCACCAAACTTTCTGGCTAATTAATTGGGCTTCGCCTCGAAGCTGCCGAAAGGTGAAAGAATCGCCCCGCCGAAAGGTGCAAATGAGTTGAGTGCTGAAAATCAGTGGATGCCCCAATCACACACACACACACTCGGTGGGGCATAATAAATGCGAGTGTGTACGTGATGGGCATGTCAACTAGTGTGTTTCGGGCTGTCTTGGCCCCCCGAGACAAACGCAATAAAACAGTTTGGCAACATATATGCCCAGGTAATTAGATGAGCAGGGGTGTGTGTGTGCGTCTGCCAGACGCCCCAAGTGTTGAAAATTGGCCAAATTTATGTTGGCCAAGGCAACGTGCGACCTTGTGGTTTGTGGTGACCAAGTGCCAGATTTAATTTGAACTCTCCTCCTTAACAACCATTACAGCCAAAATGCTTCAGTTGTGCACCATCTACGCCTGCGCGAACGGCACCCTGGGCCTGAATTTGAGTCGTGCCCCCTGGGATCCGTATCCCTGGGTCAGCGGGGTGCAGGCCAAGTCGAGTGCGGAAAGGGGCGGCGTGCGGATGGGAGACACCCTTCTAGAGCTCAACGGAGCCGATGTCCTGGGCCTGAGGATCAGTGAGTTGGCCAGTCGGCTGCAGGATCACTGGCAGAGCGGCGCCGAGGTCGTGACCCTGATGATGTGGCGTCAACAGGGGAACATGGACCAGAACGAGGATCCTGCCGAGGCATCTCATGCTGTGGTAAGTTGGCCTAATTAAGGCGGAGTGACTATATGGGCCATTGTCTTACCTGAGTGCGCCAGCAAGCGTTACGTAATACTGATTGGCTTAATCACTGCTACTGCTGTTGCTGCTGTTTTGGCCCGGTAATTAGTAATTAGTCGGTGAAGCAGCTTGGTCCGCTTGCTTTGTGGGCCTAAGCCCCAGAATTAAACCTCAATACAAGGTTGCTTTGCTTAAAAAACACAAGCAAGATTTGTCCGTAGCTAATAATACGTAATCGCAATTGACTGGCCATCAAATGCTGTTTACTTGAGCTTTATTGCGCAAATAGAAACTTAGTCGACTGCAGTTTATCTTAGGATGAACCTTCCATTCTTTGTTTAATTTAATTTTTGTATATATTTTCCCATTGTCATATTTATTTTTTTTTTCTAAAAGTTATGAAATCAATTTATTTTATGTGTTCACATCAATTGCAAATAAAGTTGGCCGAAAGCAATGAAAAGCCTTCAAGTCATAATCAAAATTAGATTTATTAAAATTGTATTAAAAATTAAAAAGTCACCGAATGACCTTGAACATTCAAGAAAACTCTGGTTCACTTCAAAGTTCCAGCAAATTGAGATCCTGAGGTGAGCCTTCAGGTGTTCAACCATGCAGGTGTCCACGTGTCGTTGTAAATTGTTTATCTGCCGTCCAAGAAGCTGTTTACTTTATTAAATGCAATTGAATCGAAATAATGCAATTTCCTTCTTGACACATTATGTGTACTTTATTACAATTCAATTGACCCAAATGTCCTCGCCGAGGACAGTCGAAATTTAAGGCCAGCCAGGACATTCGCACACACAAACACAGTATTTCGTGAATGTACAGGTGGCTAGCAGGGAAAGTCCATTTCAATCAATGCCGAGGGCTGTGAATCACAGAATGTGTGCCAGATTGACCCGTTAAACAGATTAAACTTGCAACCGCACTCGGCCATAGGACATTATGTGTCTTTCCCATGCAGGCGACCCTTTTCGGGGGCAGGGGTGAATCATTCAAACACGAGTCGATTTGATAATCGAATGCAGAATGCAGAACTGAATGGAAATCGGCTTAAATCGAAGCCTCACATAGCCACTGTGTCGTGAATTATTAACACCGCCTCACTGAATATGTGTGGCAAACACGCCGAAAATTTAAATATAATTAAGAGCAGGCGTCCGATTCAATTGATTGAATTTCCCGAAGTGCCGCTTAACCTTGAAGTGGTGTCCTTAAATTAACCAGCGCTCTTTCTGCCTTCTACTTGCAGCAGCACGGAATTAATCAACAATCGCTGCAAAAGTTTGCAACATGCCTGCAACATATTTCCCAATTACTGGAGTGTCCTGTGTGCCTTGAGGTAAGTGGAATATGGGGGATGCGGAATGCGGGATGTTTGAGTGGGTTGATGGGCTGATGGGATGCTGGGATGCTGGGCCATAAGGCCGCCTGCATGTGCATTGCATATCGATGAGCCCGGCTGGCTTTAGTTTTAGTTCGTCATTATCTAACTCAGCTGGGCTCGAACTCTCGACCCAACTCGGCCAAAACTTAGTTGGCCAGTTGGCCTCTTGTTTGCCTTTGTGGGCCGCTGCCGTCAATCTCACTTTGAGAAAAATATTGCCGGGAATATCATCTATGTAGGTCATATTATTATGGGATTTATTTTTAATTAAAAATAATAAATAATAATAAAAATATATATATATGTTGGTTTAGGAATTCTTTGCTTATAAAGTAAACCCCACAGTAACATCAGAGAAAATGTTACTGATTTAATGATGATAACTTTATTAGTTAAATATTATTATAAAAATAATATTAATTTAAATTCTATTAATAGTTGGTTTTTCATATTTGTTGATTATAATCTGTTAAATATATGTTGGCTTAAAAATTCTTTGCTTATATAGAAACTAATACAGAAAAGATACGGAATGTTTATAAAATTACTATTTTCAAACGGAATTTAATTAAATATTCTATTCTGTCAAGATGATTTCATTTAATCTTTGGCTTCTTCTAATTTATTTGTTATACTTATTTGATATTATCAAGACTTGTTCTCTGTGCAGTGGCAGTCCCATTGGCAGTACCAGTGCCATCCTCTTCCGGGCCTGCGTTGATTTTGCTGCGCAAGTTTGTTGCTAATCACTTGGCTGTATATAAAGTTTGTAACGTTGGGCTGCCGGTGATTGCGTGCCCCCGTGTCCCACGTCCACGTCCACATCCTAGTCCGCTCCTGGAATCCCCCCTCCTTTCTCCCAGGTACGGTAGCTTTGTTGACTCAATTACTCAAACGACGCACATGGCCCGCTCCGTTCCGATCCGGCCCTCCATGTTGCCAGTTAATAGCCGTCGGTTATGTTGCCAGGCCAAGTTTTTTATATTCGGCCGGCTGCTCGCCTGCTTTATTTTGTCCTATATTCGAGTAGGTTTTTGATAAATGTTTGCCCTGGCATGTGATTTGATTAGTTTTGCAAAATATATACATCCAGAGCGGGCCGTGTGATTGATTATGTCGTTTAAAAATCAAATATTGGCGATTAGTGTGTGTCGAGTGTGTGAGTGGATGGGCAGCTGGGCAGCGGAAGTCAGTGTGAATAATCGTGTCAATCGCCTGCGGGCCAGCTTCTGATTTTGCTGTTCTCTGTTTTCTGTTTTTGATGCCGTGCGATGCGATGTGATGTGATGTCCGAGGCCCAGAGCTCGTTGTGCATTTAAATTAAAGCTGTTGGCGAGGGCCGGGCTTTAAATTTATTTATGCCCAGCTTGTCAGCAAAAACATAAATTTAATTAATTAGACAAGATAAAGAGTGAGCAGAGTGGAGGAGACGGTGAGGGGGATTGCAATCCCTCCTTTGCTGGCCATTTAAAATGCAGAGTTATTTTCAAATGAAATTCTCGCCTGCAGCTCAGAGTGCTGGAGTGTCAGTGTGTAACCATAAATTAAGCATATGCGGGGAGTCAGGGGGGTGGCTGAGGCAAGGACATCCCGGAGATATCCTGGAGTGGACACGGCCACGCTGCAACGCCTTTCGGAGCCACAGAGCAGCTTGAACTCCACTTGCAGCTGCACTGAATAATTTGTTTATTAACCCGAAATCAGTTTATGCTGCTCCGTCCTGCGGCTGAGCGTTGCCAGGACGAGAGTCCTTCGCATTTGGTCATTATTACTATGGCACGAAGCCGGCATTAGATTGTATTATGATCGCACACATACATATGTTCTGCTGCCATCTCCTTCGTTATGCACATGTGTGTGCAAACACGCACACAAGTCCATTAAGTTATTAAGGGATTTTGTTTTGCTAGATTTTCAATAGTTTCCCTTGAATGCTAATCGCTTGCATTAGCCTGCATCCACTTGGATAAGGATTTGCCTCCGCTTCTCCTTGCTTGACATTAAATCGGGCTTGAAATTGTTTTTGTTCCATTTAAATATGCATAAATTTGCTGGCCATTTAATTTTCATAAATATTGCAAACAAACAGCTCAGCTCTCCATGGCTCTCGATGGCAATATGATTAATTCATTTTCGATCAGCCCGGCGGCGCTTTAGTTAATATAAACTATAGACTATAAATATGAACTGGCCTCCAAATCCAACGGAGCACTTCGAATCGAATCAATACTGCTCAAGATATTTTACAATATGCCCGAAAGCAGGCTACGACAATTTCGATTACTATGCGACAGATGCTGAAAAGTGGGCTAAAACCAAAACTAAAACTACTCGGCTTTGGCCATTTCCGCCGCCACTTCCACATTTCCACACTTCCCCACTTCCACATGCCCATTTTGTTTTCGCTCAGCTGCATTTAATTGATTTCTATCACTAATTGAAGTCTTTGTTTATGCATGCTGGGGTATTAAAATTAAAAGCATTTGCTCATGCCATTTAAGCCAATTAAAAACAATAAAAGACGAATAACATTAAAAATATCTGCCATGGCACACGTGCACGTTCCTTAAATCCCTTTAATCGGTTTTGTATTTTATTTGGCTGGCATGTTAGAAAGTTAGGGCACTTTTTACCCATAAAAGTGTGTATTTCCATAAAAAAAAATCATATCATATTAAGTTCAAAAAAATATCTATAATACCGCTACTGATTATGATATGCTTTTTTACGTTAATGGGGCTCCATTTATAACTTTTTCTTTCCGTGCACGTGTGTTCTCTATCTTTACGTTTTTATCTGGTCGGATTGCAATCGAATCGCTTTACATTTGTAATACTTCGATTGCAGTTTTGCCAAATCGTAGCAAAAAGTATGAGAGCTGCTATACAAAAATTGTTTCTTTATTCAGCTCGTAGCAAATTTATGTTCGCCAGCATATTTACAACAGTTTTTGGCTGAATACACGCACAGACAGGCAGAGACAAAAAGCATTGGCCAAATATCGATACATATTCCCCAGTCCCTTAGTCTATTTTCAGTGTTCGTATTTCGGAACTGGTATATATGTTTTTTGCCCAATTCTGCATTTGTGTTTTTATGTTTTGTGCTTTTGTGAGGGGGACCGACTTCAAATGCGCAAAAGTATTTGGGTGCGCATCAAACACAGTTGTATTATTTTAAATCCGCTTGCAATATTTTCAATTTGATTTTCAATTTAAATGGAAAGCTTGCTGCGCACAGCGCTGCCAATATAATACATACATTTTTCATGTCGATTCGAGCCAGAGCAATCGAAGCTGCAGTTGTTGGACTTAAGGAGACCTTGGTCTGCAGGTTCCGGGGGCGAAACAAGGGGCAAATGTGGGCAATAATCAAATTTAGTTTCCGTTTGTGCATTACGAACGACGATATGCAGACTAGAATTGGTTTTAGTTTAAATGCGATTGGCAAAACAATAATGAAGCAATCAGGGGGCTTGGGTTCGATGGCCATGTTATATATGTATAATTAAATGATATAATTTCCCCTCTGAATAATTACACACAACCCTCTTTCTTTTCTCCTTTGACTCAAAATCAGGTCATCAAACCACCTGGCTGGCAGTGCTGCAATGGACACGTGCTCTGCAATAATTGCCGCAGTCGTTCCGTAAAGTGTCCGGTGTGCCGCGTTCCTTTGGGGCCGAGGGGCCGCTGCCTGCTGTCGGACAAGTTGTTCACCCTGCTGGCGGAGAGCTTTCCCTGCGACGGGAGGGGCGGTAAGTGCCGACTGGTTTCGAAGGACATGTATTCGCGACTTTTATCTATTTAATCTGCGCAAAACGATACCCGAATTAGCCCTGTCATTAGGCAACAGCTGTCTGTTTCTGACAGCTTCTGGGAATTCTCTTGAATTGGGAAGGCATAGGTGGCTGTCTTGTCCCATCACTTAAATTCAAGCTATTTAATTTTCTTTAACCTTTAAAATTTTATAGAACTTTATTCAGCATTTAAATGTAATTTCTAAATATTTTTTACTTTTTGATCAACACGAGTAGGATATTTTTATAATTTTAATTATAGCCCAGTTTCTAATGAAGAGATATGATCTTTAAGGTGCAAACCCCCCTACAAATAGGTTTTGACCACGCCCTGCCTTAATATATCCTGCGGCAACATCCTGCCGGGCCCGAGTCCTCATTTAGGTGGGCCAAAAACTTTTCCTCGACGGCAAGTGTCAATGTTTCACTTAAATCTCAACCGAGAGTCGGCGTAAATGAAAGAAAGATGTGACGAGAAAGCGGAGCCGAGTCAAGAGTGCTTGAAATTGAGCGCAATGGCTCATCTTCGCTTGTTGTTCTTTTTATAGCATAATTATGTAACATAAATTGCTAAAGTTTTTCGCGCTTTGCCCCGCTGCCCCATCGCCATCTTGCTGGCATTGCGTTACGTTCGTTGTTGTTTTTCCTTTTCGCTGGGGCGGCTTCGTTTAAAGTTTAGCCGCCCTTGTTGCCATTTTCAATCTGTGTCCGCCAACTTAACTTCGAGTGAAGTTTACAGCGGAGGTAACAAGCAGCAGCAGCAACAGCAACAGCAAAAGCAACTGAATTTTCCGCCGTTGTCTGCATTTGTTTTTACTTGTTGGTCCTCATTTTTTGCCACTTTTCCCCAGGACCCCGAGTCCTTTGCTTTGTTTTCCCCAGCTTATGCTGTGCTTAGTGCGTTTTTATTGCTTCTACATTAAGTGTGCATTCTTTATGTTCTGCCGAGATTCGCCCATAGCTCATATTTATATAGATATAGTTGTAGGATATTTATTTACTGTTTTTTTGCCCCATTTTCATTTGCCACTTGAACTTTCTGAGTCAAGAGTTGGGCGAACAAACCGTAACGAGCGCAAATGGACAATTGCAGCGGCAGGAAAACTTGGACTAGATATCCCGGCTGTATTTATTGTATTTACCTTTCCGAATCCATCCCCCAGCGACCTTTTCTAATGGTTCTCTCTTCTTTCCAGGGAAAACCAACCAGGTGACTGCGGCCCAGGGCCACGAAAAACTGAGCAGCGTCAACAAGTGCACAAATGAATATCATAATCAACCGAAAATGGCGTTGGCCAAGTCGAGTTGCGGCAAGTCGAAGTGCGGCAAGCAAATCTCCAGGCAACTGCCCGTTTCGCTGGACCGAAAAGCCGAGGAAAATGCCACACGCCAAACATTTCCCACTGAAATCAGGAGGAAAAGCCTGAAGGAGGAGGAGGAGGCTGTCGTCCTGCAACGTTGCACGATGATAAAAGTGCAGCAGCACCAGGAGACTTCGGACGAGGACTTTTCGGCTGGAGGAGCAGGTCACAACAATATGCTCGTTAAACCAAAGTTAAAGTTGAGCAAGAAAAGTTGGCGGATTACAGGGCCAGATCAAGACGGATTGCGCTGCGATGAAGTTGCCACCATGAATAATGCCGGCCAGGTGGGCCACCAGCAGCAGGAGGAGCAGGAGATGTCAGCCAGCGAGTATCAAAATTATCATTGCCCCACTGGGAAATCATGCGGCCACAGTTACCAACTTGGTAGCCAGCCAGTGGCCAACAAATTGTCAACAGTCGCGATGCAGGATTCGCTAGGTGCATCCTTATCAGCGGGGAGCCATAAACAGGCGGAATCGGAGGCGGCGGGGTCAATAGGTCGGCGGGAATGGCAGCTGCTGCGCCACTTGAGCGGCGACCATCGGTTGGCAGTGCTGCAAATCTACGGCACGTTCGGCGAGCGGTTGCACGTCCGCCCCCAGCTGCCCCAGGAGGGCGTGGCCTGCCTGCGGCTGAGCGAGGAGTCCACCGCCAGCAGCACAACCATCAGGGTGCACACATTTTTCTTGGCTGTCATTGCAACCGGCGGAGAAGACGGCGACGACGAGCACGCCGTCTTCCTGTGGCACCTGGACCACCTGCCACAAGGACCCACTTTCGAGGCTGTCATCGAAACAGAGGGCATCCCCGGGTTCCTGGCACCTGCTCACTCGCTCCGACGCAGCTGGCCAGAGATTAGGGCATCCGGCCAGTTCCTCACCTGCCGCAATCTGGCGGCTTCGAGCTTCGAGGTGACCCTCAAATCCAGGTAGACCTCCCAAAGACTGGTTTCCACCCCCCCAAAGTATAGAAATAGAGTTAATTAGCAATAAGAACTTTAAGAACCCAAGACTACGAACTGATTGCTGGCTAAATGCAGCGATAGAGCGAACCAAAATGAAAATAAAAATAAAAAGAGTGAAATGTATGCTTTGTAAATTATATTTGCATTTTTTCAACGCGAACACGTATTTATACGAAAAATGCAAAACGCAATTTGGAAATGTGTTTAATTTGCAATATTTTTAATTAATAAAAACATTTAGAAATGTGCTGGCCTGGCAGTTTGAAAGTCGTGGCAGGTGAACGATGAAGTTGGGCCTTATGAACCGGCAGATGCCCTGTAAAAGATATCATGGTTTGTATTTATTTGTTTATTTTTATCAGGAAACCCTCTCTTTTGACACATAATCCTTGGGTTTTTTCTGTAGCATAAAAGCTTTGTGCCATTTTCAAGAGCATCTCAATTTCGTGAGTACTTCCTTGTGGTGGTGGAAAAATAATTCTGATATTTGTACTGAAAACTGAAAGCGGAAAACCGACAGCAGCGACGGTTTCGCTGGTAACTAGCGCCTGTCTGTTTGCTGCCTCCTGATAATTGACTTGCATGCAAATTAATGTTTTTTGCCCCCTGCGTGGGCGTAAATTGCTGCCCTGTCTGACAAACAGTAAACACGGTCAATGCAGCGGCGAGTCATTTTCATCAACGCCGCGCCATACATAAATCTCTGCGCCATCGATGTTTACCATATTTAAGGAAAAAATTCCAATTTGATACAACAAAAATCACAGCACTGTAACAACATGTGTGCGCGGCAAATAGAGCAAGTCGGTTTTATTATCCTTTTTTTCGCTTTCGATGTCCTGCCTTTCCACACTATCGCCTGTTTGTTTTTGATGAGCCATCATCATCATCATCGTCATCTTATATACGGCAATGGCAACTCCAATGGCAACTGCACTCGGCACTGCATACAATCGAAAAAGTGTGCATAGTTAAAATAAATGAAATATTTTCGCAAGCGACACTTTTTCCGACACGGCTGATGAGGAGATGATCTGGTTGGAGCACGGATAATGGAGGTGACGTCACTGCGATTGGTTATCTTTGTCAGGGGTCGTCCATCAGGTAAATTAAAAATATTCCAGCGAAGCAATTAAATTACGTCCTTGGTGGGGAGTGAAAATAAACGCAATATGATGAGCCAGTCAAAATGCAAATTTCCGGAAAACAATTTACAAGACAAGCGGCATTTTTTTAATGAAATCTCTGCTTGCATTTTTATGAAGAAGAAAAAGTAGCTTCAATAATTACGTTAATTTAAAATAAAATATTTGAATATAATATAATATATATAAAAGTTTCTTTCTGATTTTAAATTTTTCAATAAATAAGGTAGGTCAGGCACATTTTCATGACAATAGCGATGATATAATCCACTTGTTAAAGAATGTCCTATGATTACGGGTCTATTAATAACCCAGCCATTCAGTGCCTTATCTCAGATAAATTATGATTATATGTCAATTATTTATCAGCTAATTGGTTTGCCATAGAAAACTGAGGGGAATATTGAATCGAAGATAAACGACCGGGCGACTTCCCCTTTATAAATATACACCCATTTTTCACTGCCCGCTCTTTTCTACCCTCCACAATCTCATTCTGCTCACTTTTCTCCAACTGGAGGTTTGCTTTGCTCTGCTTGTTTGTTTGCCAATTAGTTTTAATCGAAGAGCGCTCGCTGGCTCTCCGCTCGCCAATCGCTTGTTTAAATTGCTTTTCTAATTAATGCGCTGGTCAAATATTTGCCATTGCATGTGTAGTGTTCTATTGTAATAAAAAGAGGAAGCAGCTCCGGGTTCTTAAGTTCTTGGGCTACTTTGATTCGATTCCGCCTTTCCGGCGGTCGTGTCGCGCGTGTTCCGTGGCTTATATTACCTGGATTCTCGGTTCTCTCGGTCTCGTCGGTCAAGTGGTATAGTCCATTGTGTAGGACAGCATAGCACCTCGGTCTCTTTGGCCCACTGCCATTCTCTTTGGCTGACAGCTTGAGTTTGAGTCAAGAACAGCAGACTACGTCATCGTTTGATTGCGTCAGCTTTAGCTCTTTGTGCCACGCTCTTTGATGTTTTTGTTCCATTCCTTCTCTCTGTTTTGTTTTGCTATATTTGCGATATTCACAGCCGGTCGACATGAGCAGCGATTTCGGTAAGCTCAATATATTAGTCTTTTTAGCACTGGCGATTTTCGATTTCACACATTCGGCGTTAATTTACGAGTTTATGGTTAATCAATTAAATGCCACTTTTTGCCCGAGTGCCAATAAATAAGTCGTGTGCAAATACAGTCCAACTTCCATAACATAATCCACCTGGAAATTAACTCTTTTATTTATATACTTTTGATGGCCAAATGAATACTAAATTTTTATTCAACTGGGAGATTTAAAAACGATATAAATTTGAATGATTTTCATTAATGGTCTTTGGATAACGAAATTCACTACATATTAAACTATTTAAATGGCAAATAAATTCTAAATATTTTATAAATTTGTAGCTACTCAACTTGTGATATTAATAGTGATTATTTTAGTAATTTTGATGATTTTTAAAATAAATTAAAATAAATTTAGTTTAGAAATAATACAATGGCATATTTTATGTTAAGAAGTTATAGACCAATAATTCCAATATTGTTTGGTAACGTAAAAAACTTATTTAATATCAAGCGCAATAATTATGTTTTCGGCTTATTAAAATCCCAAATCATCATTAAATATTTGAACACCTTCAGATTTAATGGACGTGGTGGCCGGTGGTGATGGTCCACCCTTGCAAGCCTTTCGAAGCAGTAATCCCTTTGACGAGTGCAACGAGAAGACCTCCTCTCAACAGGATTTTGAGCGGGATCGGGATGCCAATCTGACGCCGTTGCATATGCTTCGGCGGGCCAGCGAAACGGTAACTGCTAGTATATTGGAACCGGAAAAGGAACATCTCCTAGGCGACAAGCCGCAGGCTCCACCGCGCAGCCATGGAGCCTCGATGGCAAATCCCTCTGAAGGTGAGTAATACGTTTAATTGTGCAGTGTCGTTGGCGAGGAACTCAAAAAATGCCGAGCTGAAGCAAAGCGAAAGTATTTGTTCCGGAAATTCTTGCCTTTTTGCACACATCCTCATATACATATTTATCTGGGGAAAGGATGCTGAAGAGAGACATCCAGGAGCACATCTCTGTGCCAACTCTGTGCGCTTTGTTGGCCAGCCAACCGAAGTGGCTCCGACAGCCAAGTGCACAATGCGTGCTCAGATATGCACTTCAGCACATATTCATAGTTTGTTTATGCAAAGTTTTTGTTTCGCCAGCCAGGGAGGGAGCGAGATCCTGGCAGAAAATCACAGCTCCTTCTCTGAGCTGGCAGAAGCTGATTGAGGCATTTCGATTTTAAGTGAACCGCACAATCACATCTTGCACAACGGGTGGGGGGTATCCGGCGTATACGTAATATTTCCGCATATTGACGCCAGAGCGTCTGCGATTGGCAGTGCAGAAGCTGCTGTCCCGGCTCAAACTCAAACTCAGGCATTTCCTTGGTCTCCCATCTCCCATCTCGCATCTCCCATCTGACTTGTGGAATTTTTGCAACGTTCTTGGTTTGGCCAGCCATGTGTGCTGGAGGAGGAGGAGGAGGACCACTTCTGGCCGGGCTTTTGTTTACGCTCTTCTGTTTTGGCAGGTGGTCGCTGCTGGTTTTTCGCCCACAACCAAACAGCTATTATTGTTGAAGCCCCCCGAAGCGAGCTGCAATTGTTTTGCATCTGTCCAAATACGGGGTTTTTGCGCCAGAACCCTGGACTTTGCCTTTGCCAACTTTTGAACAGGGGAAAAGGGGGTAAAGGAAAAGGATTTCCCTTTGGGCCATGGCCACTGTGGAATTTTCACACGAATAATGAGCCGTTTTAGTTGCGCCCAAATGCCCACAATCAGACAACTAACACGAGTGGCAAAAGCCCGCGGCTCTCGGCAAAGTATGTTTCCATGAATATGCATTAGCCGGGGCTCATTTCCTGTGCATTTCATTTCGCATTTGCTATTTGCTGTTCGCTTTGCATTCGAGTTGTGCCCTCGAAGGCTGCACCACTGATTCAGATTCAGATTTTGCCACTGCTTCTGATTCTGATTCTGATTCCGATTCCCGTTTCCATTTCGACTCTCTGACTCTGATTTGACTCTGGAAGTCATATTTAAATAAGTTTGCGCACCGCTGCAGGCAGCTCTAATACTCGCATGTGCAGGCGCTCGTTTATATTAAATAAATTCCATTTAAATGCAGCGTCCCGGACAATTCCTCAAGCTCAACCTTGAATGGTGCTTCACCGAGCTCCACCCACCTGTACACCTTTCACATGTCGCCTCTGCCTGTGAGTGAAACGGCGACATTTCTGTTAACTAAAGCCAACATGATATACGCTTGGCACACAAACATTCTCTCTCGGCTATTGATAAATGCATTGCATTGCATTGCATTGCGCATTCGCCCCGTGCGCCCGTGTGCACGTCAGTTCATTACGTATACGCAGTGTGCGACATTTATAAATGCCAGCATGACTGTGCCCCGGCATAATGATTGCCAAATGAATGGGAGAATGCTAACCGTCACGAAAGCCCTTTCGACGCCATTTCAATGCTGCTGATGCGTTTTGCCCAACAGCATTCCGCAGCTGTTGGCCCACTTGACGCGTCCTTTTATGTGAAGGCTCTTTGGAGGATGTGGCACTTGCACTTGCACCACAGCTAATTACTAAAACTGCGCTTTAGCGGGGCTTTCGTTCGCCAGTTCACCTTTGACCACCTGTCAGACTTTGCCGTTTTCAATTTGTCGCCTTATTTGCCTAGCGCTGAATGGCGCCTTCTGACCTGGTTTTTTCCATACTATTTGTGTTTAGTTCCCCAGCCCGGAGCCAAGAAAGTGCCAGTTTCCACTGATTTGCGATGTATGAACACTAAATTAGATGCGAATCGCTGGGGCGTGAGTTCATCTCTTGGCGGGAAGTGCGTGACAACGGAATGCAATCTTCCTTCCTTTCCGAGAAAGAAATTATTTTCTGAATGCGCGCTGCATGCGCTGGTTAACAGTGGAGTTGCAAGTCTGATTCAGGATTCAGGACGCGCCAAGGATGCCGGCTGGCGTAGTTAAAAGGTGCTACGCTTAAGTAAACATAAATGAAATAAATGTGCGCTGCGTACGGGCAAAGTGATTTGATATATGCTGCAGACAGAGCTGCAGTTGCAGACTCAGACAGGCGGAACTTCAAGTTCTTGGGTTGAAAAAAATAAAAATAAAATATAGAGAAATTGGAAGCAGGGGCAAAAGTCATCAGCGTGTGCAATTTACCGTTTAAACATATTGAAAAAGCACCTGACGTTTGCCAGTAAATAATGAATAGTTGAATAACTGATATAAATCACCAGAGATACAAATATACCCTCCTTCTGCCAAGCAATTTATGACACTTTTTGCTGCTATAACAATCTAAGTGTTAAGTGACAGCAAAAAACTTTTGCCACTTCGGAAAGTGCAATAAATTCTCCATCAGACCTTAAAGAACTTTTTCGAATATCTAGCCGCTGGTCCCAAGTTGTTTAGTTTTCGGGCCGGCCTCGTCTGGAGCAGTGTTTGCCTCGCCTCCAATTAACACCTCAGATTCGCACTCGCACGCAATAGTCAAAGTCCGCATATGACAACCGAATGACAAAAACTTTTGCAGCTGCAACTGCAGCTCCATATCCTTGGCCATTACTTTTTTCCATCAGCAGCAGGATCTGGGTTTTTTGTGCCCAGTGCCCATAATTTGTGTGGAAACTTCTTCAGCAATTGAAAAGCGAAATGCTCGCCATCCAGCATCCAGCATCCAGCGGCCCAGGCTTAAAAGAACTTTTGCATTATTTTCGTGCCTGGTCACTTGAAAGTTGCAGAAAATATGACAAGATAAAATGCCAAAAAGTGCCAGCGGCAAGTGGGCGGCGTGCAGCGATACGGGGGCGTGGCACCCGGAACGGAACGACAACGGCAACGCCAACTGCCAAAGGTAATAATCAATGGGGCGGCCAAAGAAGCCTTAATGACCTGCCCAACTTGCAGTTCAAGTTGGCTCAACGGCTTCTTTGCGCCGCTCTCGTCGAGTGCAGCGCATGAATATGAAATATGAAATTTGAAATATCACAGCAGCGCCAAGACCTCCGAAAGTGCTCCCCTACAATACCTGAGCGCTATCTTCGTTGACACCTTTGCACAATTTATGCACAATTTTTTCAAGGCAGCGACAGAGGCGGTAAAAAAGTGTAAAAGTAAGTGCCGCAAAAACTTTTAAATGAGGCACATAATTCAAAAAGATGGAGGAGAAATCTTGGGGAAACGATAACCGACATTTTCCCAACCCAACGTTTCTAGTCAACTTTTCCATGGCGGAGATATTTTAAATTAATTAGCAAAACTTAAATATTTGTTGTAGTTCAAACGCGAACTTCGCATTGAACTTGTAAATATTCAATAGGCTCGCAGCCATTATGAATTCAACTCAACTGAACCGCACGGAGCCGGGAGTTTAGCCCCGCTGAAATGGCAAATATTTGCAGGGCGTACATAAGTTTCCTGTTGGTTATGGCTAATTAATTGATAAGCAAATGCTCGTAATCATAATTGCGCCCCGGGTCAAATGAGTGTTTATTTTGGAGAGCAGGAGCATTACTTCCCCAACTATACAGCAACAAGAGCCCAGGGCTTTCCCTGGAACTTACAACGCACTTTAATCAGTTGAAATATATATGTTAAATCCTAATCTTGATCGGTTTCCGACTGCTCTTCGGATTAGCACCTCCAGCGCCCGGTTCAGTGTCAAATTCAGCTAATAATCCCATATGTTCTCATTATCGCCCTGTGGCTCTCTGTCGACTCTCACCATTTGCTCGCTAATTTTAAGTTATTAAACAAATATTTTGTGTGTTTCGCTCGCGTGCCCACGAGAGCGTCTCGAACTCCCAGATATATGTTTTTTATTAGCATAAGATAAAAGGTATAGACGACAGAGGCTGTGGAGCTTTCCACAGAACGCTCACATCTCAGTTGTCCGCCGCCTTTGAACGCGATTAGTCGGTGCCGGGCATTAAATTAGTGCGGTTCGGTTATGAAATAATTTCAATAAAATTTCAATAAAATAAAATTGCAATTTCCATTGAATGCTAATATACGATGCCAGTGAACATTTCTAGTTTTATGAGTGCTGCGGCTAACACAAACTAATTTATTTATCGGCTGCCCGCCCAGGTAAGCCCATTCAACGTCAGGAAAAACCATAATTTCCCTACTTTGATCATTGTGTTGACTGTTGGGAATCACTATTTCTATTGCCGCTCTGGGTTTTACATCATTTTAGCCCGCACACTGAAATGTTCGTTATTGTTTAACAAGTTTGTGTTTTTAATGTTATAATTTCAGCTTCCGCGCATCCAAAGCAGATTACTTTATTATTTTAAATGAAATTATAATTAAAACTATTTTGTTTTGAATTCGTACTGTGAGGAGAGCCAACAATTTGCCTTTGTCGGTGATTATTTTGATTGCCGGTGTTTTGCATTGCTTTTTTCTGTTATCTCTATCAAATAGTTGTAAGCATCAGTTGAAGTTTTATTTTCTTTTTTTTGTTGTCTAAGAAAATCAGAAAATGTTCATGCTACCCAGTAATATTATCTGATGAAAAAAATAATTTCTAAAATTTTCTTTCAATTTTAATGTTTTTAATAAAATAAGTCAAATGTTTGATACTGTTTTAAATCAATACTTATATAAATCAATTAAAAATAAATATATATTTTTTATACATTCCTTCTACCTACGGAATTTCTATAAGAGGGGTTTAAAATCAAATTAAGTAAAGCTTTTATTTGCGGCTGTAATAATCCGAGCTCTATTAGCCATGATTTCGCATTCACCGTATATACAAGTGTGCTCCTTGCATTATGACACCCAATTAGCGTCGGCAATCAATTTAGCCGTGTGTGCCAAAGAGTCGCATGACGCGCTGAATCACAATCGACACGTGATCGATGGACCAATACGCAAACAGCGAAATTGTCACCCCGAACAACTGGAACTGGAACTGTAGAGTTCACACCGTCGAGAATTGGCGCTAAATATTTGCGCACAATTAACACGTAGCCATTCGAGTGGTGACAAATAATGACAAGCAGATTGTCTTGTAAAATCAAATACAAACAGGGATAAAAAGGGCAAAGAAGCTGGAATCGAATCAAAAATCAAGTGCTGATTGCAGGGCCTACGGAAAACGGAATAGACTGTGCAGCATAGCAATTGAGATGAGAAGTGGATTGTGAGTTCTGCACTCAAAAAAAAATTTTAGAAAATCGCCTATGGATTTGCTTTACTGGCGATTTTTTTCTATATTTCTGGAACATTTCTTGAATTTAATAAATTTTTATCAATTTGAAGAAAATTTTCTTTACCAGTAGAAAATTTTTTTATTTTAAAGAAAAAAATCGCCAGTGAAGCAAATCCATAGGCGATTTTCTAAAATTCCGGGCGATTCATTTTCTGAGTGTGGTTATTAGAACGGCGCTTCATATGCAAATATCGTGTCTCCACTCCAATTAGCCGGCGTGGAGGCGTCAATTGCTCGGAATGGTTCGCATTCGAATTCGCATTCGGATTCCCAGCGAACCGACATTAAGTGCGCTAATTATAAATGGAAATATTTATGTATTTCCTAGCACCTAGCATCGCCTTTTCCGTTGCCTTTGCCTTTCTCAACCTGTGAAGTTGTCGCGGCAACAATGAAGCCAATTATGGAGGCGACTCTTGGAGACCCGGTTGTCTTTCTGTCTGGCTGTCTGTCTCCCTAGGCCCGTCCTTGTACTCGTTCTGGCCCAGGTGAAGACAGCTTCCTGCCGGCAGCGGTGTCCTCGTCCTCGTCTCGACACTTTCCTCCTGTTCCTGTGCCTCCTCGGCGCAATCAACGGTTGTCAATCTTTGTTGCAATCTTCATTTCGCCATCGCCTTGAGTGGTAGGAGCTTGTGTGTGTCTGCTGCACTTTGCAATTTAAACGATCCAACTGCTGTTGGGCTTTAGTTATGCATGAGGAGCAGGAATGAATGCCAAATGGGCTAAATGCAGCTGCTTGGCGCTTATAAGCCAGTCGATGGTCCTGCTCTATTTGCTTTCGCCGTTAGGTACACAGCAATAAATGTTAAAAATATTTTTTATGTTAAGTATTTTAGAAAAAGTATTTCGAAATAGGAAGCAATTATCTAATAAAATGTAGCTAAAATAATAAATTTAACTTCCGGGATATTGTTGCATACTTTTAGACACCTTTAAAATCTTTTACTAGAGAATCTTATAAAAATGTTTTAAAATTATGGCAGATTTTAAAAGCACTCCATTTAACCCATAAGAACTCCCTGATTCCTCCCAGTGAGCCTGTCGCTGACATATCTATTAAGACATTTAAATCTGTTTGCCACTTACAGCCAAGCGCAGCAGACAGCAGCAAAATCAGTGGCAGCTGCAACACCAAGAGCAGCACAATAACAACACGGCATTGGCGCCAGGTGACAATATGACACAAGGAGCAGCGCCGCAGGACTCGCAGGGCGACATCCTGCCGACCCGCCCGCTGCATACCAAATTAGACATACAGAAAATCCCAGAGGATGCGGGAGGCGGAGACGCCGCACAAAACGCTGCAACAATAATTTTAACGCCGACATCATTAAATTTAACAAATACAACACAAAATGTTGCCGGCAACAATGCGGGTAACTCTGGCTCCAGTTACCCAACTCAAACCCAAACTCCGTGCGGAGGCCGCGGCGACGAGTACAAAGGGCCCAAATGGTAAGTGAAAAGCTCATGTGGCCAGCACTCCGGGTTTTCCCGGGCTTGCCATTGTGCGGATTTGTGCTTAACCCTTTGAATGCACTTCCGGCGGGACAGCAGCGCCGCCATTCACACTTGCATTGCACGCGTTTTTCGCATATCCGTTGGCTGCCTTTCTCCTTTCTTTTTTCCTCACTTCGTTTTGTATTTTGTATCCAGTAACCAGTAACCAGTAACCAGTATTTCGTATTTTGTATTTCTTTTGTGCGCCAACAATGTGGACGTGGAAGTTGCCGCTGCACTAGGCAGCAGCGCGTGCTTCCGCTGTGTTTTGGGGAAGGGAACGGGAATGGGAATGGGAATAAGAATGGGACTGGGGTCCTGTTACCAGGCATATCTCATTCTCATATCCCCCGACGTCTAGTCGCTGGCGAGCCCGATTTCTTGTTCCCTTTTTGGCTGCGACACTTAGTTTAATAGCTGGCGAAATGCCTTGTTGGCTGCTGGCGTTTATTCACCATGTTCACAACAACGGCGCGGCGTATGAGTTACAGTGTTACGTATCCGACCCGTGGGTGTGTGAGCTCCATTGTGGCTGCCTCCTCCTGTCTCGCTTTACTTGGATATCTTTAGCAGCAGGGCGAAGAAACTGTAGGCATTGTTGATGGTCTGCCAAAAGTTATGGGTTTAAATGGTGGAATAAAGGGATTATAATATTTGTCTTACCCTCACAAAGATGGGCAAGCCTATTTCGAAAAACACCCCAGCTCGCACTTTCACCGGCCGCTTGAGGAACTCCATGTAGCAGTTGAGCAGCTTGCGAGTGCCCACCGAGTACTCCAGCCAGTTGGTGGCAAAGACACTATCCGTAAGGGCATTGGCATGAAAGGTCAGCTCATTGCCGTAGTAGCAGGGCAGGAAAATCTGGACGATCATGACGGCCACGAACTGCACGGTGGTGAGAAAGAGGCCGGGTCGCTGCTTGAAGCCCATGTGCACCAGTCGATAGGCACTGAAGCAGATTATGAAGGCGCTAAAGACCACTTGGGATAGCACATAGGGGGAAACTAGCACTTCACACTGCCTCGTCAGTCGACGGACTTTGGCATGGAGCTGGAAAATGTGTCGCAACTCCGGCTTGGCCTGCTCCTCGGGTGCAGCTTTCAGTGCCTGCAGTCGCATTCCCATCAGCCTAAAGAGCGAGGCGATCTGGAACATGAAGTAGCAGCCCAGAGTGTCCAGGAGAATATTGGATAGGCAGCACAGGGTCATGGCCAGCACATTGTACCCCCAGGCGTAGAAATATCGCTCCTTGGTGCGCCATTCAAAGGGCACGTAGTAGCCGAAGGGCAGCTCGTAGTCCTCCTGGAAAAATACGCTTACATAACCCATTAAGGCCACGAAGAGGCTGCCACCGATGTACCAGTAAAAGATGCGCTTAAAGTCCCTCTGATTTCGCTGCCAAAACTCAATTTCTTCGGCATTTCGTAAATTATATGAAGGATCGTGTTGCAATTCGTCGATGAGGCTAGCTGCTTCCTTTCGGCGATACCAAATATTCAGGAGCTTGGTGACCAGGGCCAGTTCGGTTATGGACATGTACAGAACCTGACCCGCTTCCTCGAAATCCGATGAGGTAATGGCCTCATACCACATGAGTGCTATATAGGTAAAAGTCAGCGGCAGGTGCAGCACAAAGGGATAAATGCACTTTAGACTGGTTAAAAGACCATCTTCTTCCTGGTTTTCCCATTTTAAAAGTCCTATCCACCGCTGGACCACCAACAGAGTTTGGATGGCACTCAGGCGATTCGTAGACTCCATTGGCAGCAGCTTAATTTTAATTTACTTAATGAAGAACCCATAGACTTTTACGGCTTTTATAACCCTTGAGGTCTAAAAAAGCCTTAATAGGTCACCTTGGGAGTTTTTTTTTTTTGAGGATGAACTAGGGAGGAATTATTCAAGGAACTGACTTTTTACATCCTAGTTCCTGGAAAGTTCGTTAAAATATTTCTTGCATCCTTCAAACAAAATATATCAGTAGGCCCTTATATGGAGTGTTAAGGAACCGGTTCATTTGATGAGTTTAGTTCCCAAGTTGCTCCGTCCCTGATTTGTTTAGGTAAGAAGCCAAAATATTTACTCAATTAATGAGCAGGGCAATTACAATAATTAGCTTGCTGACATTAGTATATTTTAATTGTTGACCCTCACTAAATGGGTAAGTCACGCAATTGATAGCCGGGATGACAGGGGAAATAACCCCATCATTGTAGAATTCATTCCTAAGCCATACAATTGGAAAATCAGTGCACCCAAACCTGTGCAGCAGAAAGGTGGTTTGATCTTCGGGGTCCTAATATGTTTCCGACTTTATAAGGGGCATTTATAATGTATAAGTTTCATTATGAAAAGTCAGTCTACATGCAATGCTCTTAAAAAAGTCCATAAAATAAAGTTAAAATAAAGAATGTCATACTTCGTTGAGCTTGACATCAGAGTTCCAATCGATTGCCATTCAAACCTGTAACTTTTTTGTTTGGCCATTTAAAAAAAATTAAAAATTGGTCAGAAAATACAATTTCCGGAAATTGTAAGTTGTTCAAAACAGATATTCTTTAAGCTGAGGCCTTGATTTTATAAATCTGGTTTATGTTTATCTAGTTGTTGTGATTCAATGAAACAATTCTTTAATTTATTTTATTCCCTTGTCATTTATTAAACATTAAATAGTGGTTGAAAATGCGACAATTTATTTCGATACATTGAGTAAGAGGGCGAAGAAACTGTAGGCATTGTTGATGGTCTGCAAGATTCAAAGAAAACATTATAGTTTAAAAGAAGAAAACCACAGATTGAACAGTATAGACCTTAACAAAAATGGGCAATCCGACGGCAAAGAAGTTTCCAGCTCGAATGGTTACGGGCTTCTTAAGGTGCTCCATATAGGCATTTAGTAACTTGCGAATCGGTGGCCGACATTGCAGCCAGTCGGTGTGGTAAACCTCGTTGGTCAGCTGGTTGGCATAGACGGTTATCTCGTTGCCATAGTAACAGGGCAGGAAGATCTGAAGGATCATGACGCTGACGAACTGCAGCATGGCTATAAACTGGCCGGGATTATCTCGAATTCCCACATGCTGCAGGCGGTATCCACTGAAGCAGATGATCAGGGCACTCAGAATGATCTGGGATAGGATGTAGGGGGAGACAATGGTCTGGCAGGCTAGGGTTAATCTGTAATAATAAGAATATCAAAAGAGAAAAGGTATTTCATGCTTAACTAGACCTTCGCACACTCTGATGCAATATGAAGATACCCCGTAGTTCGTGGCCAAAATGGGCCTCGTCCTGCATATTTTTCAGACTCCTCAATCGTAGGCCTAGAAGGCGGTAAAGCAAGGAGATGTGGAACAGGAAGTAGCAGCCCAGGGTGTCCAGTGTGATGTTCGAAATGCAGGTCAGCGTCATCCCAGCCATATCGTAGCCATAGGCGAACCAGTACCTCTTCTCGTTTCGCCACTCGAAGGGCACGTAGTAGGCGAAGGGCAGTTCGTAGTCCTCCAGGAAGAGCACTCCGGTACAACCGCTGTAAACCACGCCCAAGCTAATCAGGATGTAGATGTAGAAGAACCACTTGAAGTATTTCTGCTTCCGGCGCCAGAAATCCAACTCCGCCCGATTGCGAAGTTCGTACGCCGGAGAATGCGTTAGCTCATCCATCAGCTGCCAGGCTTCAGTTCGATGGCGCCAGATGCTCAGGATCTTTACCACCAATGCCATTTCGGTGATGGACATGTAGAGCACCTGGCCGGCCTCCTCCAAATCGCTCGAGATGAAGGCCTCCAGCCACATGAGTCCGATGAAGGTGAAGGTTATGGGCAGGTGCAGCAGAAAGCGATAGTTGTGCTTGAGGAAACCGGAGAAAGTCCACTCCTCTCCAGCTTTTAAAGACCAGGGCCAGAGGCCAAATAGTTGCATGACCCGGAGAATCAGGCGCATGGATTCAATGCGTTCCTCTTGGGCTTCCATTTTACTCCTGGTTTTCATTTCCCTCAAGCCGACTTCTTTTATAGCCTTAAGTGGGCTCGGTAATTAGCAGCAATTACGTGTACATAATTTAAGGAGAGACACACGAAACTCAGGAGTTCCTTATAATATTCATAGCCTTTATGACAGTTGGCTTAACTCTTTTCAGGTGGCTACATATCCGGTCGCACTGGATGAACATTTCCGAGCTGGTGGCCCTGCTGGCCATCTTCCTGGGTCTCTGGGCCATGGGCTGGGTCCTGCTGCCGGATTTCGCGCAGCCCCAAACGGTCATCATGCGCATTGCATTCCTCTTCGTGGGCGCCCAGATCTCTGGCATCCTGGTGACCTTCGTCCACCTGCCCGACATGCTGGGCATGCTCTTCTTCGGCGTGCTCTATGCCAATCTGGGCCTGGCCAATTTCGAGGGCTATCAGAAGTTCGAGCTGTTCTTGAGGTGAGCGATGAGTTTAAGTGAATGCGAAGGAATACTGTACAATGCGGTTTTCCAGGGAAATGGCCCTGATCAACATCATGTTGCTGGCCGGCCTCGGCTTGGATGGCGATGCCTTCAAGCGGCTGTGGTTCATGATTCTCCGCCTGACCCTGCTGCCCACCATTGTGGAGGTGGCGGCCATCGCCGGACTGGCCTACCTCACACTCTCGATGCCCTGGCTGTGGGGCATCGCTTTGGGGTGAGTGGGGAGCTAATGGAATACTCGGGTTAACGGATGTACTTAATGGGCTATTGGTGCCTCGGGGGGGTCATCTTACAGTCTGGTCATCACCGCCGTCTCCCCCAATGTGGTCGTCACCGTGATGCTGAAGCTCAAGGAGGATCGCCTCGGCCTGAACAGCGGCATCCACACGCTCATCTACGCCATGACCACATGCAACGATGTGGTGGCCATCTTCATGTTCGGCGTGATAATCAGCGTAATATTCTCAACGAGTGCGTGCCACCCGCCGAGCATTGGAATCAGAGTCAGACTAAGAGTTAAATAAACCCCAACTCCGCTTACTTGCAGCCTCGCTCACGCAGCAAGTGCTGCAGGGTCCCATTGGCATCGGGATTGGACTCGTTTTCGGCTATCTCTACGGCTCGATGCTCCAGTACTTGCCGTCGCGCAACGCGGTAAGCTGCCAGACAAAGGCGTCCTTTCGTCCTTCGTCCCATGTCCCTAGTCCCTCCGCCTTTTCGTCCTGCTGCTCGTTCTCGAGCGGGCTGCACTTAAAATGCACATTCAGTGAACACTTAGACACTCAATCAGCGCATTTAATGATGCAAAACGCGCGCCAGTCTCTCGGGGGCGGGAGCTGCGCCATATGTACGTGGGGCTTGAGAAGACTGCACTGGGGGAAAAAGGATGTGGAAGGCAGGCAGAAAAATATAATAAACAAAATTAACCCAAAATTTGATTTGCTGAAATCGAAACAATAAGTGTCAATATCAATATAGTAATTTGACTATTAGGAAAACATATTTAAAATTCTTTAAATGACAATTAGAAATATGTGACTTAATAACCAAACATATTTTGAATGCTAAAAGTGGTTTTGAACTCTTATATTATTTATTTACCATTTAATTTGGAATTAGATTGCCAGAGATTTTTTTAGCAATTGGGACATTTTTTTTTTAAAGAAAGAAATATCTTGAAGGCTTGCAAACAATCTTGAAGGCTTGCAAACAATCGCAGACTTTTAAGACATTTTTTCGCTCAGTGCCAGCTTCCGCTCAGCCCCCCTGCACCATTGTTTGTGTGGGTGCATTTTGCATAAAAAGACACTTACATGCATAGCGGCAGCGACAACGACAACGGCAACTGCAACGGCAACGACAACGACGGAGCTGGCGACATTTGCGACGACAGTTACTGCCAGCATCTATGTGAAGTTATGCCGGGGACATCGAGGCAGCCGCAGCCAGAGCCACAAAACTCATTGCCGCAACTTACACCGCTAATGGCGCGCATAATCAAACGCCATGGGTGGTGGTGCACACTCAATGCTCTGCACCGCCCAACCACCCAACCACCCAACCCATCCAGCCTCCATATACACACACTCCCGTCGAGTTCTCATAACTTTTGTTTTCTGCAAGTCGCGCTCGCCTTTGCCATCGTCAAGTGGCATCCACATCCGCATCCACGCAGGGCTGCAGTTTGTACAAAAATTTCACGCTGAGCGCCGTTGAAGTTGCATCCTTGCATATTTTACACACCCACCAACAGCCCATCGACCACACACATACTATATACATATACAGCCATGGGCTATTCACTGTCATCTCCCAAAGGGGTTTAAATGGGGCGGAGGGGGCCAAAAAGGGGGGCTGTCATCAGGCCTCGGTTTCGGTCTCAGCATCTTTTCGCATGTCATTGCCACCGCCTTTATTTTATTATTATTACGCAGTCCCCTGTAATTTTGCATTCAACGTCACCTTTTGCCACTTATTTTCCGCGAGCCAGTTGACAGTATTTTTCAATAAAATATTCGCGCAAAAGTTTGTAATTCAACGAGATGGCGCAAGCTCAAGTTTGAAAATTAAATGTGCCGGTGCGAAAGAAAACTTGAGTTTTTCTCATAACAAAGGGTAGTAGCCTAACGATGTGCCATCGAAGGCAATTTCATGCCATTCTGCCTAGAACGACCGGTTTAAAGTTCAATAAAAATATCTCGACAAAGGCGAGGGTGAAAATTGAATTGCAGCAATTTGCGGTGTTTCCACGGGCTGGTAAGAAAATCACCAGGAAAATTAAAAGATTCCAATCAGTCTCAACACCAGCCGGGAAAACTGACAGGTTGACACTGCAGATATAACGAAATATCCAAAAATTCCATGCTGAGAAAACATTGTTGCAGGCCAGATTTATCAGATCTAAACCGTTGTAGAAGTCATTTTAGTACAATTTTTGAGCTGGGGAAAAAACGTGGTATATGCAAACAAAAACAAAGGGGGGAGGACAGTAGCTTTTTCCCAGTTTTCCTCGGCTGCAGCACACGTTGCGTATACGCAGCTGACCGCACATACACAAACAAGGGGTAAAAAAGCAGTTTCCATCAGACTTTTGTAAAGTGATTTCGTCTTTTTTTCGTAGCAACGCCTAACTCACCTGTTTTGCCATTCACTCTCCTCATATCTGTATCTGTCTTTTTCCCCGTCCCTTGCAGACGTACGCAAATGGGCTCCGTTTCGTCCTCACCGTCTTGGGCGGAACCATCGCCGTGATGGGCAGCCGCGTCATCGGTTATACGTCGGCAGGAGCTCTGGGTTGTGTAACGACCGCCTTTATTGCGAGGATTGGCTGGCGGCGGGAGGAGGCCAGACTGACGCCCCAGCAGCTGCAGGCCCAGCAGATTGTGAGTATTGAACACTGGTAAAAAATAATGAGTCCCCAACGACGTATTCCATTTTTTACTAAATCGCAATTTAGAAAATATTTTTGATTTTTAAAGTTTAAGTCTTACAAGAAATTTAGTCGTAAAATGAATATTTTTTCCATAAAAAAGCCAAAAATTGTCCAAAAGGGGATTGTCATTTCTCGTTGAGTTCGTAATTAGATTCCCAATCGATGGGCGGTCAAATCTAAAAACTTTATTTTTTGACAATTTTTTTTTCAAAAAAACCTGATGAAAAATACAAAAATGTGGCAAAAATAGTATTTTTTTAAATCTTCTAGAAAAAATTGTAGATCGTTAGCTTATGTAATTACCTGGGCAAAACAGTCGTCATTTTAGCTGGGGTACCTATTTGAACAAAGTTGCGTAGAAAATACCCAGAAAAAGACTCATTTTTTTGCTATAAAAACCTAATTTTAATTTTTCACAAAAAAAAATCAATATTTTGTGTCAAAACAACAATTATTCAATGGATTTATATTCAAACATAGAAACTTCATATTTCTTATACTTGCTGCATACCTACTTTTATATTTTAAAATCGAATTTAAATCATGTAAGATTAGATTTAACCCCAAAGATCGCTCCATAATTTCTTCATGTGCCCAGGATCAGCAATTGGTCCAGTTGGTTTGCTCTCTGAGCTCCAGACTTTGGCTTTGCCTCAACCTTTGGGTCTCTGAGTGCTTTTGGGGTATTGGACCCGCTCTTTTTCTGTTTTGTTTGGTTTTGGGTCAAGAAAAATGTTCCCTGGCAAAAGTGCCATTTTTTATGCCTGTTCCGCTGCAGCGGTAAAAAGCGCCTGTGTGTGCGGGATTTTTGCTAGGTAATTTGTGACATCACGTCCTTGTCCCATGTCAGAGTTGACTGCCGGCTCTCGATTTGTTTTGAGCAAGTGTTGTTGTTTTTTTTCCCCATTTCCCCATTTACCTTTGCCTTAAACTTTTAACCCAGATCCAAGGCGAGGCGGTGTTTTTGCACTCGGACTGCACTTGAGTTCCAAGGCAACGCTCCGTAAGCCGATTGGCTGGGTTCCTCCCCCTTTATTTAAATGGGGGAAATATAATGAACCAGTTGCCCCGATCTAATAACAACTTATTGATTTACCCCCCTCTCCTTTTGCAGGCCAGTGTGCCCAAGCGTCTGGACCTCATGTGGAAGTTCCTCAAGCCCGTCTCGTTTGCGCTCATCGGCAAGGAAATTAATTTCAACGTGCTGCAGGGCCATGTAATCGGTTATGGCGCATTGTTGGTGCTCGTCGGAAGTTTGGTAATTAAAATGGTCGCCGGAGGCGTGGCCGGTGGTGCAACAAATGTTCGCCCCGGTCACTTATTTAATTTCTTTCGCTTCTCAGCCAGTTTGTGCGGGGAATACCAGGGTCCCTGTTCCTGGTCCCCACGGTTTTGGGTCTGTTGAAAAAAAGGAAGAAAAACCAAGTGGAGATTCCGGCCGTGGGTAGGGATTGGGATTGGGGGTGAACCGAAATGAAAATGTTCCGGCACCGCAATGCAAATGTTACCTGCACACAAACAACACTGGGAAAACCGAGGGAAAAAACCATCTAGAGATGACCACTTTCTTGTTCTTGTTTTCAGTTTCGCCTGGCTTTTGCATATTTATCCACATATGGCGGAAATCTGTCGAGAAAGGAACGTGCCTACATTACAATTTCCGGTTTTCCCAAAGCAACTGTCCAAGTAAGTTTCCCGTTCCGCGTGTCATGTTGCTGCGGTTCCCATTGCCATTCCCCTTTCACCATTTCCCATTCCCCCTTCATTTTCCATTTCCCATCCGTTGTCTCCTCGCCTGGTGGCGCTTTTTATTTCATTGCCGGCCATTTCACTCGCTTGCCACCAGCAGACTGTCCTCCTCGTCCACCAGGTTGTCCTGGCCCGGCCTGTCCTGTCCTGGCTTGTCCTGGCCTGTCCTGGTGTTTTCCCCATGCTTAAGTTATACACGTATTTGCAGGTCATGTTCTCTTTCGGCCAGGTCCTGCTCCTTCTGTTCCTGCGGCTGCAGTTGGCATGCCAGCCTTTTGTTTGCAGTTTAACCGCAAGCGGACATTTTGTTTATGTCGCCTGTGCGAGCGAACTGTGCGTCTGTGGTTGCCAGAAATTTAAATGTTCCGCTGGCTTACTTACTTCCCCAAAAACCCGAAAAAACCAAAAAAAAAAAAAAGGGAAGAAAAAGAGTTGGTCACATGTGCGCCTGTCTAACTTTTCCCTAATATGCGGTGCATATTTCACTGTCCACCTTTTTCGTACTGATTTAATTAAAACTGCACAGCAAACCGCATTTAATCTGACTCCGCTGCATATCACATATCACTCATACGCAGCGGTGGCCTAATGTCTCTCTCTTCATCCCGTTTCTCCCTCTAGGCCGCCCTGGGTCCAGTGGCTTTGGACATGGCACGTGCTGCCAGCGTGGCCAGTGCCGAGCAGCTGGCCCTGGCCAGCAATGTGCTCATCATCTCGGTGCTGGCGATTATATTCACCGCTCCACTGGGCGCCATCCTCATGCTGCGACTGGCGCCCCACTGGCTGAAGCACGGCGATGCAGTGGAGGCGTTGGACACCCCGACCACCCCGGCACCAACGAACACCCATTCCTTCAAGAGGACATAGCCGAAGGACCCCGAAAACCGAAAGTTTTAATCCACGCCGTACTTACCTAGCCCTCCTAGCCGTACTTATACTTACGTGTACTTAGTCGCATTCGGTAATACGCTGTTCAAATAAAAATAAATGCGAAAAGTTACCAACATATTTTCCTCAAATGTTGCCCTTTTCATTTCAATTCATTCCCAATCCAAAGCACCTTTTTTTTATGGCCATGGGACCCAGTTATTTGCTTACTTGCATGGCCTGGTCCTTAAATTTCGGCGAATTAACAAAGTTTGGACTTAATCCTGCAGGACTAAGTCCCCAAATGGGCCGCCTGGCCAACTGGGATTTTATTGTTTTTCTGTCCCCTCGGCGAAGAAAAGCTTTTCGGCACCTAATTATGACTGGATCTGTGTTAATCTCGGGCTTGAGCCCGCGCTAATTGATTTTATAATTAATTTTGGGGGATTTCGTGTCAATCTGGCGCGAGTTTTTGTGTCATGTCGAATCAATCCGTATTAATGATTGACAATTGAACAAGCTGTTATTGCTATGGCGGGTAAAGGCCCTTTGAAGAGGCCTTCATCCTTCGCTCGTCGAGTTGGTCAAGTAAATAAATGAACCCGAAATGATTTTGTTATTTTCAAAGAACAGTTGTCGACCTCCTTCCCGTCTTCTCTTCGACGTATTTTTACGCCTGCTGCTTTTGTGGCAGCACCATTTTGCTCCAAGCTTCGGAAAAAGCAAGAGCGATGGCAAAAAGCACAGAATAATGGCAAAGAGGGAAGAATGCCATTTAATTGAAAAGTGATTGTGGGGCCAACCAGGATCGAGTTGTCCCCCGTCGACCGGCGATGCAGAATTTGCAATGCAAACGGCTTAGAATGAACTTGATGTTCTGGCCGCCTTTGATGCATTCGGTTTTTGTTGCCTGACAACCGATGGTACCGGGAAAAAAGAGGACATTTTTTCCTAAATTGAGACCAATTTGGTTCTAGAACACTCGAAAAAGTGGGGATATTTTATGGAATATAGTTAAGATGCATTATTTACCTTTATAAGTAAAATTAAGATGCCAATAAAAAACCTTAAAAACATGGAAAAACTCGTTCAATTCAATAAAGTTTTTTAAGATTTTGGAGGATGAAATTTCATGCAATTCAGATATTTTCCCCAGTGTAATAGCTGAGCTTCGACTGTGGTCGGATGAGTGAATGCTGAAAGGAATGAAATTAAAAGACGGCAAAAACGCAGCAAGCGATAGAACTGAGAGAAAAACTTATCATTTTTATTATCCTGCAGCTGCGCATATTTATAACCGCATGTCCCCGTCTCTTTCGCATTCGCATTTACCTTTCCAGCGCCCGTCCCTTTCTCGCATCATCATCGGTGGCCTTTGTGTGGCTCGAAAAAGAGTTGGGAATTGAAGGTAAATTAGTGTTATTAAAATGGCTGCACAAAAATAATTGCGCAACTAAATGAAAATTTTAATGAAAATTCCTTGGTTTCTTCTTTATTTTGTACCTGTGCTTTTCCGCTATTTTGCTTTTTTACAGCGATTGCGATTGCCGTTGCCCCTTGTGCTTTCTGTTATTAGTTGCATTGTTTCCGCAGTTGATGTCCGTGCAATTAGCATAATGAAAGCATCTGGAGGGAAAAACCAGGGAGCCAGGGAGCGAGAGAGAAAGAGCATTTGTTGGTCGGCCAAGGGCCATAATGAAGTGCGTAAGAGCCGGAAAAGCCAGATTCGAGCACCGCAATTACGCCACAATTGAGTTATGTTCGCATCACATCAATTATGCTGCCACCGGCATAATCCTTCAAAACTCATTGCTCTTATCGCGGCCATTGAAATGCCACCGGCCATAGATCAACCTTATCAGCGCAGCCAAAGCATTTTCCTGCGCCAAATAAATTCCAGCAGTTTATTATTCTAATTCGCATGCCGAATTCCGGCAGAAAAAGAACGCCAGGCACGTCACCGCCTCGCGCACAACCAAGCCAGCCAAGCCACCCAACCTGCCTCCAAAAAGCCACCTGAAGCCACCCACTCGAGCACCCAACCACCCAGAAAACCACCCACAGACATCCCAACCGATACGGCGAAAAAGGAGTTGTGCGAGTGCCAAACGAAATCAAATCAAAAAGTTCACAAAAATGCCAGACCAACAGAAATTAAGTTATAAAATTTTAAGGACTATGCGCAGTTTAATTTCCAAATGCCATGCCACCACCCATCTCCTCTACCGCCCGCCTCCTCCAAAGACACAGGTGGGCGGGGCACTTTTGGGGGCAGGAGCGTATTGTGGTTTTTGTTATGCGCCGATTACCATAAAAACAAGCCAAAGAAAGTTGCGTCCTCCTGTTGGTCCGACGTGGTCGGAAACGGAAATCAAGAAAACAAAAAGAATGGGCCCAAATGAAGTCAAACCTGGCGCTCTTGGCCCGCTCCTTCAGTTAATAAAGTTAGTTGCGTTTGCCTTGACGGCGAAACTTTTGAGTTATAAGCGCGCAAGTTATGGCTTACAACAAAGCAAAGGCAGCGGCAAAAAACAAGCCACAATGCCGAACAAAGGAAAACAATTAACATGACGAAGACACATAAAATTTCCACTTCCCCTTCCATCCAGCCTTGCTCTTTCCCTTCGAATTCGAGTGGTTGGGTGCGTCGAATTAGCAGTTGGGAGTCAGCTCCAAACCCTCCAGAAATCCACTTCCACCTCTTTTACCAACCCCCAAAAAGCCGTTTCTTGTCTGCCTCTTGTTGTTTTGTTAATTTTAATACATGTACTTTTTATCGCTCGGCATTCCCCGGCAAGCTGCTGGCTGAATTAAGCCATTTGTTAGCTGTATCTGTGGCTTAGCTTTTTGGCAGGACCCCCGCCTCCTCCTCCGAATCCTCCGCCCAAAACCTCCTCCCTAGAAGAAAGCTATCAATGCCGCGGGGCCATGGGTCGCAGCACATCACAGTTATTTTCGTGCAAATGGCATATTTTTTATGGCTTGTCGCTGGCTTCTTGTTTCTCGTGTTGTAATTAGACAAAATTGTTGACTGCCACGACTCCGCCCAGTGGCCCGCCCACCGAAAGGTAAACCCACTCGCGGTTGTTCATTCAGTCCTTAATTCCGCCACTCATGTCTGGGCTCCGAGTCGCTGTTGTCCTGCCGCTGGAGGTGTGTTTGACACTTGGCGTGTCGGAACAGAGAAAATATTATTCCCGAACAGCGACCATTCACTGGGGAGTGCACTTGGAAAAATAATCACTCAGAATGTATACCCTTTCTACAAAATTTTTCTAATTCCCTGACATTATGGATAGTTTTCCAATTTTATCTTAGCTAAGAGAAATGTTTAGAAGCTTCGTTTCTGTTAAAAAAACAATAAATATTTTCTCAGCTGTGATGTTTAAAAATTAAATCATGTAAATAAGAAAACATAAACTAACAAAGATTTAAGATAATATAATATTTAATAGAAATTAATAGAATTAAAAGAAAAACGGTATACCTTTTTAAAGTCTTTAAGGTTCTACAGGATAACCTTTGATGATCTTAAAAAACCAATACAAATATGTTTTAATTATCTATGCATTTCTAAATTGTTTTCCCATCATTTCTGAAGATTCCTTCATAATTCCCTCAATCAAAACGTAATTATTGGAAATACCAAAGTGCTTTCAAACGTTTAATTCACTGATAACGAAATCCGCTATTCGTCATAGAACGATGTCATTTGTTGTGACTGCTAGACTTGTGGTGTTTACTAACCGAACACTTATCAACTTTTTCTCTGTGCTCGAACCGGGGGATGATCTTGGGGCAAACAGCAGTTCACTGGGTTGGTTTTATTGTGATTATTCAGACTATGCATGTTTATAAAAAAATTCCACAGGTATAATTAGGCAGGGGCGCGTGTCAGGAGAGGAGCCGGACTACCAGATTTCCCGACAGCGACCACGATGGTCGGGCAGATAGCCCGGCTGGCAGGGGAAGTCGATCATGGCCACCATCATGGTGCTGACCGCCGGTTTTCCGGCGACCGGAGGCTCCGTGGGTGCCTGGTAGGCGGCCAGCACCTGCTGCTCGTCCAGATCGACGCACTGGTTGGGCTTGGCCGTCGTGGTCTGGTTGTTGGGACAGGTGACGCGGTGCAGGCAGTACTTCAAGCAGGGCCGGGGCGCCGGCACCTGGGTCAGCTTCTTCTTGCACTTGAACTGCCCTTCACAGCCCTCCTCGATGGCGGGCACATTGTTGTTGAGGAAGAACGGACGACGCGGCTCCTCAGTGGTTGTGGTTGTAGTTGTAGAGGTGGAAGTGGAGGTGGTGGACTCTCGGTGGAAAATCTTGCCCAGAATTCCGCCCTGAACAGCGGCTACCAGCAGAGCGGCCAGTAGAGCCACCAGAAACTGCTTCATCGCCGACTTGTTTGCACTGCGACTGTAGTCGTTCGACTACAAAACACTGCCCGGTTTTCAAGAGCAGAGCGGCAATCTGCCACTCGATAACCTCTGACCCCAGAGCCGCGGCAGGGAGATAAACAGACAGACTACCCGCATCCACACACATACGAATTCCCCATACAGTTTTTCTTTCATTTTTGGTCGGCTTTAAATTGGTTTATCGCCAAATTGAATTGCATTTGAGGTGAGCGGTGGGCTGAGCGGCGAGCGCCATACGCACATTTTGGCAAATTTGACACAGGAATTGAATTATCTGCATTCTGTGAACCGCAAAATTGTATAAATAAATATTAGTCAATTCGGTATTTCATACATGCGTACGCATAATTTGGAGCTGCCATGGCGAAGCCGAGGGCACCGACCAAACTGCCAGTTTAGTATAATGGAAAATAGCCGGGGCAGCAGGAAGCACGCTCACAAATCGACACGAATGTTCAATGATAATGTCGATGAGCGGCGATTTGTCAATTGCGTTATAAGTGGATTTAATTGATAAGAACTTGTTTGAAAGAGAGCCGCCGTATTTTCTCTTTTTGACAGGGTCGATAGCAATTTAGGAATAATCTATAACAAATATCTATCATTTTAAACGACACAGATATTATTTTTCTCTAATTAGAAAATGATTGTTTATGGATGGATTTGATTGAAATTTGTACGAAGTATAGTTCATATTAGTATCTAAGTAGATGCTTAAATGTAAGTTTTGTATTAATTTTTTAAAATGCCTTTTTGATGTTATAGTCCTTTGACGTATGCCAAATAGCATAATAAATTTATGGCTTAAAGAGCTCGGAATCCTGGAAAGTTCAACCAATGCCTCGGCATCACTGGGTGTCATAGGAACGTCATGGCCAACGTGCAACACCTCGAGAGCATCAGATATCGCCCAATATTGGAAACAAAGCATCCGCACATGCCCTTCAATGGGCCACAAAAGCCGGCTGAGCCCATGGCATGCTGGTGACTTTGCAGATGGGCCCTAATGAAGCAGCTGGTTGGCGATGTGGGGGGATCTCCTTTGAAATCCAGCAGCTGGCTTCAAACTATTTGAATAATTGATATTAATCGCTGCCAAGAGCTGTCAAAATTAATTTGTGATGTGTTTTCAAAGCCAGATTATTGATGATGATGATTATGGCCGGGCCCTAATGAAGGCAGCGGCTAATGGAAGTGCTCGGTCTGCCAATTGAGCCATTCTGAGTAGTTGAGTTGCTAGTTGTCTAGTTTTGGTCCAATTGTCCTCCCACAGCGGCATTAATTACACTTCGAGTCGGGAAATTGATTCGCCTTGGACGTGGACGTGGCGAACTTCGACCGCCCCATTGACTGAATGGGAAATCGCTTAATATGTATTAACATTTATTGCCGGCCAAACTTTCGCAGCAAAAGAAAGAGAGAGAGAAAATAAAAGGGAGTGCTAAGACAACAGCAGGCCGGAAATTGCCGAATGCTGATACTTCCGCCGGAAATAAGTTCAATTCTAGTTGTTCACGCTGTTCGAGAGGAGGCTGCCTGCCTGCCTCCGGAGTAAATTAAGTTAGGGTCGGTTGAGGTCTCTCTATCAGTCGATCGAACATGAAGGACATCGCCCGCCCGGCGCCTTCAACTCGACTATCAATGGAAACACATTTCACATTCGTCGTAAAGGCGGCTTAATTGCCGCCCATTCTCGCCGGCTCACAGCACTTTGCACAATAAACAGATCATAATCGGGCTAAAACTATCAATTTCAAGCCAAACAGAAGGGAATATCTCAATCGGAGCAGTCGGAAAAAAGGCAAAAAGCGAGGGAGACAGAAAGCGACAAAAAACAAATGAAAATGCTTTACAACATAAAAACAAACTGGAGAAGTGGGATGCTGGGGCGACGGCAACGATGTGTTAACACTTAGGAGGACGAACGAGCAGTGGCCGGGTGACAATGAAGACAGCCGAAATCCTTCGATAGGTTCCAGGGGTCCTGGGAGGAGCTGGCTGACGACTGAGCGTCCTCATAGATTTACGCACACTTAGGCAGCGTTTACTCAGTCCTCCGACTTCAAATAGTCGTATAAATTGTTCGGCAGGCGCAACTGTTTCAGCTTCTCTCGGTCTTTGTCTTTGGCTTTCGCTTGAACTGCTGTCCGGACGGAGTTCTCCAGTTCCCCAGTTCTCCAATTCTCCGCTTCCCTAGTTCTCCAGTGGAGGGAGGCACTTCCGGGGCGTGAATGAAGTGCCATGTTCTCACGCTCACGCATTTGCCAAGTGCCTGCCGGCCCACATGTCGTATGAGTTTTATGTCCCTCTGTTTATATGACTGTCTCTGTGCGCTCAATCGTTTCTGAGACACATTTATTTGCCCTGCTCGGTCCTTGCTGCTTCTTTTTGTTAGTTTAACAAATAAAATTAGTGCTATAAACATTGCCACTCTACGTGGCATCCCAAAAGTTGGCAAAAGGAAACTAAATTTAAGTTTTCGCCTTAAAACATGTTAATAAACACGGAATTCTTCAGGAACTGCTGAGGTGTGATATCTTGTTTTTCCCTTAATGACTTTGGCAACCCCTTCTAGCTACGCCACTGATTTCATCGTCATATATTTGTTTACACAATCGCAACTCTTTGCCACTTCATGAGGTCTCCTTTTTTTGTTGTCCCTACTTCTGTGCCACCCACTTCCTTGGGGGATTTATTGCCACAACGAATCTGTTGGTAACAGGGGTTGGGGTGAAAGGGTCAGGGGTCAGAAGGAAGCCAGACAAGGACCGAGCTTGTATCCCATTTCCGGCTGATGACTCGGATGTTTGTTTTAGCGGCGGCATTCCACTGCGCTGCAGTTCCATTCTATATTTGCACTGCCGACTCGGTTCAAGCTGGAAGAAATATCTATTAGATTTATTTTATATGTACGCCATATCGTAACAAATGCATTTTGCGCACAAATAGCCAGCGGGCGGACATAAAACATAACAAAAGATGCTCAAAGGTAAACACTGTGATAAACAGACAAAACGTTGGTGGAGAGAAAGTAAAGAATAGACTAAGCGATATCCTATGATATATATGAACGCTCATTATTTTCGGAAATTAAGTGGGAATTATTTTGAAATTCGAAGACCCTAATCTACTTTTAGGAAAATGGGAATTCAGGGAAATTAGCTGTAATTTGTTTGTAATAGAACCTGTAGGAATGAGCAGTCTGAATATTTTCTCTAAATACTCAGCACTTTGTCTTTTTGACGACAATAAGTGGGCTGCTTTCAAGGTTGGTTCCTTTTCAAAGCGAAGCACACGTGTCCCTTGACACATATCTACATAGGTGCCTTTAATGGCCTATTTTTGGGTGCTAGTGGTTTTTTTGGCCCCAAGGCTAGACTTCATTTTTTGTCTATACCCATGAGAAAGAGCCCCATTGTTGGCCATTAAAATGGCAGACAAATTTATGATAGTATACCAAAATGGCCACTGGTGTATGTGATTATATAATTTCAATTTCAGCAGAACCAAGCAGGACCAGTCAGGCACATGATTATAATTCGCTGTCGGACAGCCACTAAATTGCAGAATTCTCGCCAGCAAACACAGAAACAAATTGCTGCGAACAAATTTTATTATTATCACAATTGAATTGAATTTGCGATAAACGTAGAAATAATTCGCATGTTGCACATGACCGCAGGAATCGATACGGATTTGAATGGCCAGCAAATCTCAGCCAGTAGGTCGTTTTTGGCCAGGAATCGGAATCGGAATCGAAAGCGGGATCCGTAGCATGTTCCTGTGTGTTGTAATCCCTGCCAAAGCGATTATAGTTTTTGTTTGAATTTTGAATGGGAATGCGAGTGTGCACACGGCAGAGGGAGTTTGTATGTGCAGTATTTACACTGATGCACTTTAGCCGCATTTTAATTGGATGCTAACTGGCACTCCCGCCCACATTCCACCGATTAGCGCCCAATGGAGTCCGCAGTTACTCTATTTCCAATTCGAATGCAAATGCTTCTGGTCGGCGGCAGGAGAGCGATAACAATGGTTTACGTTTATGCCCGCTAATTTCGCGGGCATGCGGTAAATGGTAATAAGCGCACTTTCCCAGCTAGAGGATGGCCATGAACCAGGAACCGGCAGCCGATTGTTATTTATATTCGTTTTTGCCACGGCCATTTGCTCCATAATTTGTCACTGCAGCCGGGCCACAAAAATCCGTTATAGATATATGTAGGGCCTAGAGCAAACAAATTGCCGCTGTATTTTATGGACTCTCGGCTGAACTGTATGTGTTTCGCTGGCTTAAATGCTAATTACATTTTTGTTTTGTGCAAATATTTGCAGCCCGCTCATTAGCCACCCCGGAGCTCCATCTCCACTTTTTAAACCCCACTTTCTCTGCTCTTCAACTTGGCTTCACACTTGCCCGCATTCATGTAAAAATCGAGCGGCCATTCAGCGCTCAGCCTCACTTGAGTTCAATTAAAACCGCACTTGTACTTGTTTGCATAACAAACACACTCAGCGCACTCGACACACTCGGCCAACTGGCCAAGCAATCGCCCCAGCCACGCCCCCTCTTTCGGCCATAATGCAGAAACGAACTCAGTCAAAGGCTCGATGCAGTCATTGTTGGCCATTGTTTAACAATTAACCGCAAATTGAATGCAATTAAATAAATAACGGTGTTGAACCTTTGTGCAAACGATGTAGGCACGTGTACGCGTCGTCGAAGTCGCTCCTCCAGCTCATATCCTTTCATATATATGTATAGTAGTTCATATGTAGTGCGTAGTAGTATGTAGAGAGGATCCCTCTCTTTGTGGGGCCATGTGTGTGTGAGTCCTTCATTGCCAGGCCAACGGTGAGCAAACACACACGCACCCCTCTGGTCGTTGTTCAAATGAAATGAAATATTACGTATACGTCGCGTCGGTCCATTGGCCAGCAAACAAACACACTCGCACAATGGCCGCCCGGCCGAAGTTGCCTGCTGGGCGGCGTATTTGCCAAAGT